AGTTGCGTCTCTGTAAAATCAGCAACATGAACTAGCACACCTGATACATGATTTATTTGGGGGGGTGGGGGAAGAAGCTTCACAGGATTTCCTTAAACAATGTATTCATGTCAAATTTCTTACCTAAAGAGGGTATTTGTTCCCTTTTAAGCGTTTAGAAGAGTGTGTTATTGTTTCTTTCAAAATATCTGATTCAGATGACACAACTGTCTGGTACCTGGCGTGCACAATGATCATATAAACTTCAAAAATCTAGTTTTGACATCATTTACAACAATTCTTAAGAGTTTTTACATGAAATCTATTATAAAGGTTTTAAACTATGCCAACCTTTGTGTATGTGTGGAGTGGTCATATAGACTGTGTAATGCCTCTGTCTAACATCTTTATATGTGATTTTCACTGCTACAAAATGTAACTGCCTCTGTTTTATTTTTTTGGATTGAAATTCCTCACTTCCAATAGTCTTTCCTACAATCTACAACAATTTAAAGCTGAAACTTAGCTTCATCCAACCATTTCATCTCTTTATAGTTGTAGCCGTGTTGTACACAATGATTCAAGTAGTTAACTGTGGTTAATATTGTTAAGGCAGTTTCATTTTTGCAGTGATAATCAAGATGTACAATAGTAATAATCAGAAAGTGGATGTGTTCATTTCTTGTTAATTGAGCTGGTGATTTGATATGATTTGATACCATATGATTTCAACTGTGTGTTCCACTGTTTACCATTGCTGTGCATATATTAAACTTTGAAACACAGAGATTGATTTGGCTGCATAAATAACTTGAGGCTTTCTGTTAAATCTGTTATTGTTTTCCAAACTCAAGTTTTACAGGCTTGAACACTCTCCTTGTCAATGTTTTTCATTCATGTACACTTGGGTTTTTTTTGTTTTCAGGTCTTATCCAGCTTGTAATTTTAAGGTTGAAGTTTATATTTTAATTGCCAATTTTTCTACATAGTTGTTGGTCGTATGTTTTATAGCCCATTGACTATGGCACTGGGGTCAGCTGACAGGAAGTTGGGCATTTGCAGAAAGTATTTTACCAAGATTTAATGCTCCTGTATCTGTAAGCCAATAATTTCTATTTCTACATAACAGCATACCTACTTCATGATATTGTTGACAGGTTGATTACAATAATGCTGCAGTGAAACCACAATTTTCTGCCATAATGTCGGTATTCAAACCTCTCCATGGATACTTTGAATTGACAGGGAAAAGAGGTTCTACTGTATGAATGCAGGCTTGGCACTGAATCATGCAATCAGGCAGGAGATAAGCTGAAGGCAAGTGAAGTAGGTTTGCTAGACAATTGTGATTCCACTCTTAACAAAAAAAGAGTACTTCCTCATCTGAATTAACACATCGTTCTTCTCTGTACATTTATCGGTATATTTTATTCTGTTATTCTACAACTCTCAGTGCATAATCTATTATAACAGGCACATTCTAAAAGTATCTTGCTATTTTTAATACCTGAATAGAGAAATGATGCAGTGAACGTGCACAACACTGATTTATAGTACTTTTACTGCCTTAAAAATACATTTCATATCCATAAATCTTTAGTGTGATCTTATTGTCTGCTTGTACGGAAAAAAAAATGGAGTAGTATTTTCACCATATGTAAACCATTTAAACAATTTATCTTCCACATAAATGTCTATTTATAGCACTTGGCGTGCGTGCGTCTCTGCTGGCTTCAAGTTGACTTAAAGTCGACCAATGTCTAATGTCTTTTACAAGAATAGATGCCTACCTTACATTTGTTAAGGTTAATGCATTGTGTTAAGAGATAAATGTGCTCTACTCTTAAGCAGAAGTGTGGAAATGTGAATTTCCTGCTGTTCACTAGATGAAACGGAGTGGGGCTGTGTGTTCACGTTCCTGTAGTATCTGGATAATTTAATAAAGATCTGCATTTGGAGCTGATCTCCGTTCATTGCAAATCCAGTGATACTATCATTAATCCGAACAGATTGGGTTAAATGCTGTCCAAGTTAGTGACTTGCTCAGATCAACAATTGACAATAAGCAAATGGGAGCACGGGAGTCTTGTGCCTGAATAAACTCAAATGTTTTTTAAGTGTACATTTATTGCAGTATTCTACTATATAACTTCTTCTGTTGGTTTTCTTATAGGACATCCTTTTCCTTTCAGTTGGCAAAGATTGGCAAATTCTGAATTTTATCTGACCACAATCTGACATCAAATGTTTTATATTAAAGCTGTAGACATTTTGATTTGATGGATTCAATTTCAACACAGCAGGGTCCACAAACACCTATGACATAAATTAACAATTAGTTTGGATGACTCTTGGCCAGAACACTGAGAGAAATTCTTTCAATGATGCTGTGGCATCTCTGATATCTACCTGAACAGGAATTTGGTTTAGCATCTCATCCGATGGCACTTCAGACAATATAATGCTTCCAAGTGTGAACCTGGACTTGGATTCAGGTCCTAGTCCTAAAATAAGTGTAACTATTTAGAGTTAAAAGTTATAGAGTGCTTGATGCCAAACCATAATATTGGTTGTAGGAAACAGTAGGCGTATTTTGTTTCCCAATACAGACTTCCGTTCAGTTACTTGGAAGCAATACATGTTTCATTGAACAACATTAATAGTATTCTGTAACCACGTTCAAAGAATTTGTTTTGGCACTAGTTTAGAGTTTTTTGGTAATGATTCCACTGAAAGGCATATGAATGGATGTATTTTTTTGAAGTGATAAGTAGTTGTGAAAACTAATTTGCTGCATTTCGCAAAATAACCGTAGGGCACAATTTTCTCTACCATTTCCCGTCTGTTAAACACCTTTCTGTGGATGTGTTTTGTTCCTCTATTGTTTGTTGAAGAATGTGACTATTTTCTTACAGTGAGCATGAATTGATCCTTTCAGTTCAAGCCTGCAAGTGTCCCCTTATTAATAGAAAACATTGAAAGAATGGTGTTCATTTGTATTATTTTGTATAAGATGCTATGTTATTTAGAACGTTTAGATTTTTTTAAGATTACACTCATCCACATAATATAAATTCAATTATTTCAAAACTTTACTAGTATCTTTGTAGAGTTTATCTTGTTCCTAATATAACCTGGGTTTTGAATCCATGTTTTTTCGTAAATATAACATTCAGAAGTCAGAACATTTTCAATCTCTAAAGCACGGATTGTCCTTCGACGTCAAGTGCAAATAATGTCCTGTACATACAATTCAGTACATACTGTACTTGAAGGTTTTGATTAAAAGTATGAAATTACTGACAGTAAATGGAGACACCTGGTGGTTAACAGTAGTATTTCTTATTACAGTACTTCCTTTTGCATTGTGCGCTGCCTAGTGTTACAATAAGGTACTGCTTTTAATATATATATCTACCTTATTAGAATGAGAAGCATTGCAATGCACCCCACTCAATTTATAGAAGCGTAGCAAAAGCAATCTTGTTCTGTATTAAGTGTCCACAGTATGCTTATTGTGAATTGGGGAGGGAAGGGGGGAAGGAGAAGAAGAAGTTTCTTACAATTGTAGGATATTCTTGTAAGCGATGTGTTCATGTCAAATTTGATCATAGGTAAGTGTTTTATTGTTTTAATAACGCAAGGGTTCTTCTAGCTCGCTGAAGGGCTGTGACTGAAACATCAATCTATCTCTTTTGGATGCTGATTGATATGTTATTCATAGACAGAAATAGATATTTCTGTTTTAGGTGTGACTTCCTCAAGTATCGAGCTTATTAATTCCTTCATCTGATATTATCTGTTTACTGAGAAGGCAATACGTTATTTTAAGTGAACCAATTGTTCTTTCTCTGTGCCTGGAAGGATGGCTAAGAGAGATCTTCGATTCTACATTGAAAAAAAAAGACTCATTTTATTGTTTGTTTTTTCTACAGCTGCAAAAATTAGCTACAATGGCCCTTCACTTATTTGCAGCTGCAGCGCAGCTCTAAAGGGACACAGAATAATGATGTATATTAAGTACTGAATTGCTTATGTCTTGTTCTGCACATCTCACTACCCAAATGTACTATACAAGATCAGTAGTCAGTTGAATTCTGTAACTTTTTTTTCCTCCAAATTCTCGAATCCAGTATCTTATACTGGGGGGTTAGTTCCATGAGTGTCAGTGAAACCTGGTATCTCGCTCAATTGACATTCTTTATGTGTGATCTTAAGCAGTGAGTGTTAGCAGACATTTATTTTTCATGGGGGTCATCACAGCAAAGTTTGTTGATATACCCTTATATTGACATTCACATGGACAATTTCCACCATAGGCTGTTGGATAGAAACTAGGTGTAGCATACAATTCCTGCCCCTTCTGCCCGCTTTGGCCCAAAATGCTAAGAATAATAGCATATATCAATCAATCACTAACTGATGAGATATGTTTATGAAACTTTCCTTCACATTTTCTGTGTTTATGTTGAAATAATCCAGAACTAATTGAGGATTAATGTTATTAAAGTGTTAATTACAACTTTCATTTCGTATGTTTATATTTTCAGAATGTACAAAAGTACTATAGTGGTTCTCAAAGTGTTAATCATTGTCTCCACAATAGCACACTACAAAAAAAAATTTCCAGCAGGAAAAGCAGTTCTTTCCCCCTGTCTGTCTAAAGTATGCAATCGTGGCAGACATTTACCGGGGCTTGTATTTCCCCTAATTGAATCATGACGAGTAGACAACCAAATAATGGCATAATTTCCTGACTCTTTGTCTGTGTATACACACTGCTTATGTGACTGATTGAGGAATAATCGTCAGAAATAAAGTGACTGAGAAGCACCAACTGTTGGGGCTGAAGCATACATTCTTTTGTTATTTTTAGAAGGCCTGTAGCTACTCAGCTGTCTCCTTGCAGTGTCAGGGAAATGACACATGCCGAGCCTATCACATTTCTCCATCACTCAGAACGGAAGCTTGCATCAGTGGCTGTGGCAACTTCTTCAAAACTGTGCTATTGGGAGTGTATACCGTTGGTTTGTGTGTGTTTTTAAAATGGGAAAATCAAGAGAAGCAAAGGTATTTAAAGTAACGATCAGCTTTTGTATTATTTCTTTTTTTAAAAAAATGTGTAATTATTTCCGGCTCTCAACTGTTCGATTCGAAAGTGCAGTCTTGATTAGGCCAGAGCCGTTGCCTGTACCTATTTTTAGTGATCGTGGAAAGTCGAACGTGTATGTCTGGTTCTGTGGCTCATTTTGTCCAAAATGGGGCTGTAGTAACGTCAATTTTAAATACGTTTCTCTTTTTGGAATTTACTGATGTGTGGTGTGACATCAAATGGACAGTGTTGTATATTTATTTAAGCATAAAAACAGTTGTACTGTTTCAATGTATACTGGGCAACTTGTGTGATAGCATAAAGGAGTAAGAAGCCTTTTCGTCAAAGAACCTTTAGCGTTCAGTTTATTCTATATTCACAACAATAATGATGTGTAAAGATGGAAACTTATTAAGATTTTATTTTGGCACACCTGGTATCCTAAGGTCATGTATTTACTTGTTAGCGACTCGTTTTCAGATCTCCAACATTCTTGCTTATCAATAGTCCTCAGGAGCTGTTTATTTTGCTTTTTTCCGCAGCAGTGTGACTTGAGTTCAGGAACTTACAGCACAACTATGGCACCTGTTACATTTTGTTTTCATAGGAGGTCAACAGTTTTGTGTATTTAGGTAGTATTATGTTTGTGAAATGTTGCTTTGTAAATAATCAATAGTTGAGCACAACTATTTTTGTTTTTCAAAATTAAAATGCATGGATGCTATTTTGAAACTTTTTGATAAAGTAACAAAAATATAGTCTGTTTGTTGCCTGCTTCACTGCAGTAAGCATCCATTGTGTCGTCCTTCGTACTATTATACTTTTGATCTAGACTCAGATGTGTAATGAAGTGTTCCTTTATCCATAATTCAGGCAATTGTATGATAAAAATTAGATCAGCACAAGGGACACAATGCATTCAATTGTGCATGGCAGATTGAAGGATCAAAGGAAGATGGTTACGTTATAGTTAAGGAATACTTGACCACAGTGAATGAAATTGAGGGATTCACATGATGTCAAAAACCATAGAGTAAAATTTTGAGTAGTTTTAGTTCTCTCATCTAAATCCTAATATTAAATGTTATCTAATGACATCTGGCAAGTATTCCTAATATTACAGTAGACAGTGTTAGTTGTGTGGTTAACAGTGGCTGATATCTTCATAAACAATTCTGTAATATAGGATAGCAAAGGATTGATCTGTGTGATAGAAGAGAATTGATTGGCATTAATTAACCACATTTTAACATGAAGTGCAATACAGTGTATTATGCTGTACTTGTCTGCCTATTAGTTGCAGAATTTGCCATTCTTCACATACAAGTTATTAGGTTGTGTGTTGATTCTAACCTATTTCTTGCCTGTTTCTGTCACTCACCTTTCTATTTTTTTCCAGTCCCACCGTATTGTGGGAGGTTAGGATTAAGCTTCATTGCCTGGAAACTTGCTTTACAGAGCAGATTTACAGAAAATGAGGAACTAACAAAGTGTAAGTGAAATCAGGAACCCAATAACACCTGCCTGATCCCATGCCCTATATTGTTCCTTTTGCTGCACCAAAATATTTGCTGTTATTACTTGTAATTAATTTTGTTTGCTTTAAGTGTTAAACTTTCTTTAACACTGCAGTGCCTCAACATTATTAAATATTTAAATACAGAATGATTGACTCCTCTTGCCAATAGTTCATTTTACTAGCTCCACATTCCCTAGCCCCTCTGTTACTCTCAGTGATTTTAAGCAGAGTGTTTTGTGGATAAGAATCAGTAAGGCATTTTTATACACACTGTCCAGACTGGTAGTCAATGAAGTCAACCAGTGTACTGATGACTATTACGTGATTGGAATGGGACAGCAGCTCTTTCATAATCAACAAACCTAGGTTTGCTCAGTTTAAAATTTTACATTCACCTTTTTGAGATCAAAAGTATTTAAGCATCTGACATTCGGTGATCTAGAAGCAAAACCAGTTTGTTACCATAAGGATAGATAAACAACAGTTTGCACTTGTAAAGCACCTTTTCATGCAGGAAAGCCCTTCACAGAACTGGAATGGGAGCCCGAGCAGGGTGGGAGATGTGGGGAGGGGCGCTGAATTGGGGAAAGGTCACCTCAGCAAGGTAGCTGAAGAAACAGGTTTTTAGAAGGGTTTTGAAAGCAGAAAAGGATGATGCAAGTCAGAAGGACATAGGTAGAGTTCTAGAGTATGCGGGGCAAAGTATCTAAAAGCTTCTCTGCTGGTGATAGGGCAGATTGGTTGGGGATATGAGTTAGGGCCAAGTTAGCAAAATATGGGAATCTGCAGCTTTTATGAATGTTCTGCAACGTACAGTTGACTGTTCGTTGTTTCATATTTGCCTATTTGGGGGTAGAAAGTTCTTTCTGTAATTTATATTTTGGACAAAATGAATGGAAGAACCATTTTCTGTTTGTATTTACTGAATGGCTCGTTTTAGATATTAAGATTGAGTTTTTAAATGTCACATTGTTTAGTTAAGAAAATGTTTCAAGTACATATCTAGATCGTATCATTGTATAATCTGTGTCTTAATATTCAGTAAAATGTTATTTTAACACACTTCTGTTGATTTGGTTTTGTTATATTAGTGCTTTTAAGGCAGAGACAAGCCAAGCAGACTTTTTACAATTGGAGAATAATCTTTTATAATCAAATGCAGGATCCAAAATGTTTGGCCACAGTTGGTTTCTTTAGAAATGAGAATAACATTGTAAAAATTAAATCTTACAAGAATGGGTCAGAAACTAGAAAATCATTTATATTGCCATATTGAATTTCTAGGCTTTTGGTTTGCCAAGAAGTGAAGCAATATTTTTCTTTATTACTTTTTCACACGCTTTGCAAATATAATAATATTTTGGTATGTATGTAACATCAATTTCAGACTATCACCAACTTCTAATTTGTTAATTTTGATAATCTTGCATTTCGTGTGATGTGTACAATGTTACTTTCATTGTACAATGCATTTACTGAGACTGAGTAGACTGTTGTCAAATTGTTTTGGAAGTTCATTGCTTTAATAAAAAAGAAGTTTAAGATTTTTAGGTGTTTGATAATTTTTAAATTATCAACACAAGTACTGTATCACTTTTTATACTTTGGTCACTAGATACTAATCTCTAGTTGTACAAACCTTTACAGACACTAATGATGTTACTACCAGTCATTTTTTCTCAGCTCATTTTTCCTGTTCATCCAGTTATTTAACTCTTCACATTTTTGACACTCGCATCACAGTACATAATCCAGATTCTGATATAAAGTTTAATCCTCCTGTCATGAGTCTATAATTCCCAATCCTGTTGATGATTAACATTGTCCATTTACCCAGTCACTGAGTCTAATTCAAACAGATGACCGCAGAACTCCAGGAGTGTCCATATTTAGCTTAAACAAAATCCCTTCAAAGAACAAAGTGCACTGTAAGTAAAACACAGAATGACCTGAGCACAAACATGACAGCCTCCATTTTATCTTATACTACTCTAGCACATAGTGGACAAACTTTGCAAAGAAGGGCTTGTTTCCTATTTTCTCAATTTTCAATTGATTTATTGGTTCATGCATATGGTATCTCATGCAAGTTGTCATCCACCAGAAAAAAATATAGTCTGAGTCATAAGGTGTTTTGAAAGTTCATTCAACATGCCAAGTTCATGAGCTATCAGGTTCTCTGATACCAGTTGCCAGTGATTAGTGTGTGAAAAGTTGTATGCCTTTCTGTTAGATAGACTACCAACATTTAGGGCAAAGAAATTTTACTTTTTATATTGAGGTATACCTATTATTACGTAAATTCGGATTTTGCAATAATTAGAGTTCACATTTTCTCAAATTTTCCAGGTCACTTAAATTGCAAATGGTAATAAATTACTGTAGTCCCAAAAGTTGGTTATCAGGAAAGGTAGAATTATCAGTATGGATTAAGTTGAGAAACCAACAATTAGGCAAATATTTTGCGCTTCTGAGGTTTTTTTTTCTCTCCCAGTCAGATAATTCTGCATCCCCATTGCTCCTTTTTAAAACTTCTGCTGGTGAAATTCAGCCTGGCAACTAGCTGAAGTCATTTCTATAGCTTTATAATTTTAAATGACCACTGCTGTGACTTTCTGCTTTCCACTTTCTCTGTACTTACAGTGACCATCACACGTGTGTCCAGGTCGCACTTCATGGTCATAATCCAGGGCGTTCCAATGTGCCCCACCAATTTCAGTTGCTAGGAAGAACTTGGATCCGACAACTGTTCTGTAATAGATATCTTTTCGTAAAACCATTTTCCAACTCATGACAGCAGCATGGCTTTCTCATCACGGTTTGCATTTTGGGAGAAAAAGGGAAGTCCTGTTTTAAAATTTGAATCGTTTAAATTTGCAATTAGCAATAAATTGTATTTTACATGTTAAATCTAGGTCGGGTTGCACTAATGAGGAGTTTTTCTTGTCCAACAATTGGGTGGGAGTAAAAGTAAAGTAAGTGTTTACTTGAAAATCTTTTACACTTGCTGCCAAGAAAAATTGATTGTATAAAGTACTTACTAGTTTTGGGCAGTTTATTTACTGTTGAATCTCCTATTTACTGCTGGGTGCCTATAGTAAAGGCGAAAACTGTTTTCATGTTGTGCGTTGTATCTATTTCTTGTCTTATACTCCTGCTATGTTTTCATAATAACAAGTATAGTAACACTGTTGAAGCTCAACCAGGCAGCAAGGAATTGGGAAGCCTCAGGGGATTTATTGTAGATACAAACTGTAAATACTTCATTATCTCATCCAATTCCATTTAAAACAACAAAGGTTTTCAAAATGGAATCAGACAAGTTCCTGTCATAGGACACTGGGCTTTTATATTTATTGCTAGATATAGTATATTGATGGAACCTTGTGAAAAAATTGGATGGGTAGGTGAGATGGATGATAATTTTCTTCTGCCTGAAATTGTTAAGGATTTAGTTTGGCTTTTATTCTGTAGAAGTAGCAAACTGCATTGTTAATTCCATTTCATTCAATCTTACTAACATTGTTTAAAATGGATAGAAAATAGTTATTATGCATAATGTATAGTTTGGTAGTTTAATTCAAATAATTTATGTTTTATAGATAATTAACTCTTGCAAATGTTATCATTGGGAGCTAATGCATTTTTTCTTAATTGGGTAAGCTGATGAGTTTATATTAAGAGATTTAGAACCTTGTTAGCTCTATATTATTATAAATTTAATTATGCTGAAGGTGTCCAGTTTTAATGTTTAAATGAAGTGATACGGGCACTGGTGCATGATATCTTCAAATTCAGACTGTCATGTTGCAACCTCATCCTATAACTAATCAGGTTAAGGAGGAAAAATCTTTGGATAAGAAAAAGTCAGTGCCTGTTCTCCAAGTGGGATCTCTTGATGAAGACCAACAACCAAATTTTGAACAATCTGTAAGTTTCTTAAAACGGCTGTCATATTTTTAGAGTCAGTAACTCACATTTGTGATCAGTGCAAATTTGCTTTTTAGATCCGGTTTAAAAAAAAAGCTGCATTTACATTTCCCAGTGTTAGATTCAAAACGGCTGTCAAACACGGTTGATTTAATACTCAGTCAGTTTCCTGAAAATCATAAATAGTGCAGTAATGCTGATGACTGTATATTTGCGCCTTTACTGCAGAAAATATACTTTGTCAGGTCACCTTAATTGTTTAATGACTTAAAAATATCTGACCCATTGAGGGAATGTTTAATAGAAACTAAGCTTTCATTGGAAGTGTTGACAGGTTAGTTTCCCATTGATTAAGAAGTATGCAACTGCAAACGTGCATTTCTGCACTTGCCTTTATAATGTCACAGCAACCTTGTGGTTGGCCTTCTCCTACTGGAGATAGAGATTGATACTGCATCAGCAGATGCAGTAGATGTGTTGATTTCATTTGGGCATGGAAGGTTTCCAAAGATCCTCCTGTAAACGACTGGATCATAGAAGAGACATTCAGGTTAGCCTTTATAACATATTTTTCTACAGTGCTCTGAACTGAAAAAGCTGGGAGCTTGAATTAGGTCATGTTGAGAGCTCTCGTGTGATTTGCAATATGGATTGCTGAAAAGAAAGTTGTTTCTTTAAGGAAAGGAACGGCATAACTGGTGGCCTAGAAGGCAGATGAAGCTTGCTGCAGTGCAGCATATTAAGTACGCTGTTCTTTGAGTCTTTCTGCTTGGGACTTTATTCAGTAGTGCGTGAACATTCAAATCTAATCACAGTATTGGCTTTAGTTTCTGGCTAAAAATATAATAAATAATATTTTGCAAACATAATAGGAAATTAGTCGATGCAGTGATGATTAAGACACGGCAGTTTGCTGCAGGTATTTCGCTTTGTAAGATATACATGAGCTAGAAAGCTTACTATTATTTAACCCAATATTTTAAAATGGCCATTTTAAAGTGGCAGGTTGGTTGTACTGTATTTAGAAGGTGCAGTGACACTTTTTTTTAATAGATTAGCAAGCTAAAGTGTGAAATTAATACATAGTAATACTGTACAGCTGAAACTTAAATTATATTATGAAACTGGATTACTTTTTTATAAAGGTAATAACTTATTAGAATTTTTATGTTCTACGTGTAGGGATAAACTAGTCTTTCATCATATAAATGGCTATCCTTAACTGATACTTAGGTACCAGATTTACATTTACTGCAGATTTTTCCGTTTTGCTTACTGCATATCATATCATTCATCAGCTATAGCTTTTCCTTCTGCCATTATAATTTATGAAAAATTTTGTATTGCGGTATGTTAATTTAGTCAGAAAATGGTGAAAATACTCATGCAGTGAATGACAGGGAGCGGATGATCAGCAGTCCACAACCAGAGATAAATGGTGAAAATGAAAGTTCAACTGGACAATTTGGAAGCAAGTTTAACATACAAGAGGAAGTAAAGCAAGATATGAATACTGAGAGCCAGACTGAGTTGCTTCATGAGGACCAGGGAGTTCCTCATAAGAAAGTGGTCAAAGTGGCTAAGAAAGTGATGCAGAAGGTTTTAGATGAAATAGACTCTAAGGGAAAGATGAAAGAGACAAAATCTACAAAGCAACCAAAGGAAAACAAAGCAGATACCAAACCAGTTTTGGAAACAACGGGACCATCAAAAATGGTGAACAGCAAGACTGCGCCACAAGTTAAGAAAAAAGTTCCTGTTGCTGCCAAAGTAGAACCAGCAACTCCAACAAAGAAAACAACAATTAAAGATGATATTTCAGTGGGATTGGCTAACCTAATGACACGAGGAAAATCAAAAGATCACAAACCTCGGCGAGTCCCAGAGAAGGAGGACGTTTCCGAGACTTGTCTGAATGATTTGCTGAACAAAAGATCAGCTTCACCTCCTTTGGAACAATTTGAAATGCAACCAGACAAACCACACCAGCAACAAATGGTTAAAGGCGAGGTATTTCTTCTGAAAAGCATGAACCGACTAACCAGAGCACGTGTGCAGTGTACCAGTGATACAGAAATAAAAGTTTTAATGAAGTTTGTGTTGTATTCTAATGCACTTTTTAAAATCAGCTTGGAAACATGAACAAAGGACTGTTTGGAATAGTTAGTAGCTTGGGGGAATAGTGAACCGTGCTGTGCCAGGGTATTGATTGTGACTGTGTCTTGAACAATATTCACCTTGGTTCACTAACTATTTAGGCATGAGAAGTGATTTGTCACTGTGAATTTGTTCAGGGATTTCTTTAATATTAAACTCTATGCATGATGTTGTGCTAAGAAACTATGAATATCTTATAAAATATTGAGTTTTTTTAATTGTTCTGCTAATCTAATTGAGGAATTAACCAAGGTTGGTATATGGGATATTAAAGGCATGTTATTTCATAACATTTACCTTTATTCATTGTCTTTGTATATACAAACAAGTACACTGTTTTCACCCTTTCACCTATTTAAAGGAGAAAGTACTTCTCAATGAACAACAAATATCTGATCAGGAAAAGTCGCCCTCACCTATTATTGAAGAGCCTCTACCAGATTTTACAAAGCAGGTGTGTAGCAGGTCTGTGGAGTGGAGGAGGGAGGAATGAAAAATCATACAGATGATATATGAAACTTCTAGGCCGGCTATAACTTTGTGGAAAGATCAGGTTTTGCAAGATATAATACGACTGAATAGTTATGCTTAAACAGTAAGCACATGATTTGCCTAATTTGCAATCGAGGTCCGTTGGTGGAATTTGGGAAAGATATGAGAGCATTTTCATAGTTTCTGCCAATGGCAATCAAATCTTGTTTGGACTATTCTTTATGCACCAGACTGATTGTGCCTGTTTCTATTAATCTGGCAACAAGACCATTGACTTTTTTAATACTGATTTATTTTTTTTATGTATGCATCTCGTTTTCTTACTGTTTGGCAAATATTTACATCACATTCAAAGCGTTTTGATCAAAGGCCTTTCTAATCTGGAGGGTATTATTTTGGGTGGAATTCTGTGTGTCTATTATGTATATGATTTATTTTAGATCTGCAGTATCTTTTCTAATTCAGGAGTAGATTCATACTGTATGAAAGCTGTATAAACCCACATTTTATTTGATGGCTGCTAACCCTTAATTTGCTGACAATTCTATGGAGAATTTCTTTTTAGATAGATGGACTGTTGTCATTTCCAGTCCAGCACACAGCTATATTCTTACATTGATGTTGTGTGGAAGTTCTGCAACGTTCATTTTAAGTTGTTTTAATTGGTTGATGAACTGAGAAATTGATTTTACTGTTGGTCGTGTGACCTTTAGGTCCAAAGAATAACTCAACAAATGACCTCAGTGGACAAAGCTCAGATGACACTGGAGAGAATCTTCTGTACTTCTGTAAAACAGAAAACATTTTTTTACAATACTTGAGTGGCTTGAATAATCCTGTCTGAACAATTTGCTGTCGAGAATTCATATTTAACACCTGTTGCCTTGCTTTAACAAAAACCTTATCAAATAGTGATAATTGAAGGATTAATTATTGCACAGAGCTAGCTGCACAGTAGAAATTTAATATAGTATTTGAAAAAGATTTCGTTATAATATTGTACAAATCTAAACAATATTGCATCTACTGTATGATAACAGAGGACCATGATTAGAAACCTTCCTGGAATAATTCACTATTGCAGAAGTTACCACATGGAGCATAGAACGATCTGAATGATACCTTATCAAACTTACTTTTCACCTTTTATGGCATGTCCTATCAAAATACTGGTCATTTTAGCGGTCAGCATGAAATAGGTCCACCTGTACATTTGACAGACCTCCCGCATCGATGTACTCATTACAGAATTGATATGTAACCAAAGACATGACTCATTTCTGAAAACCCTCAACTCAGCAACGTTTATAGTATATTTATATTAGGAGACCAACTACATACTCTATTATGTTCTAGAATGTGCTTTGATACGTTTGAACCTTGTGTAATCACTGCTCTGTGGGACCTATACTTCATATTTATTTTTAATGTGCACATACATTAAATGTCCACATACTTGAATTCAGCGGGAGTTTTAAACCACTGGCATGTTTTGAAGGAGCTGCTGATAAACTTTGACTTGGTATTTGCTGAAGCCATTCTGAATGCCTACTGTTTGTTTGAATGAATGAATGCTATGTTCAAATATTTGAGTTTAATTTCATGTTCAATTTGAATTGGTGCGTATGTTAATACATGCTCCTTAAAATTGCCATATTAAAAGTGATCATAGATACAAATAAAACTTTCTCATGAAGTAATGATAATTCTCCTGCTTTGTGCTCAATGTGACTTGTTACAAGCTATTGCAACCACAATGTTTGCATTCCTCTTGGTCTTAAAGCTGAAAAATTTATCATGTGTTCCTAAAAGGACTTCTGTAGTCTTTGAGCAATCTACTTCTATCAATTTGCCAGAATTTGCAAAAATTGTGATGCATGATGTGAGATTACAGAAGAAGTAGATCTGTGTTGATGGTATATGTTGAAGGGAAAAAAAATCAAATGCTGTAATTTTGGATACTATATAAAGACTACAGCAGTTCCAAAGCCATAAAGATGTGCTACAAAATAGTTTGTGAATTCACTACATTAGCTCTTTCATTATTTCTGTATGTGCGCTGTGATTTGCTTAGTAACTTCATCTTTTTCTCTTCATTCTCATTTTTACATTTGTATCTTGTTTCTTTCGCATTGCATTGCTGTCACAGCCGGAACCTGTGGTCCCATCTACTCAGAGCCTTGTTCCCTCTCAGGATTCCTACGCTCGCTCCAACGATCTCGCACAGGCAGGTGTCTGCGTCTGGGTTGGTGTCTGTGCCCGTGTGTCATGCTGGACTGTAAGGCTGCCTTCATGTCTATCCTTTGGTGCCTTTTCTTTCCATCTCTGCTACAGCATTTTGCTTACTTTGCTTGTACTGTATTCTGCTCCTAACTTGTTTCTCCAATGTCAAAAGTGTGCTGGTCTATTAAAATTCACCAATCATAAATAACTTGATTAGGTAAATTAGGTGAATTACAATAAGTTATTGTACAAAATGAAGCTCAATTTGCTAAACCTGTGTTGTCATTCCAGTGTAATACTATCAGTTTTTTTTATTAACATTGTTTTCATGTTTCACTTACAACCTTGGTTCTATTTGTTTAGTGGTTTATTTCACAGAGAATTAATCATATTAACACATTTATAATAATGAACATGTTAAAAGAAAAATTTTACTTCAATTTACCCATTGTTGATTTCATTAAGGTGCCAGCCAGCAGTCCCAAGAAGTTGCAATGATATTTTTGTTTGAAATGTGATGATATTACATGTTAAGATATGCACCAGTGTTTAAGGGTTTTGAGGACGCTTCATTTAAATGATGCCTGGAGTGAAATATGATATATATGCCTCTGCCCACCACACATATGGGAATTAAATATATTTGCTATTGAATTGGAATTTAAAGGGGAAAAGCTCAAAAATAGATTGTTTTTTTTTAAAAAAAACTGTCCTAGAGTAAGAATTTTCTTGCAGTTAGATGTTAATTGTACAGGGTGACCCCATTGTAATGCAGTGTTTTGGTATATAATATTAGACACTGAGTTATAAGCAGCTGATCCTCATTTCCAGAGTGGACTGGCTGGCTTCCTGCATGTGTGCAGGAAGCTAGTTAGTCTGGGCCAGAAACTGTATTACACTTCTGGTAACTGTTATTCACCTTGGTAGTAAAAATAGAAAAGCAAATTATTTTCTAGAGGAGGAGAGACTAGGTAATGTTAGTGTTCCGAGAGATTTGGGTGTCCTTGTACACCAGTCACAAAAGGTAGTATTGCAGGTACAGCAAGCAATTAGGAAGGCTAAGTAGTAGGGAACGCTTGCTGCAGTTGTATAAGGCCTTGGTGAGACCTCACCTGGAATATTGTGTGCAGTTTTTGTCTCCTTATTTAAGAAAGGACATACTTGTCTTAGAGGGGGTGCAGCGTAGATTCACTAAGTTGGTTCCTGGGATGAAGGGGTTGACCTATGAGGATAGGTTGAGTAAACTAGGCCTATATTCTTTAGAATAGACAAGAATTAGAAGTCATCTTATAGAAACCTATAAGGTTCTTAAGGGTCTTGACAGAGTAAATGCCGTGAGATTGTTTCCCTGGTTGGAGAATCTAAAACTCGGGGTCATAGTCTCAAGATTAAGGGTCAGCCTTTTCAAACTGAGTTGAGGAAACATTTCTTCACTCAGAGGCTAGTGAATTTGTGGAATTCTCTACTCCAGAAGGCTGTGGATGCTCAGTCCTTGAACATATTCGAGACTGGGATTGATAGATTTCTAAAGGATAGAGGGATATAGGGATAGGGCAGGTAAATGGAATTAGGTTAGAAGATCAGCCATGATCTTATTAAATAGTGGGGCAGGCTCGAGGGGCCGAATGGCCTACTCCTGCTCCTAAGTCTTATGGTCTTATTTCCACAATTGCAGGATATTGAATGTCTGATTATTAATACAATGTGTTTTTAGTCTCTGTAAAATTTGTATGCATGATGCATTTATTTAATTTAATTATTTAAATTGTATTGATTTGAAACTGTACAGTTCTAGTTTTGCACCAATGTGATTTTATATAACACTTTCTTGTGCTTAATTAGTATTGTAACACCAGATTTTATAGAGGTAGAGCTGTAAATAGACAAATACTCAACAAATATAATGCACTCAAGTACTCCCACTATCAAATTGAAAACATTAGCAATATTTAGGAAAGTACTGAAGACCTCAGAATGGCACTTTTTTTTACAGGTGTACTGCTTGTGAAAAAAATGTTGGATCATTGTTGCGAGCTTGTTTGACAGTTGCACATTACTGTAGAATGATCTGTTAACTTTTCAAAAGGCTAATGTTAAATATTTGTGTTCACTGACATTTATAGCTTTTCTGTTTTTCCTCCAAATTTTTCTTGTTCCCTTCCAATCTTCTCTTCCCTTCCTGAAGGTAGTAATTTGAATGGGACACGGTTTTAGAGGTAGAGAGTGGAACAAGAGGGCTAAACTTTAATGCAGCAATCTCAACACTAAGAACCTTTGTTATAAACACACCTAATAATTATATATTGTAACACCGGATTTTAAAGCAGTAGAGCTGTAAATAGAAAAATACTCAACATCTAAAATAAAAACAAGAATTGTGTTTCATTGTGTGTCACAAAACCGCAATACTGAATAGAATGCTATATGAGAAGTAGGTGTGAAAGACAGAATGATGTTATTTTAAAATCTTGGTTTGCTTTGCACTGCTGCGCCTATGCTGCTGCTCTCCAGACTCAGGTGGAAGAGGTACCAGTGTCTGTGCTGCAGTCTCCCTCAGCATCCGTTTCTACTGAGCCCCAGGTTGGCATTTGCACATCAACACTGTTTGGAGAAGTATAGCTTTTGTAAAGTGCCTATACATTGTGCAATCCTCAGCTTCAATGCGCCTTCACCACTCATTTCTTAGGTGTTCATGCTCGGTTTTGCTTGCAAACCATAAAAATGTAGGTTAATTATTTTCAGACCGTTTATACCAAAGAACGAGTTTTATGTGTCATCACAGGTTTGACTTTGTATTCATTTTAATTTTTGCAATAGTGCTGGTATAAATAGGTTTGGCAGAAACATTCTCTTAGAATTCCAGTAAAATCAACCTTTTAGTGTCAGTGCCATATGTATAAATTATAACTTAATTGAAGATTTAATGAATTATTAAAAAATTGCCTTTTAATAGCTATTTAGTTATTCAAAATCCAAGATGTGAAATATTCAGCAAATTTAAATTTTAGCTAGTTGGGCCTAAAACAAACCTGGAATCGTATTAATTGAATTGTTTTCCAGATGTAGGAATGGAATAATTTAAAGTAATGAGTGTTCATTCAAGGAAATTAATATTTAAAGGTTTGGTTATTTGGACTGCTCATTACATATTAATGCCTGCACTATTGTTCAAAGATTGTCATTGCATCTCATTGTAACTTTGGCTGAAGGAGTCGATTAATTTTGAATCTCTGTTTTGTCTCTTTGCTTTATGATTTGCAAAGTGTGCTGTGGTATTAAAGGTTTACTAATTAATTAAGTGAATGTTTAAGATTTTGTTGATTATCATTGTCAGCACCAGTCATGTACTGCTGTGTGTAGTGTGCAGCAAACTTAAAATCTTGATGCAATTACTTAATGCTTTTGTGGCATTTGGGCAGGCAGTAACATTGGATAAATGAGATAAACAAAAGACCATTTCTGGTTTTGCTGTCTAAAATGAGTCAGGAATGGCACAGTCATGGTTAGTTGTGGTAAAAATATCCTCCACAGTCTTCTTACTGCACATACCTCTTCAACCTTGTTATACCCTATCAACCCGCCTGCTCTGCTCAGCAGAGAGGCACTGGCTTGCTTCACGTCTCCCATCATGACTGCCCCACCATTGGAGGTTGAACTTTCAGCCTATCTGCCCCACTCTCTGGAACTCCAACTCAGAGTCCCCTCTTTCCTTGCCTTCTCGAAGGAATGTCTCAAAACCTTCCTCTTTGACTGTGCCTTCAATCATCGTTTCCCCCAACCCCCTTGGCCCCCACCTCTCCAGTGCCTTGGGACGGCCTCCCAATGTGAAAGGCATTGGGAGGAAATAAATGTAATTTGTTGCTGCTGTTATAATAGCTTTGCTCACAATGTATATTAGATAATTCTCTTAATGGTTATTAGGCATGTGAGCTGTAAACGTGCAGTGTATCTGTTTGTGCTGTTCTAAAATGTTAAATTATACTTGTGATGTATTTATTTAAAATGTGTGAGTGAGAGAGAGACTGCAGTCTATAAAGAGTGACAAGAACATATCCATGTCTGATATTTTAATCTAATTGACTGTCCAATTTCTAATTCTAGCTGAAGACCGAGGAGCAGATTGCTGTAGAGCAAGCCTGGTATGAGGCAGATAAGGTGTGGCTGGCCCACAAAGATGGATTTTCATTAGGTAATCTAGATAATAATTCCTATCCATCATTGGGATAGGATGGATATAAGAATGAAGTCCCAGATATTAAAAATAGTATCTTCAACAATGTTCCTATGTCAGTGGGATAACCTGGTTTACAAGCAGCAAAACCAGAATGTCTAATGAAACTTAGGATATGGGGAGCTATGCTCTAAATTGTCTTGTCATTTTATTTTCCCTTCTGAACTGTCTGATATCAGATTTATTCAGTGTTGATAGCATCATTTGAAACCAATTTTCAGTTTCTGCAGAGCTGTTAAAATGAGTATCAAGGCCAGTGAAAGAAGCTTCTCTCTCCCTCCCCACCTCACTGTTATTATTTCTAAACACTTTGGGAATAACTAAATATTATTGCATAAAATATTTAAGATGTATAGATTTATTGAATCTCTCTGGTTAGTAAATCTTTCTAGAAATTCTCTAACACCGTGAAGTCTCAATTCATGTGAACATAATTTACCTGCACCTTCATAACCATAGAAATATTTGTCAGATTTGTCTCCTTAAATTGCTTAAATTGTACTCATCATCTCATTTGTGAGAAAATTGAATAGAGAATTGAACAGAGATTTCAATACATTAGGGTGACTTATAGGTCAAGGCAACTATTCATATGCTGTGATGACCATTGCTAAGTATTCAATGGTGCTCATCTTGCTGATGGCTTAACAATTGATGAGTGTTTTAATGTTGTGTATTAGAATTATAAATCCAATAATTATAGTGGGTGGATTACGATTTACTCAGTCTTTCAGCTTGTCTGTTTTCTGCAAATATGATGTGCAGAGTACAGCTGAATATATTTTTTAAATTATTTAGTAACTTTAGTTTACTTTAAACTTAGACCAATTCTTATTTTGCGCCAAGGTAATATCTCTGAAGTTTATTTTGTATAATTGTAGAAATTATATTTGTTCAATTTTTTTGGGTGTGTATTTGAAGTCTAAAGTGGGTTTTATTTCTTTAGGTACTCAGTTAAAGGCTGATGCTGAAGAAACCAGCCTCCCTGACGGCAAAGTGAAAGTTAAACTGGACCACGATGGAAAAATACTGGATGTGGATGAAGATGATGTGGAGAAGGTATTTTTTTCATGTCTCAAATTACTTCTGAGGTACAAGAACACAATGTTTGAAAAGAGAAAAGATTATTCTGTCCATTAAACAATCTGCTTCCCCAAGCGTGTACAAGTTCCTCATCATTGATTCCCTATTTCTCATTTGACTCATCGCCTATGTTCTCTAAACTCCAAAATGGCTGTCCAGGTGTTTCTGAGGTGTGAAAAGACTGTATAATATTTAGTATCTTTTAGTATTACGGTAAGAATGACTAAACTGTGGCATTTGAATGATTAGTTAATAAATATTTAACTCTCTCCTTGCCAAATAACAAATAATAATAATAATCCTTCTTTAACATCAGATATGTTGTGACTTATCATACGGTCAAGGAAATGGTTGGTCAAATGAATCATGGTACATCACCTTCAAAATGTATTTTCTTTGCATAAAAATTATTGTTATATTTAACTAGGCAAATCCACCAACTTATGACCGAGTGGAAGATCTGGCTTCCCTGTTATATCTCAATGAGTCCAGTGTTCTGCACACATTACGCCAACGCTACGGCGGTAACCTAATCCACACATTTGCAGGGCCAAACATGGTTGTGGTGAATCCGCTCAGCTCTCCTTCAATGTACTCTGAAAAGGTATGGCTTTGTCATTTTTACTGGTGTGCAATTGTTACATACTGGCAAACTTACATATGTGACGGAATATTTATACTGTGAAACAAATAGATCCAATTTTGGATGAATGGTTAACTTGCTTGCGTTATCTTCGAAAGTACGTTGCATATATATTGTGTGTGTGTGTATATATATGTAGATGAAATTTTTCTGTTAACAAGCATATGGAAGCTGATTGCGTTCTTGTTGTAGGTTATGCACATGTTTAAAGGTTGTCGCAGGGAAGATACTTCTCCGCATGTGTATGCCGTTGCACAAGCTGCATATCGAAACTTGCTTACCACGCGGCAGGACCAATCCATTGTTCTTTTGGGACGAACTGGCAGTGGGAAAACCACAAACAGTCAGCACCTCGTTCAGTACCTCGTCACAATTGCGGGCAGCACAGGAAAGTTCATCACCGGTAGGTGGAAAGTACAAATTTGAAAATCTGCATCATATCCATAACTTGAGATGTATTTTTATTTAATAGATATATTTAAAATATAAAACTCAGGGGTCTCAGGCACTCAATCTCCAAAAGTTAGCATTCACTAAATTGAAGGCATCTCCCGTGATTTCTTTTATTAAAAAAAACATATTTGTGCTTTGTAAGTACCGTAGGTTTTCCTTCTTAAAATTGTACTCTGAGACTTCCATTGATTGCTATCTTCTCATGTTTGAACTTCACAGTGGAAAAATGGCAGGCTGTGTATTCTATTTTGGAGGCTTTTGGTAACAGCAGTACAAGTATGAATGTCAATGCCACTCGCTTCTCACAGATCATCTCGCTCGACTTTGATCAGACTGGTCAGGTGGCTTCAGCTTCTGTACAGGTGAGAAAAAGAGAGGTGCATTAAAGAATATTTTGAGTACCTTGTCTAGAGAATCTCAACCTTTAATTATGGGTTCCTTTTTTTTAAGATGGGGTATATGAACGTACCGTCGTGCTAGCTTTAAACACAAAGTTACTGCTATAACAGCAGCAGCTTGATACATGTGATTTTAAAAACCAAATTCAGAGAGATTGCATTTATTGTAGTCTAAAATGTTTCTTCTATTGGCATGATGCAAAATGTAAGTCAGAACTGACTGCAACAAAATATGCTTGCCCTAAATTATGGCAATTCCCTTTTTCACACAAAAATAAATCACTATGTTGGATAGTATATTTTGAGGAATATAAATGCTGACAATTGATTTAAGCATGTGATATTGGTTTGATTCAGAAAGTCTGTGTTTAAAATTTGTGACACCCTCCCACATCCCTCTTACCCCCTCTCTCCCCTTTTTCAAGTCCTGCCTGAAAACCTTCCTTTTTGACTGCATTTACGGTCACCTCCCTCTTCTCCTCCCGCCCTCCCCCACTCCCCGCGGCCTCGGAGTCAGGCTCCAACATTAAGTGCTCAGAGACGTTACTGAGCATGGAGGGCGCTATATAAGTGCAAGTTGTTGTGATACATAAATAATTTATCTCTTTAATAGACTATGCTTTTGGAGAAGCTCAGGGTTGCTAAACGCCCAGAGAACGAAGGAACATTCAATGTGTTCTATTATCTGTTGGCTGGAGCCGACAGTACTCTCAGGTACTGTTATACAATTGATTTCTATTAATCTATACCTTTGTGTTGTAAACAATACAAATGACTTCCACAGCTAAACATTTTTTTGCCCATTTACAGAACTGAGCTTCACCTGAATCACTTTGCAGAAAACAGTTTGTTTGGAATTACACCATTATCAAAGGTATTATTAACTATCTTCAGTTAAATATAGCCCATGGTTATTAATTGTAAAGTTATCCTTCCTTCCCCCCCACTCCACAATAAGTCCAGCGAGCCAGGGTTTAAATGTACTGCTAATTTGAGCAATAAGAAGGGAAGATGAAACCTGATATAGTTGCATTAAAATTGGCAATAGTGATAGATTATCTTGGGAATATACTTTAAAAAGTACAAATCAAATCACTTCTTGTGGAGAATTCAGAGTGGGAAACAAAAGATTTAATATTTTAAGAGCAGACGAGGTGATTTTAACATACAGCAACTATTCTTGCAACTTGAAGGCTGCTCAGTTGCATAAAGTTAGGCAAAATAGTGTGATATGGATTAATTCCAGGTTGGAGATGTAAATTAGAAACCGAGAAAATAAATTGATTTTGAGATTTAAATGCAAAACAGTTAAGCTGAAGGGCTCAGAGGGTTGTAGTTAAGATGTAGATTCAGAAGTGAGTAGCATTTTAAAGTGTGGCATTACTTGAAAGCATGAAATGAGGGAATACTGTACAGTTGGAATACAAGAGTAGCTCAAGGTGGATTGTTTTCCACGGCAGCAGTGTATCTCAGGATTGATAAATACTTTCATTTTTTCATTTTTTGAAGCCTTGCCAACACCTTTTCATCTAATATCTTGTAATACTCTTTAGACTCTCAGATATCCATTATCTTCTTAATTCAACGGTTATTCTGCACGATCATGCCATTTACAGCTTAATCTGGCAACAGTTTCGCGTATCCAAATATTAATCACTTTGTCGACAGGTTAAGATGATTCCTGGGTGAACCACAGATTTATTTTCTGTTCCTGATTATTGATTATTGAGCATGACATTTTATTTTAAAAAAAACTGAGAGTATTTAATTGTCTCTCCAGCCTGAAGAGAAACAGAAGGCAGCTCAACAATTTAACAAACTCCAGGTTGCTATGAAAGTACTGGGAATTTCAGTTGATGAACAAAAAGCATTCTGGCATATCTTGGGCGCCATCTACCACTTGGGGGCAGCAGGAGCCACGAAAGGTAGTGTGGAATTCATTCATTTTAACAAGCGACATTCTAAACTCTATTTTGAATGTCTTTACAATTGTTTTACTGATGACCCTACACAGCATGCAACAACGAGAGCTATTATAACTAATGTCTCCACTATTATCGAAAATATAACAGTATAAGAAGAAATGTGTATAGTTCAAGTTGCATTATATTATATAATACGTTTGCACAGTTTCTGACATGAGTGTGAGATTCTGGTCTCTATTGTAACTTGTTTTTTTTCTGCTTTGTTTTAATTTTAGTGTTGATGTGTATGCAGTTGAATTGTGTCTATAGATCTGACACTGGGACACATGGCTGTTTAATTGTTCTGATTTTTCCACTGATAATTCCCCCCTTAGTTTCATGAGCTATTAATATTTGCCTTTGTTATAAAATATGAAAATACATTAGAATTTACAGCACAGAAACAGGCCATTTGGCCCAACTGGTCTATGCTGGTGTTTATGCTCCACATGAGGCTCCTCCTGCCCTTCCTCAACTAAGCCTTCAAGCATAACCTTCTATTCATTTCTCCCTCATGTACCTCTCTAGCTTCCCCTTAAATACATCTATTGCTGTTTACCTCAACAACTCCTTGTGGTAGCATGTTCCACATTCCCACTACTCTCTGTGTGAAGAAATTTCTTCTCACTTCCCTATTTGATCCGTTTGTGACTATTTTATATTATGGCCTTGGTTTTGGTGTTCCCCACAAGTGGAAACATCTTCCCTATGTCTACCTTATCAAAACCTTTCATAATTTTAAGGACCTCTGTCAGGTCGCCCTTTACCCTCTTTTTTTCAAGAGAAGAGTCCAAACATGTTCAGCATTTTCCTGATAGGTATAACCTATCACATTTTGCTTTCTGGTGCTCCTGCACCTGTGGAGTGCATGCAAGTTTGGAGTTCAGACAAAGGGGAACTGGAATATCTAACAATACACACGTTACATTTGATATTGCACCTTTTATGTTCAGAAGGTCCAAGCTGGGGGTGTGAGCTGGGTGGTGGGGGTGGGAGAAATGCCCGAAAGTGCGGTCAAAATAATAGGTATTGATGGTCCTTGAACGAGGAGAGGGAGAGGTTGAGTCGGAGGGATTCCAGAATGGAGTTGCAGAGAGGGGCAGAAAGGCTGAAAGCCTGCCTGCCAATGGTGGGGTGGACACTGCGGGGAATATGAAATAGACTGGTGCCTCCTGACAGCAAAATTTTAGAAGTAAAATATTGATGGAAATATACAGAAATCTGGTGTGTAAGCTAAGCACTTTAATCTGTCACAAACTATCACAAGAACAGCTGATTGTTTCTGATAATGCTAAACAATCTTTCAGAGGTTGCTAAAGGAAAGTTGTGAGGGAAGTTTCAGTGGTTTAGAGTTGAGATAAATGCAAGATTTGATTTCAGTTTGGTAACTTGCTTTCTAATAACGTAAAGCAGTCTTGAAATATTTTGATTTTAAAATAAAGATTATTGAACAGATATACTGGCACATACCTGATTATGTGGGTTGTAATTTCTATGTATCAGGAGGAGCTTTTTCTTAAACGGTGATAAGTTTCAAACCTAGCAAATGAATAACTACTTAATATGCTTTGTCCTTTATCTTTTTGCTGGCACTTGTAAAATGATGCTACACTTTTCAAAATAGCATCTTGCAACACACAGGCTAGGCTTGAGTGTTTAAGATTTTTTTCACTGGAAACAGCAGAAATGTAAATATTTCTGATACATCCAGTGCGCCTGGAGGGTGACTGGAAGCAGAAGTTGATGAAATTTGACAAATGGTCAAATTAGAATATTTTACAATCTTTTTCGAAAGATTATGTGGATAATGATAGACACAGATCATTACATGCTCCATGGAACTGCATGGTTCATTGGCTGCTGGAATGAAGAATTAATTATTTGAGAAATGCAACTGCTTAGAGTTGTAAATGTGAGGTTAGATTGTAATAACAACTTGCTTGAGTACCCTTCACATGAAAGAATGTTTTGTTTTCACTGCCGTTTTGTGACACTTCCAAATTGATGGGTTATTTTCTTTTTAAAATTTGACACAGTATCTCCACGAGGGACTTCATCAGGAAGTGCTGCCACTGCTTAGCTATTTGAACCATGGAAAAAGGAACTGGTATCATGAAGTTCTGTAATAAACACAAAACTATAGTGTATGCTGGATACACTAAAGATCAGTAAAGAGAATTTTTGATGAAACATCAATTGAAATGTGTTTCCAAATTTGCCCTTTAAGTAAAATTGCTATTTTTAAAATAGATCATATTTAGAATAACATTTTGTTGAAATAAAGTTACATATTCTTAAAAATTTTCACAAGTGAAAAATCTTTGGACTTGGTAATTTATGAACCCAGTCAAAATTGATGGAATTGAATTTACCTCTCAGTCTACCTCAGTATATCAGCTAAGAAATTTGCAAATGAATCAATGAATCAGTATGAGTAATTGAAAATAGTAGCTTTTTATTACAATTTCCTCACATTTACGATTACACAATGGTTACACGTCCTACAGCTGATACAATGATCTTTCCATTCTGACTGCATTGGTGTTTAGTATTAATTGATTTCTCAAATGTAACATAAGCACAAAAGGAACTTGTGGAATCTAATGAAAAAAATCTTTACATAGATAGTTAGAGAGAATGTGGAATTCTCTGCCACAAACAGGAGTTGAAGCAAAATCCATAAATTCCATCAAAATAGATTTGCTTACGAAACAGCGGATTAAAAAGAAAAAGAAATGTGCTTCTTGAAGTAGTTTGCACGACAATATGTACTGTAATTTCAGGACGTTATAAATAACAACAATGAATTGTATATCTGACTAAAATTGAACTGAAAGTAAATGGAAATTGTTTCCATATGGAAGTGGAGGGTACAGCATAGAATCACCAAACACTGTTCAGTTTCCCTCGCAGAAAGTAATTGGTGAAAATGGCGTTTGCTAATAATTTAAGTAACACTTTTGATTGGCATTGTCACAGCTGTCTAATCTCTGTTTGATAATGTTTTCTCCATCTGCTCCATTGCAAATTGCTCCAGGTAGTAGGCAGCTTAATTTTTAAACAATCTTGTTTACAGTGTAGCACAGCTGGCTGGCTAGCAAAACAAACCTCAACAGAATTACATGTGCACCATGTATAAAAACTTTAGCGAAATGTAATTTAATTAACATAACTTTGGGTTATCATCGGAATTTATGTTCCACCCTAACTAATGCTATTCCATGGATGTTATCACCATAATCCTAAAAAGATTGGAGCCACAGTGCTCCACAGAATGTTTGTTCCTTTTCGTCTAAACTTATAACCTTCAATTCCACTCGACACCAGATATTTCTTTGAGCTCCCTTTTAAAGGCGTTTATCAACATAACATTAATTGCTTTTGATAGAATTCTGTTCCAAACATCTGCTGTTCTGTGGATGGAAAAATAACTTCTAATCTAGTCTTGCTTGAGGCTTGACAGTTTTTTACTCATGTCAGCCATCATTGTTCAAGTTCAATAACCTGCTTTCATTACATTATTGTGTCTCTCTTCATTAATAAGGACTTGGATAATATTCATCTGTAATCTTCTGCAATTAAAACTACAGTACATCAGTTGGCAGCTCATTTTTTTATAACATTATACCCTGGGATCCACTCCATTGGTCTTCTTCATACCCTCTCTAGTATGATGCTGTTCTTTTACTCACATGTTATTTCTCATAATCCTTGCATTTGGCATAGCGCCTTATCAAGTCTTTGAAACGTCTCAAAGTGCTTCACAGAGTTGACCAAATTATTATTATTATTTTCAATTTCAAAAAGTCAGGAACCTGGGTGTCTTGTTTGACCCTGAACTGTCCTTTCTCCCCCACATCCGTGCCATGACCGGCACTGCCTAGCACCACCTCCGTGACATTGCCAGACTCCGCTACTGCCTCACCCCTCAGGCTGCCCAAATCCTCACCAATGCATTCGTCACCTCAAGGCTTGGTTACGGGAACTCTCTCCTCATCGGCCTTCCCAACTCTTCCCTTCACAAGCTGCAAATCATCCAAAACTCTGCAGCTCGTATACTCTCACGCACCAGGCTCCGTGACCCCATCACTCCCACCCTCGCCAGACTCTACTGGCTCCCCATCCCCCAGAGGATCGAGTTCAAGGTCCTCGTCCTCACCTTTAAGGCCATTCATGGCCTTGCCCCCTACTACCGCTCTGACCTGCTGACTCCATACTAACCTGCCCGCTCCCTCCGTTCATCAGGCTCTGGCCTGCTCCATATCTCATGCCCGACCCGCCCTACCTTCGGTGGCCGGGCTTTCAGCCTCTCTGCCCCCACGCTCTGGAACCCCATCCCACGGTTCCTGCGCCTCGCTTCCTCCCTTGCCTCCTTCAAGGCCGGTCTCAAGACCCTTCTCTTCGACTGTGCCTTTGATCTCTCTTCCACCTCTCTGCCTTCCCTCACCCCTACGCCACCCCTCCTCCATGCTCAGGCCCTGACATCTGACTGTTCAGCGCTTTGGGACATCCTCCTGATGTGAAAGGCACTCTATAAATATAATTTTGTTGTTGTTGAAGGGATTATTACCCCTGGCAAAGTGATCCGCCAATCGAGACTAATAACCAGATTCCTACTTACTGCTTGGTAAACAGAAGCGTGTAGAGTAAAGAAATTTGCCTAATGTTTTGCCCCTCTCAGGAATCGAACCCAGATCCTCTCACTTGTGAGGCAAGTGCTCTTACTGATACGCTACAGGACTCCACAAATGTCATAGTTTAAAGATTGAAATTTGAATTCATTCAATTTGAGTCGAATAAACTGTACCTAACTTTTGTTGTAACTGTCACAAATTTATGATTATTTGACTTCTCTCATCGAATTACCTCAGTAATATGAGGTATATAAAAATAGAAGAAATGGAAAGTTTTACCAACTATCTATTTGCAAAACAGTCCATTTATTCACAGTACAGAAAAAAACAATGTTGGGTCTCTCTCTCTCTCCTCTCTCGCTTGTTCTGACCTTCAGACCTGCTCATTTACTCTCAAAGGTCTTTTGAGAATGCCCACACCAGCCAAAACGGTTTGTTCTTAGTGAATCATTGCGTTTCAGGGAAAATTCAGAAGACTCATTCAATTCAAGACGTGAAACAAATCAGCCATTATCATTTAGACAATGACCATGGAAAAACTTAGGGTTTTAAGTTGCAGATCTATCCTGCAGATAAAATGGTCATTCACTTTATGGCTGTTTGTGGGACATTGCTGTGCTCAAATTAGCTACTGTGTTTGCCGATACAATACAGAAATAACAATTTTAATTGTGCACAACTTTTTGCAGTTTTGCTTTGCATATTGAAGTGGCTTACAATGTATTAAAAAGATGAGTTAAATATTGCTCTCCAGAATCACATTAAATTCCGCTACAGGGTGGAAATGATAGCTTGAATGCTTTCCATGTCGAATTCCATTAAGCACTATAAAGGGCATATACACTAATTGGCACTTGTCTGAGCTAAGAACGTTCTCTTATATTTGCAATTGCATTTTAACGTAATTAGCAATATTACTTTGTAGTTTGCCTAGATGATGTAGACTACATGAGAGAATAAAACACTTTAGAATTGGGAGATTTTTGTAGTTTAAACATATCAGCTTCAGTACCAGCTGCTTGGCTCCTAAGCCGTTCAGTGACCATGTTGGCAACAGCATATCTGGATGTTAGGCGAGAGAAAGATTTAGCTTGGTAACGATACCTGTTGTTAAATGGTGTGTCAATACTTTCTCTCCAGGCATAAGGCCAACTGGGTGAAGTACTGGCAGTGTACATGAAACTTACTCTGCCGGGGGGTGGGGGAGAGAAAAAGGATAATTTTCTTAATTTAAAGTTTGTCCTAATGTAATGCAGATTCAGAATCCTAAGGAAGCTTATTTCAGTCTTGATGTTGTTGACCTGTAAGTTTAAAAACCTGCCCACATGATGGCACTAAAACGATGTGTTGTTAGATATACAGCCCATCCTAATTCACATTTCTGGAATGCTGAAGAAAACTGTATAATGGTACCTTAATGGTTTGAAATTGTTCACATCTTAAGGGTTTGTTAAGCACAGCATACTTTCATGCACTATGCAATACTTTTGTGCAAGAAAATTGGATTTTCACTGCTGAAGAAAGTGAATTGAGCCAATTTCTTTGAAAATGCTTCATGTATTTGGGATTTTTTTTTAGCTTCCTTGCAAAATATTCCAGTCACCCCATCAAGCAGTATAATAGTTTAGTAGAACAATCTTGCTTCATTGGCATGGAAATCTGTGAGCCCTGTGTCCCAGCTGGTAATTGGAAATGTCTGTTTTGCTTAACATTATTTATATTTACTATGTGGAAATAGTAACTTAGGCACATTGATTGGAATCGTTTTTTTAAAGTAAGTGTAATGTGTATCTAATCTTTCAAATCTCTATTCCGCCTTACCTTATTATTTTAATCTTGCATGTCTTCTCTTCTGTTTTAAAATGCGCGATGTGCTAAACACTTATTGACCTTGGAAAGCCTTTTCCTGCTTATTTTGCAGCATTTTACAGTTTTTTTTGCTGATGGATATTAAAAGTGAAACTGCTTCCTAACTTTTTTTTATTTGCATGTTGCATGCTGTGGCATAACAACACAGATGGTGATGAAGGTAAAAATGATTCATCATTGTATGTTTGTATTTTCTGCCTCAGAGCTATTTTGTTTGCAATATTGTTTTTTTACATGATGTAGATGTTCATAGATATTCTATTCTGAGCTTTTTCCTGTTTGTTGACACTCGCATCTTTCATTTAATATTTCATATCCCACAAATAGTGATTTAACTTCCTTGTATTGTAGATCTGTATTACTAAATAGTTTGTTTCACACTAATTTTGTGTTTATTTACATATAGTGAATTGTCCAGTACTATGTTTAAAAAGTTCTAGTGAGAACAGCAGAAATATATAATATATATATATTCAAATATATGAATAGCTACGTCCCAGTTATTTCCTTTCAAAATTTCCATCCGCTTACAATCTTTACAAAAATATACATTGTACATAAACTTGCTTTCCACTTTTCTTCCATTTTTCCCTCCTCCACCACCCCTGAAGGTGCAAGTTCATGCTAATGTCAGGTGAAATCAGATTTCACCTGACCATGATTGTGAGGTTCATACACCAGTAGGCAAGGACAAAATCAAGCCGAATACAAAAATTCTGAATCACATGGATGAATTCTGGATGTGTCCAAATCAATGTATGACCTGTATAAGTGGATTGTTGGAGGGAGAGGATGTCATCTTCTTATCAGCAGTGGCTCTTTAAACGTTCTTGGGATGACCAACAGTATTTATTGTTGAATAGCTGGTTATATGGCTGGCTTTTTAGTAATACAAAGAAAACACTGGCTGGTGGCACTGCATATGCATTTAATTGCATGTAGATAGAAGCCTCCTTAGTCACAAGCAAGAGTGATCAGTAAGGAAAGTAAGTCAGGCTTCTTGTTCCATATCGTTCAACCACTCCCTGTTCCAGCAATATAAACTGGGCATTAATTCTGTCTGACTTGAAGAAATGCAATATTGCTTCTTTCCCCTCATTTCACAAGTATGAAACAAAATGGCATTTCCATCATGCGAAAGGCATTCTCTGTTATGAGGCAGATATGATGAAAAGTGTCAGAAAATCTATTCACCTCTTTGTGTCCTATGGAAACAAAATTGTAGGTAATTTGTCATCAAATAAAATGGCTCATGGTTTAGCAAACAGAGCTACAAATACTGTATAGAAACATAAACCAAAATACCCATATTGATCATTCATCAGCATGTTGCATTATAGGATGTTTTGGGGAAAAAAAATAACATAATTGTTGCTTGCTTTCTTCCCCATCCCAATCATAATTACTCAGATTTAGGAATAACATGTCCTCTTTAGACTCATTCCCATGCAACCACTCCCTGTTCCAGTGTTTTATATGTACATTTATATGTCTGTAAGTCTACATGTAAGTATTGATTTGGAGAAAATATTTTTTAAACATTTAATCTCAGTTTAGACTTTACAGTATAGATTTTATGTATTTTAAAGCAAGGGTGTGGAGAATGACAAAGTAGAAGTGAGGGGAAAGGGCAATCTTTGTTGCATTTCCTCTCTTAACTTAATTCACTCAGGCTTTTTCTGGACAAAGAGATTATGTGCATACAAGGGAGTGCTGAATGTGATTTGGGAAGGACTAATTTTTCCTCTGTCCCTCTTTGGAACAGTTTGCTTAAAACTGTCAAATTGTAAGGAAAGCCTAATTGCAAGTGTCAGCCAGAATTGGGAATCAAATGCTGACAACCGATGCTTTGTTTATGCTACTGTTAGCAAAGCATTGTCAATTAGGAATGGAAAGTCTGTTTTATACTTTAAATTTCTTATCACGTTGTCTAGGGCTTAGAAGGATTTTCTCTATGGATAACTAAGTGCACCAACACGGTGGGTTTTAATAATATTAAAGAACCAGTTACACAACCATCTCTTTAGCAGCATTTAATACTGGTCCTAAATTTTCAGGGGGGCTGTTACTGAGTGGAGTTGATCTGATTCACACCATTTGCAATTATATTTCGCAGGTATAAATTGATATGCTGGCAAAGCTACCTTTATAGTAATCATGGCAACCATCTTCCATCCTTAGTCTCGTTCAGACAATACTTCTGAACACTGAGTTTACTGGGCTTTTCACAGTGAATCGCTATGAAAACTTCAGTATAAACCAAGCATTGGATAATCATTCAGCTTTAAAGCCGAGTTATGAATACAATTTGGGGATTTTAATAAGTTAATGGTTATTGTAGTGATGTGAGAATAATGCTTAAGCAGTGGATTAAAAATATTTTTGTGCACTGCACTGCATTTGTATTCATAAACTGCTCTCTATACTTCTGTTTTAAGCTGGGAGAAGGCAGTTTGCCAGACATGAGTGGGCGCAGAAAGCAGCCTACCTGCTAGGTTGCAGCCTGGAAGAACTGTCCTCCTCTATTTTCAAGCACCAGCTAAAGGGCACGCTGCCAAGATCACCTTCCATTCGGCAAGGATCAGATGAGAGTGGACAGGGAGATGGTTCAGGTAAAACAACCCCAAATTATTCATTTTATCAAAGGTACTAATTTTAAAAGTGGCTGAAATAAATACAGTTTTACAGCGCTTGAATGTATCTTGAACATCGAATATACATTGTGCGTATTGTAACTTGCACAAAGAAATGAATACATCTTTATGGAACATGTATGATCAAATAACTTTGTATCTCTGCAGTTAAGTACAATGTGCTGCTTTCAAGTTGTATGGTGATCCATGTATGCTTTAATAGGGCCTAAGATAGCTGCGATGGATTGTCTACAGGGGATTGCATCCAGTTTATATGGAGAGTTGTTCGTGTTGCTAATCTCACTCATTAACAGGTAAATCTGCAATTGTTTTCAAAACTTGCTAGTTTTACAGTTAATGTACCAGTTTAGCGTAAACCTACAGAATACACAAACAAAATTGTAACAGTTTATTTCCATAATTGTTTAATTCATCTAAATCAATAGATATTGGTAGAGTGAAACTGTTGCCCCATATGTAGGTGGTAAATGCATTTTCACAGTTTATGATTTGAGAAATGTAATGTATAGTATTCTGCATTAACCTAGATTATTTACAATGGCATTTGGTTTGAATAATTATTACTTCATGTCATTTCAGGGAACATTTGCTTATTTTGGAAAAGCACAATATGTTTTGTGCTTTGCTCCTCAGAAACCTCTACCTTATATGTGCCAAAACATACATTCAGTTCTGATATCGCCCTTCTCAATTTATTTCTTGCTGAAAGATTTTTTTATATTGAAACTATATACTTTTAACAGTTAAAAGGCTAAACGTCAAATATCCATTTATGTCATGACTTGGAGCATTTCAACAAGTTCTACTTGATGAGAAAATGGATGTTCATTGTAACTTTACAAAAAGAATTTCAATTTCAAAACCGCATGGAGTCCTGTGGCTCAGTGGTTAGAGCACTCGCTTTGCAAGTGAGAGACCTGAGTTCAATTCCAGGCAGGTCAGGGCGAAACCTTGGGCAAGTTTCCTTACTCCACACGCCTAATAATAATCCCTCCAAAACCCCAAAACAATAATAAATTGGTCATTTTCAATCTACGACTGTTTGTGGGACATTGCTGTGCGCAATTGGCTGCCGCGTTCGCCCACAAATATACAGTCAATTCACTTTACAGTGTACTCTGTGAAGCGCTTTGGGACGTCCTCCCGACGTGAAAAGCGCTATATCAAATGCAAGGATTATTATTATTATTATCTTGGAAACACTGGCAAAATCATTGTAACAGTGACACCACACTGGTTGCAACTGTTTTAGGCTACACAATAACGTTATTATATATTATAATAATACACAATAATGTTGCCATAATTGTGGTGTTGCTTTTTCCCTTGTTGGTAAGAAGATGAAAGCTATTGTCGTCTGGGCTGTTTGAGGATATTCTTTGTTATTGGGACAATTCTGTTTGGTTTTAGAAGAAGCAATTTTTGAAACCATGCACACACCACACTACTGCAAATTAAGATGACTTTTTTTTGGCATCTGAAAGTATTTTACTTTTGAATGCTTCACGTATTCATAAGTGTAATGTAAAACAAGTGTATTGTCAATTTTATTGTGGCTTGTGTTTCTCTTCATGTTGCTCTTTATTCATACTAGGGCCCTTAAATCAACTTTGCACTCGTTTTGCTCAATAATGATCGTGGACACCCCTGGATTTCAAAATCCACAGAGCACAAACCATGACAGAGCTGGAACGTTTGAAGAACTCTGCCATAATTATGCACAAGAACGTCTACAGACTCTGTTCTATGAGCGAACGTTTTTGCAAGAGATGGATCGATATAAAGAGGTATTCTGTTTGTTACAAACAAAATAAAGTTGCATTATAGTATCAGAATAGGCACTCGCCTACCAATGCTAAACTTAGTATTTACACTTAGGTGTAAGATCCACAGATCTATATTTAACTGTTATGTATTTCATTAAGACAATCCAGTAGACTCTTAGTGTTTCTTAGTTTTATAATAAAATGGTAACCTCTGTAATCTCTGACAAGTTTCACTTTAAATTTAGTGGAAAAGAATTTACTTGCAGTATTCATCACTGAATCTTGCCATGCAAGGTAATTAATGGCAACATGTTGGCAGGTGTATTTTTTTCCATCATATCTGACCCAATTAACTATCGACTGGAATCATAACTGTAATCAGAGTTGCATCTACTAATCTGTCTTCTTCCCCTCTAGGAAAATATAGAGCTTGCATTAGATGACATAGAATCCAGTTCTTCTTTCTCTGTAGCTGCCATAGAGCAAGCCTCTCATCAGGCACTGGTAAGAAACTGAGGCATGATGATCTTTCAAATTAAATATGCTGTTCTCTCTGTAGTCACTGATCCTGAAATTATATTGATGACATATACCATCACATTTGTACTCTTTTCAGGGTTCGGGAGGGGGCTGGGTGGTTGTCTTGTACACAAACAGATTTATATCGTTATTTCCGCAAGAGGGAAAATGTGTAGTTTCTCTTTTCTGTCTCTGAATAGCTTAACACGTTTTTGCTCCTTCAATAATGATTATTTATAGCAACTGTTGCTCCTATTTATCTTTGTTTCTGACATACATTTTCTTCTTTTCCCCCCTCGCCCACCATTCTGCCCTCCATGTTCACAGGTTTCAATCAAATGAATTTGATTATCAGTATAATTTTAAACAGATGTAAGCACTGCACCCTGTATGCTACACTGCGCCTTGCATATAAATACTGAATTTTATGTGTCTAGTTGCTGCCATTGACATTTTATACTCTTCTATTGCTTTTTAGGATATATGGTAAGCTTGTGTGAATGTCTTCTCTGCTTATTTGTGATTTTATAGTCCAAAATTTCCTTTTTGAACTTTATTTAGTTTACAACTCAGGGAATGAGAACTTTTTTTCATTTGAGTGGTGACAAGTTACTGTAATATTAGAGAAGAATACGATTTAAGAGCTGAGCAGTGTAGAATTGAATCAATGTGTAGTATCTGCAACTTCAGCAACAACAAATATGAGAGTGTTGAACTTGCTCAGTAGAATACAATTCATGAGGCTGAACTAATGAGGCTGTTTAGAAATAGCTATTAACAGGCTGATGTAATATTCTCAGTACAACCACCACCTTCTGAGATAGGTCTTCACCCAACCTTCAGGGCAACAGCACCTAGCATAGCAAAATAAATAACAGCTGTCAAGAGTGCTGGCTGCTATGTTTGAGGCTGGAGGAGGGCTGAAAAATCATGTTCAGACCTCTTCTAAAGTTTAGGGAAAACTTGTAGACAGACAGAATATCACGACTTTGAATCAACAGAGCATGCTTAAATTCAGACATTGAATTGGGATTTGATCCCAACTTTCTCCTAGTACCTGGATATTGCCCACAAACGAAATGGAGGCATATTTCAGGCACTAACTTTCTCTCAGAATCAGTTCTATTTGAATTGATTCTGAATTGGTTTGTAAGACTAATGCAGCACATGCTGTGGCTTCATAGAATTATACAGCACAGAAGGAGGCCATTTGGCCCATCATGTCTGTGTCAGCTCTTTCAAAGAGCTGTCCTAATTAATCCCACTCCCCTTATGTTTGTGAAAATACTGTATTTACAGATTTTTTTTAAAAAAAGTCTTTATTATATTGGCCTTTCGATTGCTAAGTAAGAATAGTTTAATTTCTACATCACCGAATCAGCTCTTGCTCCAATGAGCACAGAAAGCTTTTGCAGAAACCAACTTTGCCTGCTAATAATATATACTCAATCACTTACTGAAGTGCACCTTAAATGTGTGGTTAAATAATGCATCAATAGATTCCATTAAGGCTGATGTCACTGAGATGAAAAAAGAAGAACCTATGTGCTATTACCTCTACTATTATTAATCTAGCAAATTTCACAAGTCCTGGTGCCTGTTTATATAAGTTTCATTGATGCGCTGACATGTACTTTGCATCATAAGGAGCGATGATGAGTGAAGGGGTTGCCTTCCTCCAGAGTTGCTAACCCTATATTTCAGCAACATTATTAAGTAATTGGAAACCTCTGAATTCCTCACAAAGCAGACTGCAGAAACGATGATGTTAGTTTTGCTGTATTTCTGGTAGGTTCGAACGTTGGCCAGAACAGATGAAGCAAGAGGTTTGCTTTGGCTGCTAGACGAAGAAGCTCTGCAGCTTGGGGGGAGTGAGAACACTCTTTTAGAACGACTGTTTACATACTATGGCCCACAGGAAGGAGACAAGAAAGGTAAAATATCATCAATTAACAACAAAGGATGCAGAATAAAATTCAGCTCGTATTTGTTTAAAAATCTATTGTAATTCAATTCTTTAAAAAAACTTTAGTATAAAGGCGCCACTGGGTGTTCTATTTCTGCTGAACAATTATTTCATTTAGATTTAATTATGTTGGAGAAGGACACTGTAGAAAACAGACCTATTTCTTTTTGCAGGCCAGAGTCCGTTATTGAAAAGCAACAAACCTCATCATTTCATCCTTGGACACAGTCATAATACTAACTGGGTGGAGTATGACACAACAGGATGGTTGAACCATGCAAAGCAAAACCCTGCTGCTCAGAATGCTGCATCCTTGTTGCAGGATTCACAAAAGTAAGAAGAGCCATTTCAACAAAGTGTTTTGTATTTTGTTTATAAGACACGTAGTTTTAAAATGAAAGATTCTTATAGCAGTTTGAGTTGCAGGTAATGTGTGTAAATGAGTGAAGTGTTCCTTCTTACCTTTTTACCTTATTGTATAATACAGAGCAATTTTTTTTTCCCCCTAGGAAAATAATCAGCAATCTATTTATGGGCAGGGCCGGATCAGCCACTGTATTGTCTGGGTCAATTGCTGGCCTAGATGGTGGGTCACAGCTTACCTTACGGCGGGCCACCAGTATGCGAAAGACTTTCACGACTGGTGTGGCTGCTGTGAAGAAGAAATCATCTTGTATCCAGATCAAACTCCAAGTGGTTAGTATGTGAATAAATGAGGTAAAAATATCAAAGAAAGGAAGTAGAGCTCTGTACCGTAAGTTATTTGTCACACCTGCCCAAATTATTCATTCTGAATTTGACAGCTAAATTCCATTCTTTCTCCATTACTTCTCACCTCAATGAGCTTGTGAAAAGTTATTTTTAAACAAATCCCAAAGTGCAGAATTTTGCATCTTTCACGTGTTGATTTGACGGTTGATGGGTGCCAAAATTATTTTTCTAACAACTGAACATGTGCGATATAATTTAGCAAATGATTTGGTGCTTTTAACATTGCAGAGGTTTTTCATAAATGTGAAACATTTAAATCTATTTACCAAGCTAATTCAGTTATTTTGCTCTTGTTTTTGGACAGGATGCTCTGATTGATACAGTTAAGAAGTCTAAGATTCATTTTGTCCACTGTTTGGTGCCCAAAGCAGATGCCTTTATTGAAACAAAGGTGTCTCCAACTCCTCCTCTCAAGACTGATACAGAGTCCCAGGCAGAGAACATGGAGGCAGGTTTAATGCAACTGAACGTACCGCTGCTTCGAGCCCAGATTAGGGGCTGCAAACTTCTTGATGCACTTAGAATATACCGACAAGGTAGGTTTAAAGCATTTAATATCTATTTTTTGATTATGTCCCAGGGATTCATTTTGGTATAATAATTGGAAAAAGAATGTCAAAGGCCCTGTTTTTGTAGTTGTCCGTGAACCTGGCTTAGTGTAACACTCTCGATTCTGAGTCAGAAGGATGTGAGTTCAAGCGCCACGTTGGTTTTTTTGAATCACATAATCTAAGATGACAACAATGCAGTGTGTTGCATTGTCAGAGGCACTGTCGTTCGGATGAGACGTTAAATGAGGTCCTGTCTGCCTGTTCAGGTGGATGTTAAAGATCCCATGGCACTGTTCTAAAAGGGAAGGGAGTTTTCTCAATTTCCCAAATAAAATTGGTCACTCACGTCATGGCTATTTGTTTGATGTTACTGTGCCCATCTTGGCTGCTGTGTTTCGGCCACAAAATACACAATAACTACACTTTACACTATATCCTGTAAATATGCTTTGAGATGTCTCAACGAAATGATAAGTTGCTATGTGAAATGCAAGGATTATTATGGCTATAAAATATTGTTCAATCCTCTTTGGGTTTTGAATATTAGTTTGAGAACTACACACAGTACTACTGTGTACAATTCCAATAATTGTAAGGCCTTGGTTTCTGGTATTTCAAATATTATGTTCAAGGAAGTGTTACTTATGAATTTTTTTACATGTCTTTGAAACCTTTTATGATTTTTATCTAACAGAAACAATACTAATAATAAATATTTAATGTTAGTGGCTGAGCCATTGTAAGTGTACAGTCATAGTAATGAATAGAATTGCAAGGTAATGCAGGGGGTACAATTCCTCGATGCTTGAGATATCTATGTATGGTAGGTAAGGGACACATCATTTAGATGTTGTCATTATTGCACTATAAATTTGTAAAATTTTTGAATTTGCCATTTGCTTCTATTTTTATGTTTCATATTTATAAATAATATAATTCAATCCATGACTGTTTGTGGGACATTGCTGTGTGCAATAGGCTGCCGTGTTTCACCCACAAATATACAATCAATTAACTTTACAGTATATTCTATGAAGCGCTTTGGACATCTGGAAGACGTGAAAAGCGCTATATCAAATGCAAGGATAATAATAATGATAGGATGTGGACGTTTCTGCATGTATTGTGCTCATAAGATGAGCAAGCTGATAAATACCATATCTTCCAACACCAAAGCATCCTGTTTTCACCTTTGCTGCATTGAGTGAGCACACACATCCATCTAGAATTGCATGAAATGATATAACACTGAATCGGTTTATGCTCCACATGAGACCACCCCACCCCCCCCCCCCCCCCCAACCTAGTTTAGTTTTGGAATCTCTAGTGAGTTAAATTTGAGTCCTTACAACCTAATCAGTTATACAGACTGTCAGTTTTGTATGAATTAATAATTTTGACCTGATGCTGTGCAGCTTGTTTAGCTTAATCTTTTTATAGATTGGCCAAACATCTTTTGTTGTCTGTTGTTGCAGATATGCTATAGCACCATGTATTAATTAACTAACTGGGAAAAGAACATTGAACCAATGGTGCAGTAATATTTAGAGACATGATTATAGAACATTGACTCTTGGTAAGATCCCAGTATGCTTATGCCAGCAAGCGGAGGTACAAAACTGAAGCAGTTATCTTCCCCACAGTGTGCCTCTGCAATCTGTTTCCATGCACCTCGTAACAGTTTCCTGAAGAATGGTGTTGACAGATGCCTGGAATCAGATGACCTGTTAATCCTATTGTGAATGGAATGGTGCATTACATGGAAGATCTGCCCATGTTTCGCCCATAAAATATACAATCAATTCACTTCACAGTATATTCTGTGAAGCGTTTTGAGATGTCTCGAAGACTTGATAAGGCGCTGGATCAAATGCAAAGATAATTATTATTATCTCAGAGTTAAATATTTAACTTAATATGAGGATTGAAGAGGAGACAAAAACAAACTTACAGGATAAAACATAAACTCTTCTCAAATTATTAGACAAGATTCGGTGCAATATATATCTTTAAAAAAGAGGACTCTGAATAGATATTGAATCTGTTCATTTTCAGATAATAATAAAACTTACATTTGACATAGCGCCTTATCACCTCGTTGAGTCGTCTCAAAGCGCTTCACAGGATACACTGTAAAAAGGCTTGACTGAATATTTTGTGGGTGAAACAAACCAAAGAACACAGTGTTAAAAGCCAAAAAGCACTAATCCTTCAATGCATCCTATTTTTGAATACACATTTCTGTCCCGTTTGGTGCTTCTGCACTAATGATAATTATTCTAGTCAAGGGTAGACATGTCACTACTTTCTCCACAGTCTCTCGACAGTGCCAATCTTAAACCGGTTGCTAGGAAACGTGTGAGAGTGACAAGGATTGACTCGCTCTCTGTGGACTTCAACCTCAGGAAGTGCTGAAGGTTTTAATTGTATCAGCATGTAGAGCTGAGAATGCTTGCCCTTGCTTTTTTCCTGGCTGAAGGACCCGATATTATGATTCTCCATCAGGCTTCTTTGTCAGTAGAAAATGTTGATTTTCAGGATGAAGAGGAGACCTTTCCAAACATTTTCATTTTATAGTTGTTGGGCGAAGAAGTATATCATATTTGAACTTATTTCCCCTTTTGACCTGGCATATTTCTTTGGACATTATCTTGTTCAATCATATTGGAGGCCATCAAAACAAATACTCTTTTTGGGGGGTGGGGGTTGGTAATCTTTGAAATAAATCAATATCTCGATATTAAAACAAAATAACCAAAGATGTTTTTAAAATTGTGATCTGAAGGTTATCCGGATCACATGGTCTTTTCTGAGTTCAGGCGCCGCTTTGATGTCCTTGCACCGCATCTAACCAAGAAACATGGGCGCAATTACATTGTCACAGATGAAAAACGGGTGAGTTAACTCAAAGAGACACTACATTCTATCCGAAATCTACAGTGTTGTGCGTGGCGCAGTAAGGTACGGGTTCTCCCCAATAATTTCACAGACTCAGCCGCAAGATCAGAGAAGGCACTGACTAAATGTTTCGTGCCCGGGAAGAAGGACAGTTTAATGAGTAACTTTAATCTGAATTACCACTTTAGTCAGGCTGCTGTTGGGAAAGGGGTGTTAACGGATGGCTAGCTTATCATCTTTGTCATAAAATAGTATATGGCACAAGAGGAAAATAATGTGATTGTTGAACTCAATTTGTGTTTTGTCCTGAAGTTTATCATTTAATAATTAGATTTTTAAAGCAGCATTATTGAGTACAAAAATGTTGTGGCTTATTTTCCACCAAACTTTGCCAACTGAAAGATTATTTCACATTAATTTGATATATTAGAATTGAGTAAGTACTTTTACTATCCTCCTAATTCATTAAATTGCATGGATCCAAAAGGTTTTAAAAATATTGAAATAATATTTCATGCGCAATAAATGGGAATAGATTGAAAAAAATATAGCAGAAGCTAGGCCAGTTCTAAGAAATGCCTTTTTATACTATTGTTTTCATTATATTTCACTGTGAATCACAATTTATACTTTTGACTTTCCAGATTCAATTGATTCACCAGGCATATTAAATTACTATTCAATTGTCTGATTTTCATCAGGCACGTAGTCAAGCCTGAGACAGCTTTTCAGCCAAGACCTTCCAATTTAAGTTTAAGTTGAGATTTTTTATTTCAAATTATACTTGAACACGAAAAGCTAAGTCAATCCAAATTGTGCTTTTGCACTGTTCTTACGCACATTCTAACAGCTGTTTGCAGGGCTGTATTGGCAGTGAGCGGCCTATGTCAAGCTGTCTTCTATGATCTCTAGGCTGAGAAATAATATGTAGCACTGGGGAACTGAAAGAAGGAAAATGTTTTTTTTAAATGTTTGAAGTGTGGAATCTAGTAAAATGTCTATTTTTATTGTACCTTTTATTAAATAAATGATTAGATGTTTGATTCAGTGTTTGATAGCCACTCAGAATATTTCCTGAAGCTGAACCTGTGCTTTTCCCGGTAGTTTTAATATTACGTAAAAANTGAGATTGCAAGCATCACAAACCAGAAAAGTGGAGCTCTTCAACTTCCACACCAATTTGCACAATGAGAGCAACGTCATTACAAAAAGGAACCTAGCAGTAACAAAGAACTAGTGTGGGCAAACTGGAAGGATGAGATCAAATGGGCCAAAGCACCTTCTTTATCCAAACCTCTCATGATCTTCTGATGTCTTTCAAATAGTTATTGTGAAGCAGCTATGGATTTAACCTGTAAACCAAAAGTTTAATCATGAGTAAGCAGTTAATTTAGTATCTCCAGTTGCGTCCTGACTTGAGACAACCTTCGTATAAAGCATAGGCATCACATTCAGTTTGGCTGCTAGGATGAAACTATTTCAGGAGACCATTTAGATGGAGTTATTTGATATAAAGCACAGATTAATTCTCTGCTTTGCAAATTTCAGCAAACGTATTGCTTCTGTGTTTCCAGAGCTAAACATTTCTCAATCAACTACAGATAGTAATATGGCAACAGATTGTTTATTATTACACAGCATCAGGAAACTGAAGTACATTGATTGACAAAAGTATTCATGTCAGAAATCGAACTTCTCACCAATTTAATGCTGATCTGAAAAAGTAGCAAATGGTATTGCATCAAAATTCTTAACTTCTAAAAGGGTACACTTTAACCGAAAACACCGTAGTGCACTTTTTTTGACAAGTTGATCGATTCTCAAAGATTCTTCCTGATGCTAGTCACAGTACCTTTAATTCCAATGAAACATTATTCACAAAGGGTACCTCTCCATATAAGGCAGTACTTGCCTTCTGGTGAAGCAATCACTCTGGCAACTATTTAGAACAAAGGTCTATTTAGTATGCTGTTTATTAACCTCCAAGTTTACAGTGGAGCAGTGGGAACACACTTTAAACTGTCACTTATAACTCAGAGACAACCCTCGTTTCACACAGGAGCTTCAGACTTTCTCACTGTTCGATCACAACTACTACAGTATTGTCCTTTTCGTATGGAGGTGTTATGGTTGAAGTGTTTTGACTGTAAGCATGAGGTTAACTGCTGTTTACATTTAAGAATAATGCAAAATTATATTTTTCCTTTGATAAATGTCTAAGTAAATGAAGCACGGCAACTTGTGTGTGGGTGGGGAGAGTGAGCGAGCGCACACAAACACACATGCGCAACCCAATTATAGCACTCTTCAATTGTACTTAGCAACTCTTTGGAAAACTAAAAATTTCAAAGCTGTGCTGTCATTGAATATTATGCTGTAGGTACTATTGTAAAGGTCACGTCTAAAGGCTCATTATGTTAGAACTATTCATTATAGTTAGTATTGTTTTTTCAAAAGTGCTTTTGTTTTTCATCTCTTACAAATTGTAACCTTACAAATTATGTTCTTGGACCTGATTATAAGAGCAAATTGGTATTCATGGCATCAGCGGTGAAGTCCCACCATATTATAGCGAGCAGCAGTGAGTGAGGTTTAACCTTCAAAGATGTGGAAAAGTCTATAAAATTGTGTAGTTATATAATTCAGTCATGTAGAGATTGTGCATGTTATCAGAAAACGTTTGATTTTGATTAAAGTGAAATCTTTTGGGTTTTTTTAGTGTTTGTTTATTATGGGAATTTTTCACTTTTAGGCAGTGGAAGAGCTTCTGGAGTCCCTGGATTTGGAGAAGAGCAGTTATCACATGGGCCTTAGTCGGGTAAGGAATGCTGTTTATAAAAATAGTTATCTGAACAGTATGTTGCTACCCAAGTCTGGGGAGAAAGCCTACCAGTATTAGACTAGCTCATCTATCTCTCGGTAATGAGCAACTGTCATCACTAAGGTGAACTGTCTAAGTAAAACAAGATCAGAGTTGATGCACATTGAAGTATCTCCTCACCGAACTATATAGGTTGCAACTCTGCAGCTGATGAATTGAATTATAGTTACACTAAAGTTAGGTTTTTTTGTAAATGATAAATTCTTGGCCTATCAGATTTAATTTGCTCTTGTTAGGATTTTGTACAATCTCAAAGCCTTAAATTATTGGCTCCTTCTAGTGCTGAGCGGAATTACATAGAAGTAAAAGATGTTTACTCTGATACCACTTGCAGTTTAATCCCAAAACAATTGTACCGGCATCCCTTGAATTGGATTTACAGTTCTAATGAAAGATCAATATTGTTTAAACAACTTTGAACCTGGCATAATGAACTGTACTGCTTAATAGTGCATGATTAATTGCACGGATTAGTAAGATTAGCACTGTAATAGCAATTGGTATTGGTTTGAGAAACATGAATTGATAACAATTCATTATTATTTTCTATTAGTATTGCTTTAAAAATAATTTGGCATAAACAACAGTCCTCTTCCAGATGAACCAATTTGGAATAGGTGATGCTATTTCTGTAATGTAGAATTTAAAATTGCTTCAAGGACATATCCCTGTATGTACAGTAATTGAATTTTTTCTCCCTTCCAAAAGTACACGCTTCCATAAATATTGTCCTTATGCCCCATCTTTAGCCTTTCTGGATGGAGATCACAAAGAACACAATAGTGCATGTCTGCTCATGAAGGGCAAAGCAAACTAAATCCCCAATGTTTAACTTTCAAATCCTCCCACATTTATCATAATGCATCCCTCCCATCTCAACCAACTAAAGTAGGCTCAAAGCCCTGCCAAAGAGCAGCATCGCAATCAAACTAAAAGCATCCATAATATATGAAACTGCTTGCTCTGCAGCATGTAACCCAGCATATGTCCTGTACAATACTTAACTCTTTTTAATTTTAAAATAATTTTCCCCCACCCCACTGATTGCCAGCCCTTCATAAACCGTGCTTCTTGCTGTCATGTATCAATATGTAAAAATAACTATTTAAATGTTTTACTTCAGTGAATTTTCAGTTCAAATCTAATGCATAATTCATATCTGGTGGTATTTCTAGTGTTATCCTCTGCTGCATTTTGTTGCAATGTGATTTGCCCAATTTGTCTAGAGGCATTGAAAAAGCTTGATTAGTGCTTGGCCTTTATTTAGACACCAAGACCTCAGCTTTGAGGATCTGTTGTTGCTTGAGTTCGTTTCTGTAACCTTGCTGTATCAAGAATTTCTGTCATCTGAAATGAGCACTCTCAGGAAATAATTGTAAACCTTGAGGATTGCAACTTAATGAATTTGAGTTAGTAGAGTGCATAACTTGATATGTTTATAAGGAGAAATGATAATTAATTGTTTCAACAGCTAGTTGGAATGTAAAGTGGCATGTACAGAAAAAGACGGGCGAATGTTGAAATCTTACCTCATTTATCTTGCCATAAAATTACTGGAGCATTTTTCAGTGTTCATTAATTTTGGTCAGCTGGGTTACCTGACCCATCACCATGCTTAAGAGTATCCAAACGAAACTGATTTCCAGTCATCCAACCTACCAACATAGAAATTCATGTTTATGATATATCCAGAGAAATATCAATGTAAAATGTTGAACTACTATTCATTTCAAACCAGATTTGCAGAGAACTTGATTTTAGATTCATACTTTACGAAATAGCTTTTTGGAAAGGGAGAGCACTTTGCATCAGAAACTACTTGTAAACATTATTGATTGGACATATTTAAATTGGTGCTGGTTGGAAAAAAGCTCAGAAATCTTTCTAGTCCAGGTTTCTTGAAAGGAAGAAACCATCTTAAATATCTCTGACACTACTATTGCAGAAAGCCACCATAAGCAACATCATCCTTCCTATAAAAGCTGATCCCATTTCTAAAACTGTTTTCAATGCATCAGCACTACTGCTTCACAAACTGCTTTCCAACGTACACGGATAGAAATAATCCCCCACAGGGAGGAGATAAATATAGCAGTGTTTTTGACTGGATTTATTGTGAGTCCATTACATTGAAAGTAGTCTCATTACAACCTGAAAATAATTCTACCCTTCAAGCCTTTAATTGCTTTAAAACTGAAATAAACTGGCCACATTTGTAAATATTTACTTGGCTGAACTATTCCTTAATTCGTATTAGGTGCGTTGAGCAGATGCAAAAAAGATTTTTTTTAAAAAAAACTTGCAAATAAACCTCAAATGCACTTTACAAGCATATTTTAGACCTGGGTACTTAAAGGGGGTGATTTGCCATTTAGTGGGAAAGTAAGAGGCCTTTAAAGGCTTGCATACTTATGTATAGGGAATGGTGAGTGAGGTTTAATCCTGCAAATTAAATTCTTAATTTCCAGCTATATTTGGATTCCATTAGGTAGATATTTCCCTTCTAAAAACATTGTAATTGCATTTTAAGTTGACTGGTTTGTTTTTGAAACTTGCAATCCATACCTGCACCCGTAGGTGAGGTATCACTCAGAGTGAAGAAATGACCATTAAAGCAGCACTGAAAATTATGTACGTCCATTGTCTCATATCATGCCTAATTCACGAGTTTCTCTCCCGAGAGTGCTCAATCATCCCCAGAATCTGCTTAAAAAGGAAGCATTTTTAGCATATGTTCCTGAAGGACTTTCACCCCAAAAGCACTAATGGAGCAGAATCCTTTCACGTCAAAATTGCCCCCATAGGTGGCTCGATTTAACAATCAAAGTCTTGTTCGTTCCACGTTAAATGTCATAGCCTGTGTTGAAAATGTAGCATTGAACTGAAAGAAATGCTGCCTGCAGTATGAAACCTTGCTTCAAGGTTTTGCCCACCGGTAACTACCTTGTCATGTTGTAAAGCTTTAACCAGAATATGTTTATTTGATCTGAATTGTTTCTGAGAGTCACATTTTAAGTTGAAGTGCTTGATTTTTTTTTAAAAAAAGGTACAGTAGTGAACTTTGAAGATGCCTGTTCAACTGTGTGAACTCAAAAGAATTGAGGGGAATTTTTAGACAGTAATACAGATGCATGTTGTGATATTGTTGATAAAAGGAACAAGTTTTACTAAATTATTGTGTAATGGAAGGATCTATATTTTTAACTTATATTTGAGAGGGCAATTCAAGAACCTGTTTGTTACACAGATTACGTATGAAATCTGAAAAAACACATATTTACATTTATACAAAGCCTTTCACTTCAGGAGTATGTCCCAAGGCGCTTGGCACCCAAGCTGGGGGTGGGAGCTGAGGGAATGGGGAGAGGAAAGATGACCAAAGGATTAATTCCTAAATGAAACCAATTAGATAATTACTGCTGTATTGTTAATGATGAATCTGATTGATGTAATTGGGTTAATGCATTCAGTTACTTATCGACTGCGCTGGCTTGGTGGAATTTGTGGAACTGTGTCCAAAGCTCTAAGTGGCAAACTGCATACAAATTGTTAGATGGTGAAAATGTTTGGGGCATTGCTAAATTTGGTGCAAGTCAAACTGATGTGTGTGTTATTAGGTGTAGTTATTTAGTAAATATTCTGTTTATTCAAGTGAAACACAACAGTATTCTTGGCTTCTTACATTCGGAATAGCATTGGTACACTTTATGAATAACAGATTGAGACAGATTATATGTTTCATGTGTTTGTAATGGATTGTGCTTCAAAGGTTTTCTGTAACTGCTGCTGTTCTGATCCATTTCTTTATGTTCTTCATTGAATGGAAGTCTCACTAATTTTTACCCAAGTAAAACTTGTCAACCAGCATTATTTTATTGCTCCATTTTCCTGTCTCTGAATAAAACTATTTCTATTAATTCTTGGTATAGGTGAGAGGTATTCATTTTGGGTAATGGAAGTGATTTTCACTTTTGCACTCCTGTCAGCATCAGGTATTCCCAGAGTCAATCTAGTTGAAGAGTAAGCACTGTCTGCACTGCTTCAAATAATGCATTGACCCCCTCAGAAGCGCACTCCCTGCTACACCAGCCTGGCATTTCCATTTCCCGCAGCAACCATCTTTGCGACCTGAATGAATGAGACGGCCAGCTTGGTGTCAATTGAAGTTAAATTGAGGGTCATTTTGAGATGGGAACTCATACCCACTGGGAACTGGATTACGACTACCAAATTAATTTAATTCAAGACTCTGAGCGCCATTCAGAGAGAAGAGACTTTCTGTTGTTAGTCTGTACAAGATTAAATACAGATCCCAGACATGAAAGGGTTAACGACAGTGTCCTAAATACATATGCCACTAGGACTAGGTAGGAGTTTTAAAATTTCTGAGTGATAAAAAATGAACTGATAATTTTGTGAGTTAGAAAGTGAAGTTAGAAATCCATCAGATTCTTGCTTTTATCACCTGAGGGATAACATAAAGGAATCTTTAAGTTTGTATTTAATTAAAATACTTCTTTATCAAATAGTTATGAAATGGAAGCTATGCTCCTTGTGGAGCTATAGTGTGTTCTGCACAAAATATGTCAAATACTGAACTATAAAGTGAACAAGGAGCACTGTTTGGCTGTTAGTAAAACTCAACTCTGTAAGTAGGCCCTGAGAGTAAATTGTGAACATAATGCATGCAACTAATGATAGGAGAGATAAGCTCTTAAACATACCTATCACACTGGCTAACGCCTATCTGAGAGTGACTCAGGACTTGGCAACTTCAGAGGGAGAACAGAGCTTACTCATTTTGATGTAGACGAGTGGAATCACTACTTTTATTTTACAAATTTATACCACAAACGTACATGTGCAGCACAGAAGAACATTTTGATATCATGTGATTCACTTGGTGAGTACTTATGAACAGTACATTTAATGAATTTCTGGCACTGAAATTTTATTAACACTTAGTATTTATTTAATCCAGGATATTTAATGATCTACTACCAGATGTAATACATCACAACTAAACAATATTGTTCTGTTTTATGCTGTTTCATATTGTATAGGTATATTTTATTAACGCAGAGTTCTTTATTAAATATGTTGGCCATTGAAATGTGTTGTAAAATGTGCTTTATGGATATGAGATACATTGCTTTAGTATATTCTTAATGGCTGCTTGTGTACGAAACAGTCTGCTCAGCAAACCAGCCTGTTCACATTTGTCTTCCAATCTCAATATAAGTATGACTTCAATCATGTTAATTTGGTGCCTGACCTATAGTCCTGCTGTAAAGAGAAACAGCCCAGGAATAGCGTCAATATTGCAGAATGGGAAACTATAGATTGGTTAGGATCCTGAACTGCGCAAAATCATGAAAATACTCAAAAGTTGCGCCCCCCCCCGGCTGCTAACGAGGTGTGTGAGATCACCACAGGAAACGCGGCATTAAATCATCTGCCAAGTTTTCTTGATAGTTTTAACTGAGATCAAAAGCTCATTATGTTGGGCACTGCAGGTGTTAACAGTGTTCTACAACTCTACCATAGAACATCGAAGCTCCTATATTACTGCACCACTGCAATGATCCTACTTATTCAAAATAATTACCGGAACAGAATTGAAACTGAGATTCCTTTAAATGGAATTATGTTTGTGAAGTATTTTCCATTTTTTTTGCAAATACATTCATCATTGCTTCATGGCTTCCGTTTTTTAAAATATGTGCTTAATGAGACTAATGTAATTATCAAAGGCTCCCATCAGTAATCTTTGAGAAATTGAATTCCATGAGTCTGCATTTGTGATATTGGTGATAAATAGCTTATTGAGCAGGTTCAATACAATTTCCCCTCCTTCTGGTTGAAATCCCTCTTGGTAGGAACACAGAGACTTATCAAAACTAATATCCAGAACATATTTAATGAAAGTTTCTCAGTGAAACTTTAACAAGTCTGGTATGAAAATTACAGAATTCTCCATTGTTCCAAAGCGCTCTGAGATGCCGTCCGGCGTGGAGGGCGCTATATAAATCCTTGTTGTTGTTAGTATAGGTTTGATGCATACAAAATTCTGGTTCTTAATGTTAGATAAAATAAGCACACAAGCATTTCAATGTAACAGTAATAACTACAAGTCACAGTTGATGGCTCTGTCTTTGTAAGGGGAATGTTTGCTACAGGGCTTAAATCTAGATCTATTTGATCAAAGACATTAAACATGTCTTTGCTTATGAATGTTTGTGATTTTTGACCTTTTATTCTGCAGATAACAATAGCACTATTTTGCCAGCAGTCCCACTCGCATAAGTTGAAATGCACAATTATGTAAGAAGGGAAAAAATTGTTAAGCAGCATTGTTTCATAAAGCCATGCATCAGCACCCAGTGTTGTGAGGACTCCAGAAGCAGAGTACATTCATTTGATTTGTTACCAGGATTAGATTTTTCTATCAGAAAATTCAGATGCAAGCACAAAAAGTAGCAACATGATGATGTTTTCTCATTCAGTTTTTTGAATTTTCAGGATTGTGATATAAAATCTATTGAAAACTAAATGGTTACAAATATGGCCTGTCGCGAATGCAGTTATTTCTAGCCATCTGTAAGTGGTTGTACGCTCCAAGGTTGTGTTGTTGAATAACCTTACCGGTTGAGTGGTTTTTCAGGAGATTACAATACCAAACACAATACCTGGGAAAATATATTGCTGCATTGATGGCATTGTTAATGTTGATGGAAACAGCTTCTGAGTGACAAAACAAGAAAAATCAATACACAGAAGGTTATAAAACCTAGTTTAATGGGCAGATATTTTCTTCCTTTAAGGGGTTGAAAAGACCTTTCGTGTTCAATAAATTAAAAGGCATTGATAGAATGTTTTCGCCCACTGAAACTTTTAAGTGAGAAAACCAATAACAGTCTACACAATCTAATGTAGACAGCACAGACATTGATGTGTAAACAGTAACTTCTCACATTTGACTTCTGAAGCCATCTTGATTGAGTACACCCATTTTTCATACATTTTCGTATGATTATGGGTATTTGTTATTTAATAAGTGTAAGATTTCCATATTTAGAATTTTTGAAAGGTGGTGTGGCATTGGAATTGTGTGGTGCATAGAATGGAAGCGGTTGTATTGTACCTGTAATCCATCACTCAATGGGCTATCAATCTCAGTCATTTGTGAGGAGGCACAGGGAATGATCACAAGGCAGTTATTTAACCCCAAGGACTCCAACCCAGAATCATGAGAGATTTAACTAGTGTCTTCATGATTTTTTTATTTGGCAATGTTTTCATAGAATCATACAGCACAGAAAGAAGCCATTCGGCCCATCGTGTCTGTGCCAGCTCCGAAAAGAGAAATCCAACTCAATCCCACCGGGCCGCTTTCTCTCCATAGCCCTGCAATCTTGTCCTCCCTAAATACACACTTCCCAGTCAGAAAAGCATCCATTTACTACCACTCTCTGCTTTCTGTCTCCTAGCCAGTTCTGGATCCATGTTGCCACAGTCCCTTTAATACCATGGGCTTCTATTTTGTTTCTAAGTGTCTTTTGCAGCACTTTGTCAAATGCCTTTTGAAAATCTAGATAAACTACATCTACTGCACTACCTTTCATCCACCCTCTCAGTCACTTCATCAAAAATTGTATTAGGTTTGTCAGACTCAATCTGCCTTTAACAAATCCGTGTTGACTGTCCTTTATTAAACCATATTTTTCTAAGTGAGAATTTATATTGCCCCGGATTATAGTCTTCAGAAGTTTCCCTCCTGCTGATGTTAGGCTGATTGGCCTGTAGTTCTCAGGTTTACCCTTCGGCCCCTTTTTGTACAGGGGAGTAACATTCGCAACCTTCGAGGCCTCTTCACCACTCCAGTATCCAAAGAGGATTGAAAGATTGGAGCCAGTGCCTCCACTATTTCCACCCTTGCATCCTTCAGTAACCTAGGATGCATCCTGTCCGGACTTACCTATGTTGAGCATTTTTAGTACCATAGTTTTATAGGTGAGAGTTTTATTCGATTTTAAGTATTTTTCTATTTGTTTTTTGCTGGTAAGATATGAGGTAGCAGAGAACATCCAGTGCCCCCACAGGAATCTGCACCTTCAGGGGAGAAAATTGATGGTGGGGACATTTAAGAGAGAAAGATGCAAAATTTTAAAAACTGCAATCCCATTTTGCCAGTCTATTAAATTCAAGGTCCCATTCACCATGCGGTGAAATGAATATTAATCAAATATTTGACAAAATTACTTAATTGTTTACATTTGAATTTTCTTGATTTATAGGTGTTTTTCAGAGCAGGATCTCTCGCTAAATTGGAAGAGCAGAGAGATGAACAGACCAGAAGGAACATCACACTTTTCCAGGCAGCTTGCAGAGGGTACCTTGCACGGCAATATTTCAAGAAGAGAAAGGTAGAATGTCAGTTTCATTAGAGTAATCGCAGAGTTCGTTCTATACCCAATCCTATTTATATTCAATTTGTCATCTTCAGATCTTAGCCAAATATGTCGGCATCTTCAGATCTTAGCCAAAAATGGAAGTTGAATATTTTCCAATAGCAACTGTATTTCACTCCTGAACAATAACAGCACTGTTTGTTTAAAGTTGTAAAGTTAAAACCTCATTTGGAGTGTCATGGGTATTATAATTGGACCAACTTTATTGTGCTGTAGTTCCACAGATGCTGCATTTGCCCGTTTAAAGAGGATATTTATGAAATTGTTTAATCAACTGATCTGAAATGATGCTGATGGCACAGCAATGGTATGATACTAATAGTATGACTGATACTGATTTAATGATTGTGTTTCAGATTCAGGAACTAGCTATCCGGTGTATTCAGAAGAACATAAAGAAGAATAAAGGGGTCAAGAATTGGCATTGGTGGAAGTTGTTCACGACAGTTCGGCCATTGATTGAAGTTCAGTTGACAGAGGAACAGATACGAGGCAAAGATGTAAGTATTTTGAACTATATTTTCATATTGTTTTATAACTTGTAGTGTTTGTAAATTAAGTTTGTTTCTGAAGGTGCTTACATTAATAATGCGTTGAAGAAATGAAGCCACATACATTTTTATTGCTTTTGAATTATCTTGTTTGTACAGCTGACAACATCTTTTAATGAAAGTATGTAAACCTGAAAATGTTTTATTAATAATATATTGATGAAAAGCAAATCATAGAAATGTTATTGGTTTGAGTTATCTTTATGTAGTGAGCAGCACCATATATTAAAAGTTACGTAAATCTGAAAATGTCATTGTAATTGACAAACACAGAACTGCAAATGCAACTCAAAATTGTCATTGGGCTATATTGACCATATTTTAAAACTAACAAAAGCTTCACAGCTTTATTTTTCTGAAGTTTAGTGCATTCACTTTTAACTTCTGTTCAATACTTTCTATTAGATACTCTGGGTTTGTACATTGATTTTTGCCATGCGAATATTGACTAGATCAGGTTCTGTGGAAAAAGACAGGCTTTCAAAAGCAGTGTGTAGTCTATCAAAGCAAGTAGATTTTTTNCTTCAATGTTGAGATTTGATTAAAGGCTTTCATGGTTGGCAAGAACTGTAGCAAATGAATGAGATCCAATCTTTTTGAAGTCTGACCTTTTTTTTGAATGGATCAAGGTGTTTATATCATTATATATTTGTTAAGGTACATTTGATCTTTATTAAATCATTTAATAGCCTCACTGTGGAGAATTACTGTAAATGTGGGATAAGATTATTTCTCCTAAAATGTTACTGATTTGCTTTGGATGTGCTTTATTAGTTAATGTAAATTAACCTTGATTTCCCCCTACTGGTGCCATACAATTTATGACAGTCAATCTGGTTCTCCGTTGGTGGTCATTGGCCTCAGATTCGCAAGTTAACGAGAGAAAAATCAACCAATAATCATGCTTGACGTTCATCCCATGACCCCTGCTGAAAAGTGCCCATGTGTGGATGTTGGTTAGGAAAATCTGGATTAATTGAAAGGCTTTTTTTAGAAAGAGTCTCCAGCAACAACACACCATAGATAAAGAGGATAGTGGACTATGAAAAAGAGGAAAAATGTATTTGTCAGTTAGTGTGGCTTGCTGTTGCAATAATCAACCCAAATATAGACTGGCATGCTACTTCTGGTCCCTGCTTATGGTGGTGGTTGCTGAAATTCCATCTTTGCAGCTAAAATTTATTTATGCTGGTGCTTCTGTAAAACTAAAAATGGATGAGCTTTCGTCAAACTATTTGGCCATATATGTATTTCAGTTACCAAACAGCTTGCTTTTAGACAGCACCCTTCAAATAAGATCATGTTTCCGAGCACTTCACAAAGGCGGGTCAGATACTGAGCAAGGAGCAAAGGAGGATATGACTGTGGATATCATTGAAGAGGTTTTTAGGCAAGAATTGAAGATGGATAGAGCGGGCAGAGAGCACGATGGATGGGTAGAAGGGGTTCCAGAGGTACAAAGAGGGTGCAGTTGCTGTACGACATCAGGGATGGGGGAACCAGAGACACTGTGAAGAGTGTGTTTGAAAAGTCTAGTGTGGAGGTAACAAAGTCGTGGCAAGTGGTCAGGGAATAAACATGAACTACTTTTCGTACTTTTACTAAAATGCAATGAGATTTGTTCAGGCCGGGAACTCCCAAAATACAACATAGATCTCTCCTGCAACATCTCCTGCTGACCATTGCCATGCATTTTCCTAATGCTGTCAGAAGACATTGACTTCAACATCTACTAACACTGGGACTACCAAACCAAGAAGGAAAGGGAGGGGTGAAAGAGAAGGGCATTAACTACTATTGTTTGAAATGGTCAAATGAATTATGTTTGACGTATCTATCAGCCAGTCCTTGAGTGAGAGATTTGAGGCTTTAGCCAATTAGAGCAGAGGCGGGCTTTTTTATCCTGTTGTATGATATATGTAGAAGGAGGCAGCCACATCCACCTCAATAGCACAACCGTGAACTGCAAATAGAAAGGCTGTAACTACAATGATCGCCTGTTATTTCTGATCTGATTTCCTATTGTTGCGTGTGGAGGAAAAACAAAATCTGTTAACTTCTAATGAGAAAAATCGACAGATTATTTTTATTTTCATCCAACTTGGCTGCTAAAAACTTTTTCATTTCATCAGGAGGAGATTCAGCAGCTACGCAGCAAAGTAGAGAAATTTGAAAAAGAGCGCAACGAGCTGCGACTGAACAACGACCGTTTGGAGAGCAGGGTAAGTTTGCAGTGAAAGGTTCTTTTGTGTATATATTGTGTTCCAGCCAGATTTGCAATCAATGTTGGATTGTAGGAAGAGATTAGTCATTTTGCAACACCAAATTGATATATAAGATCTGTCAAGTCTCCCCAAATATCACACCAGTATTTCAGAATGGGGCTATTATTGAATATCGGAGTGGGCGAATACAATATGGTATTAGAAATGGAATTCTAAATTATTAGTACCAAAGTTTCCTTCCAGTTATGGGAGAGCAGAAATCCATTTAAGGTCAACTCAAATCTAGTTCAATTAAAACCAAATTTTCACTCCGATGAAAGATTTAGGTTGCAATTCACAAGGATGGATGTTCATATAATTGAATATCAAAGAAAGCTATTAATAATGTGGAAGGGAAAGCACAAAAGATGAAATTCTGCCATCTATAATTTTAAGAATTACCAAAACATCGTTTGTAATTCCAAATATGCAAACTATAATAGTTTTAAATTGGATATTGAACCTTGGTCCTTAAAGGGGACACGAGTTGGGAAAAGTACAATTTTATTTAGTTGGAGACAAAAAAAGTTTCCATTTGTAAACAAAGAATAGGTTTAATTAATGATGACTAGTTCAGCTTTTTCACTTTCCTCCTCAATCTAGTACTTTGGGAGATGTTGGATCTAAGACATTTGTATTTTGGAAGAACAAGTATTTCTGTAACAATCTGTAAAATGATAGGGTCAAACCAAATGTAAGGAATTGCAGGACGATCCACAGAGCAATAAATATTGAAGACCAACGAAGACCTCAAATGGAAGAAATTAGATTTTTACGACGTGCACACAGAGCAACCTCCTGCTTTTGGATAGATGCCACAGGACTTAATATAGTCATATGAGGTCATTTACATCTGATAAATATTCTGGATCTTTCTGCATGCTTTTATTTCGTATTTCTTAGAAAACACTTTGAGTCAAAGCAAAACCAGTGTGACATTTATCCCTGATGTGTAAATTTGAACGGATAATGTTTTGTTGTTTCTAAGCTTAATTTCAGTGATTAAAACAAACTAATTTTAGTGAATTTTGACCATTTTATCCTACAGATTGGAGAGCTGACATCAGAGTTAACAGATGAAAGGAACACAGGGGAATCAGCGTCCCAGCTATTAGAAACCGAAGCAGCAGAAAGACTTCGGTTGGAGAAAGAAATGAAAGAGTTGCAGGTGTGTAGAATGCTCTAATTGTGAAATTCTGTCCCATCTTTTACAATGTTCTAGTAATAGACATCTGCAGGATTCATAGGAGTTAGTCTGGAATTCCATTCTGTATCTGGAATTCCATTAGACACAACAAAATTTCTTTGTGTGGGTGGCAAAGATATGTGGAACTCTTGTCTGGTTTGGATATTCTCAACCATGGTGACAACTTTCCACATGTCAGACAGCAGCTAACCAAGTAAAATATATATATTTTTTAAAAATTGTACATTTAAAAAAAAGACTAGTTTGTGCAATTTCAAGTACAATTTACAAACATGTGAAGTCACTGGAATCGGAGGACTTTGATCATTAATTTATTTGGGGATTTTATGTTTCAGGCTAAATATGATGTGGCGAAGAAGGAAATGAGTTCTATGGAAATGGAAGTAATGGAAGCTCGACTTATCAGAGCTGCGGAGCTGAATGGAGAATTGGATGATGATGATGACTCGAGTTAGTTCCTTATTTCCATAGCGATCATTTTGAGTTTTTTCGACTTAAAAAAATAGCAGCTCTAACTGGCATGGATTTTGTTTTACTTTAAAAAAAGAACTATTTTCCCACACTTTTTTCTTCTCCCCAAAGTATTTGCTTTTCTTACCCCTCTGCACAAGGAAACTTTTTGCCAGCTGGGAGATTACCTTGCTGTGGACTGCTCCTTAAAAGTAATTATTCAATGCCGTTATTGGATAGCTAACCCGACTAGAAGATGGTAGCACAGATTGTTTCCTGCCCAATATAGAATCTCCCGCTTTCATAAGAAGAGCAAAACATGCCCCCGGAAGATTGCTTGAGTGCCAATCAAAACTCAAACTGAAATCAGATGTGAAATTCACAATATAATGCCGTGTTATTGGAATGTTAAAATTAGCAATTGGGTCCTATTGACACAGAGAAGTAGTATTTTTGAAGTGAAAATCTTTCACAATGACTTGTATATACAGTGAGCTTCAATGACAACAGTTAAATTTTAAGCAGCTTCCATTTATTTCTACAGGTGGAGAATGGCGAATGAAATACGAGCGTGCAATGCGAGAGATTGATTTTACCAAAAAGCGAATGCAACAAGAATTTGAGGATAAGTTGGAAGTTGAACTGCAGACCAAAAGACAATTGGAGCGAAAAGTGAGTTTGCTCTGAGCGGGACGGGTGGAGGGGAAGAGAGCTACACTAATGAATAATTTTATCTGTCATATCAGATTGTGATTGAAGGTTCAAATTCTAAATAAAGCTACATGTGCTTGCGTGCTGAATTGCCTATCCACGTAAATCAGGGACACTGGAATAGGCAACTTTAAAGCAAATACAAATAGCCAATCACTGACATCACTGGTAGGGCCTGGGTACGTGTCACCTCTCATTGCATTCTCAAATTTAAAAATTCATGGGCAAGGACTGTCATTTGAAGAAAAAAAAACAAGAAAAATGGAGGGTAAAAGTTCAATGTTTCTCTTCAACATTCACAGTTATGTCATTCTCAAATGCTGACGACCTTTACATTTTCAATAGCACAAGCTTTGCTTGAAATGTCAAAATATTCCAGCATTCTTCATATGGAAATGCAGTAATTGCAAGGCGAGGTTTTGGAATTTCTTTACGAAGATATTAACAGTGTTCGCAAATTGCTTGCGGAGTTCAGAAATTTTGAAGTAGATGATAGTTTTGAGCTCGCAGAACCATAAGGAGGAAGCAGAGTAATTGACTGTCCAGCTCTTAGTGGCTTCATGCATAAAGTGTCGACGTCAGCTGGGCTATCTGGTGCTGAATCAAAGGGAGTGGAGCAGTATTACCACCACAGACCCTCCTGCTGAGTAAATCAGGAGAAGCACGGTAGCATCCCAAGTAAGGTACCATTGGAAGAACTATTAGGCACTCTCCAAAAGTTTATCTTTCCAGCACATGCATTTAAAACATTGATTTGTATTATTTTTATGGTTGTATATTTGTATATATGCATTCAGTACAGTTGTACCTGTTCAAGTAATCAAAACAACAACTAATTACATCTGTGTAGTATCTTTCATGTCAGTAGGACTTCCCAAGACGCTGCAGACAGGCGGCGATCCGCGCCCAAGCTGGTGGTTGGGATCAGGAGTGGTGGAGGGCGGGGAGGATAGGGGTAGGAGGGTGACCGAAGCCAGGGTCAAAATCACAGACTATTGCAACCATCCTGGAACAGTCTGGTTCACGAGCCGTTAGAGGCTACCCTTATATAGAGGCCACTTTAGCCCAATCCACTGAGCGGTTGTGGAAGACGAGATTAACCGTATTTTAATCTAATAATATTGCTAGGAAATGGTTCGCAATTTAGTAGAATAAGCATTTTGTCAGTAAGCTGAAGAGGATGTGTGCGCATAGAGGGAGTTCATCTGCTATCTGAAAGTATTTCTTTTTTAAAAAGCAAAATATAGATTATGTTTTTTTAAATTGAAACTTCCATTTGCAATCACTGCTTTCTAAATAATTCACTATGCTGCATTATATTTTCATGAGTGCTCTTTCACCAAATTATTGAATGGTTCAGAAGATTAACCCTTATTCCTTAGAGAAACAGAAATGCATACAGTTAGCATAGAAAATGCTTCAATCAACATTTTAAGGGTCAGTAATGCTGTTATATATTGTGGCTCTACAAGCTCAAAGTGTGACAGCAATTGAAGGTGCTACTTAATTTCAAGCCTCCGGCACTTTTGCATCGTCTCCATGCTTCCGGAAGGAGTTTATGGAAAAATGAATGAGTGAACATCGGATATCATCCTCCAAATTATATTCTGACGGTGTGACACGATGCAAAGCAATTAAAATGTTATTTTTATATCTGCTGTTGAAATAACTGTAGCAGCAACAGCAACAGTCAGGGATACACATTTTAAACCATTTGACAATGCAGAGTTAGCACAGTATTGCTTATTCATTTGGGTACTCATTTGAGAACACCTCCGTTCTAAAATTGTTATTCATCGATGAGGCCTGTTTCACTGCTAAATACATCATTGATGATGTTTATTTTCCAAGGTAAAACGTATGCTGGTATTACAACAGCTTGCAAACCCACATAACTTTAAAAGAAGGGCCTGAAAACAGGTCAGTTTAGTCCCATATTGGCTTTGAAAAGCATATTCTGAACGCAGCTACTTCAAAACCAGAGACCTTCGACTTACTCTGCTACCTTCAGTTTACAGATTTGCAAGCTGATGGTGAGGAAGCGCAGCGCAGTATCCAACAATTGAAAAAGAAATGCCAGCGGCTAACAGCAGAATTGCAAGACACCAAGTTACACCTGGAAGGACAACAAGGCGCAACCATGATTTGGAAAAGAAACAGCGAAAGTGAGTTCAATTCATTCGTGCAGCCTACAAAGAATAAAACATTTGTACGTATAGGAGCAGAGCTGTAAACGAGAAACAATTAGATAGCATTTTGGAAGTGTGGCAAATTGAATTCCTGGCCAAAGTAATACCTGAACAAAATATATTTGAACCATTAAGTGGCGTGCTATAAAGGTGTTGTAATTCTGTTGTGTGCACTCTCAAATGATTGCTTGCTCCATAATAATACAAGTACACATTTCACAAGTCATCCTCTGCAAATATATTATTCCTTTATGTGAAACAATGTGGTTGGCCTTTCTGATTACCTTTGCATTCAAGTTTTTTGCTCATATAATGTTTATTTGCTCCAAATTTATTTTTCAGCTTTGAAGGAAAAACATTTTGCTGAACGGTGTGTCAGTTATCACAGTAAATTGAATTTATTATAAATGACAAGAGAAAATAGCTTATGTTCAACCAAGTGCATTTTTCTACCTGAGGCAGCTTCAAGAAAAATATAGTGGATTCTAATTGGACTAAACTGTAGTACTATGTTATCCATTCCATCATGTTCTACTCTGCCATGACTCCCCATAAACATGTAATCACTTGATCTCAGACAACTTGACATTCACCCACATTTCCCATTAGAATTAATTCTTAAGATATCGTCACGTCAAAAACAGATGCATAAAATGTTTGTATTTCTACCCAAATGCTTAACTTAAAAGATTCTTCGTAGGGAAATAAATTGCCTTGTAACTTCCAACGTTGCATACTTGTGACTGATTGTGCATCAGTCAATGATAAAGAAATCTAGGAGATATTCATTCATGAGGAAAATTAACTTAGTAATTAAATTCAAAAAGCTGGAACCATAAGAAACATTTCAATATACGTGCACCTACTATTGATTTGATTCCCTGTTTGTTTAACAATAAAAAAGGAAGCCTTTTTTTTGTTGTTGAACAAATCTCAGTTGGACTGATTAAACACACTGGGCACCATTACAAAAGGAAAGAACTGATTCAGTGATCATCATTCAATGATCAGTCTTTCTGTTGTATTAACCTATTCACTTATATGTCTGAAGGTAAGTTTGACACCACCGAAAGTGTTTATGTGGGGCCATACATGCCTGGGATATTCATAGTATTTCAACCAAAATAAAATAATAATAATTATCCTTTTTTAAAGAGTTCAAAGACAATGGAACTTGTGGAAATAACAAAAGAAAATGTATTTTTAATTTGTCAATTGTTTTTGTCTACACACATTACACACACGGTGTCACAATAAACTCCTTTGTATCACAAAGGAAATTTAATGTATCAAATGGAGCTTCTGTGGTCAACTAAGTTTCATTTTCAACTTCACTTCTAGGTTTGACAGTGAGTTGTCTCAGGCACACGAGGAAGTTCAAAGAGAGAAGACCCAAAAAGAGAAGCTGAGCAGAGAGAAAGATGCATTAATAGCGGACCTGTTCAGCTTGAAACAGCAACTGGATGTATGTGCCAACGTTATATTAAAATAACTTGAGTAACTTTCCTCATCCAAATCTTATTGATCGTAACTTTTTCAGAATAGTTAAATATTAAAGAATAATTTTCTATACTTCAGATTTGAGGTATAAAATAACTTTAAACTTTACCATTTTACAAAGAGAAGATTTCATCTCAGGCAGACAAAGCTCCACATTTATTATTATGGTTGAATCTCAGCATTCTCTTAATCGAGTGCACTATCTTAAAATGTTAATGTCAACGTGGGCCTTAACAAGTTGACTTTTGGGAGGATAATTCTCAAGAAGAGTTCAATTTCCTATTCCCTTTCTTGCCTTTATCTAGCAGACAGACCAATTGAACTTTCATTAAATAGCTGTTTTATAAAGTAACTGACTGGAGGATCAAGTTAAATACTATATTTTAGGTTTCATAGTGAGTTAATATTAGTTCTTTGTACTTTGTCACTGTGTTTGATGATGTCACAGAAGCACATTAGGTAGAACCAAAGGAAGTTACAGCACAGAAGGTGACCGTTCGGCCCATTGTCTGTGCTCTTTGAAAGAACAACCCATTGAGTTCCACTTACCTGCCTTTTCTCTAAACTCCTGTAAGACGTGTAACTTTTTCTCAGCTTCGTTTGCTCCCATGTAATCTGTAAACTGACGTTGATTGGCTGTAGTGGTCTTTCATAATTTGATCGTTGTACATCATTAGGACAAAGACTGTGAGATCATTTCTGCAAATCAAAAGTTAGAACGCCTGGAAGCAGAACTGCAGGATTTGTCCTCGCAAGAATCTAAGGATGAGGCCTCACTTGCTAAGGTGAAGAAGCAGGTGCGCGAACTAGAGGCCAAGACAAAGGATCAGGAAGAGGAGCTTGATGAGCAGGCTGGCACAATCCAGATGCTGGAACAGGTAAGAATATTTGTGTGCTAGGATTCAAATTCAATTCAGAAAGAATGGAAAAACATCTTTTTATTGCACAGTTAATAATAATGCTAATTACTATCTTAGGTCAAATACATTTACACTCTGAATGAGCTGTTTCAGGAAACCGTGGAAGTTTAGCCCATAATATTTCACATCCACGTGACCTCTGTCATGCTTTTATAAGGTGGCAGCCAAAGCTAATATGCAGCATGAGGAAATAGTAACGTAGCCAGCTATGTTGTTTTACATAGCTATGTTGTGGAATCCTATAGCTCAGTGGTTAGAGCACTCGCTTTGCAAGCGAGAGACCTGAGTTCAATTCCAGGCAGAGGGCGAAACCTTGGGCAAGTTTCCTTACTCCACACAGAGCCTAATAATAATCCCTCCAAAACCAAAAAACAATAATAAAATTGGCATTTTCAATCTACGACTGTTTGTGGGACATTGCTGTGCGCAATTGGCTGCCGCGTTCACCCACAAATATACAGTCAATTCACTTTACAGTGTGTTCTGTGAAGCGCTTTGGGACGTGCTTCCAACGTGAAAAGCGCTATATCAAATGCAAGGATTATTATTATTATTATTACACGTCTTGGTGTCTTGTTTCAAAGAGACATTTGGCTGACTCCTGGGAACATTTTGCATTCGTTAGCTATTTTATGTATAAGGGGGCTACATCATTCCAAGCATATATTTGTAACACTCTTGTTTTAAAGAGATCAAACTTATATTAGTAATAAATATTATGGGTAGCATATGCAGTCGTTCCACTAGTAACCTGTCCAGTATCGTATTTATAAGTAACTCATCTTTTAAAAAAAAGAGAAGTTGCTAGCTATGGGAACTTTACAACAATGCTAAGTTGTCATTTTCCAGTTTATTCAGATAATAAATAAAAGGTTTATAACTTTTTTTCATCTTCTCTCCCACCCAAGTATTTTCAGTGATATAGTCATGCACATGGATGTTTTAGCATTTATGTTTAAGATGCAGACAATATAACACTCACAATTAAACTGTTCTGTCCAAATTCAGGCCAAGCTTCGATTGGAAATGGAAATGGAGAGATACAGACATACTCAATCAAAAGAGCTAGAAAACAAAGATGAGGAGGTGGAGAAATTCGACAGTCTTGTCAGAAGAAGGTAAGTTATGTAATTTTAGCGATTTGGAAATAATTCTGTTAAATTAAGAGAAATTGGAGAAACAAATTTTAGTCTGCCAGTTGCATGCTTATGTGTCAGACAGAATCCATTCACTTTCTGTATCCCTTTGGAAATAGTTTTGTACAGTTATAAAACAAAATATAAAAGAATGTGGAACAGTTTAGCTTTTTTGATGAAGGTACATAATCTTTCAAAGTGCTTATGAAATTGGTGATCCCACTCACTGTTTTTTGTGTAAGATCATTTTTGGTTAGATTTGTAAATGAATTACAGACCATAACATTTTATTTCTGTTTACTGCAAAGTATTTTGTGGCAGCTATGTAAATAAAGACAAGTTGCTGCTATAGTGCTGTTCTAGAAAAACTTGCTGGAATTTCATTAAGAAATTGTTTGTAATCTAAAGCCTACTCGGAGCACTATTCCAGTTTGTGGCCACTCAGATCAACTTCTGTCCTTTTATTGATTAACCCTTCATTGTGAATACTATTTTTCTTGCTTTTTTTAAAATAAACATATTCCATTAAACTAATACTTGAAACAAAGAGCTGGGGAAGAGGTGTTAGAGGTGATTAGGGTGAAAAATGTCTTATGTCACATTTCTGCCCCAATTACAAAAAGTTACACTTAGGAAATTATAATAATATGAGAATGTTTTTGCCTTTAATACCTGATCATCAACAATTGGCCTAGATACATTTTGTTATTGTATGCTTTAATGTGTCCACTGTGTATTTTTAGTATCTGCTGTTTAGAAAACAATTGTGTTTAATTTAAATATAATTGAATAAGTACAGTAAGTAGAAACAATGAAAATGCAACATGGATAATGACATGACCGCAGTATTCGAGTGATGTGTGAAGTGGATTTCTGGAGTTATTGTACATTGCTGGCTCCCTAGAGTTAGACATTATGGCTCTACCCAAATAGTCTTTGACTTCAGTAAAAATGGCTGGTGCTTCCCCTGGATATGTGTTTGAAATTTTCATTTTAACAGTTCACTTGGCACCAACTGCAGATGACCTTATTCATTCTAGATCCAGTGTGAAGTTGAATTGGTGTGATACTACATCTCTCTGTTTGTCTAAATTGCGTACGTCCACTCTTACACTGCAGAGCTTGAGTTATTTCATTGTGAAAATTGCAACAAATTAGTGTGAACTATTATATAACTAACCTATTCGTTCCAGACTGTTTTGCAATTGTTATCTGGGATGCAGTACCTCACCCTTTTGGCCAGCTAATTTAATCAGTGTGAAGGGACTTGTTTTGCTAGTTAAAATGCTTTTCAAAATTATGCCTGCCAGCTAATTTCTAGGTATAACAGCACTGCAATGTATACAGAACAGCAGGGAGGAAGCATTGGTTTCTGATCCCTTTTCTGAATTTAGCTTTTTTTNAAACTGACTACTCAATTGGTATATTGTTCTTCCAAACCTGACATGTATAAGCCTTGCAAGGCTGTAGAAATAAATAGAAAGCCCTGCTTACATCAATGTTGTCAGATTGTAGAGTCATCCATTTGCCTCATTAGATACAAAGGTGGCTTGGGCATCTCATTTAAGATTCTCTCAGATCATTACTCCTGACAGTTCAAGTTGCAACAAACAAAGTTTATTTGACTGGCTATGATAACCTCTGACACAACATTGTTGTTTACTATTAGTGTCCTCGCTTGTCATCCTGCATGCAGCACTAGATACTTAATTATCTTGCTTCTCGAGAGGAGTCTCGTCCATAAACAAGCAGAATTGCTGTTCTTTGCCTTCACGGGCAGTTCTTCAGAATGCTTCACTCCCTATTTCTGCAAAATAATTCAATAAAATAATAGGTGTTCATTTCCTTGAAGGTGTGCATTGAAAATGTCAAGCCAAATCTCTTGTATTTGTGTGTTATTTTTTCTAGCTAAAACATTTTGAACTACAGTTAGAGGAAGAGTATGAAGAAAAACAGAAAATTCTGAGGGAAAAGAGAGATATGGAGAGCAAATTATCATCAATGAGTGAGCAGGTAATATTTCCAACATTCCCCCTCTTTTGTGAGGAAATAGCAAACTCTGGAAATTGAGGAAGTCTTTTTTTCCCAGTAGCAATGAACAATGACATTTGGTTGACTTTTTGAAATATAAATAATGCATGCAGTTTGTCAATTTCCCTCTATATAGAAAGAAAGATGGATTAAATTATTTTGAAAAATATTTCAGATTTGTGATTTTCAGTATTTTAATGTAAAACCCACCCTGACTTTACAGTACAAATAACCCAAGAGTGTAAATAATAAAATGTGACAGAGTGAACAAAGCCAAATGGATAGATTTCCTCTTTTGCTGTGAAGTAATTGTAATATTTGTATTGACAGGTTTTTTAAGATGAAGACATGTATGTTTAAACCTAGTACAATCACTTAATCACTTCCTAGCCTTTCACCATTTAATTCTTTTTAATAGATCAGCGAACGAGATTTTGAAACTGAAAAGAGATTGCGGAAGGACCTCAGACGTACAAAAGCACTTTTGGCTGATGCACAGTTAATGCTGGATCACCTCAAGAACAATGTACCAAGCAAACGGGAAATAGCGCAATTGAAAAACCAGGTATCATTTTCTGGTGGTTCTCATTATCACGAGGATTTAGTTGCTTTGTTTTTTCACCAGCACTGCAGTTTCAATTTGTAAAACAGTGATGGAAACATTTTGCCTATTTTGGACACACTGGCTAAAACATTTAGACTGACTTCAAAGCCAGTGCAAATAAGCATTTATTTGCACCTTTGTTTCTGAGATTATACATTTCTAACTTGTCAGTTCCTTTCATTATTTTACATACCTCAATCAAATCACCCCGTAACATCCTCTGTTCTAAGGAATATAACCCCAGAGTTACCTGTCTTAATTCTATCTAGTTATTGCTCTTGAGGCAAAATTGCTGCTAGACAAACACCCAATCTCTCTGTAGTGGGAAGAAGAGTTGTGATGACATGGCATCAGTTACATGAGAGGCATGCTTATTCTTGACAGCTTGTGAAGGATTGTTTTTGTTCAAAGACTAAAGACTGTAATGTTAAAAACTCTAACTTGCTTTGTATTTCGTCAAGCAGGACAATTCAGTAGTAGCGTAGAGTGAGGAGGTGAACACAAGAATAATATCTATCTCTGAGAATACTTTTATTAGAGTAATACGTGTGCTGATGGATTTTGGGATTACTTGCAAATTCGTATCATGGATCACAACCCTTTGTTTTTTTCAAGTAACCAGTGATATCAGTGTTCTGCAGAATGTGTTGCAGTTAACTAAATAGAATGTGATGGTAAACCACTTGTAATTACTAACCTTGTCAATCCTTAGCTTGAAGAGTCAGAGTTCACCTGTGCAGCAGCTGTCAAAGCACGGAAAGCAATGGAGGTTGAAATTGAAGATTTGCACCTTCAGATTGAGGATATCTGTAAGGCCAAAGTTGCGGTGAGTTTCTCTTCCCAGCAGGAAATGTCCAATCTATCCTATCATTTATTCCACTCCCTCACCCTCAGATAAAGTTCCGAATGAATGCTCCCTGATGAGGCAATTAAGCAAAAATCCTGAATATTCATCTAGCTCCACTATTCAACTCTGATGTGCTACATTGCCCAGGCAAACATGCCTTTGGCCATCCAAAAGCTGGTGCTGTAATGCTGCTTGGTAAAGGAGTTAAGCTATGAGATATCAATTGGTTTTCCTCGGAAGCTGTTCAATATATCAAGTGATGTGTGTGTTTGCGTGCCTCAGAAGGGCAATGTGAATGTGCGATGGGATTAGTCATGAGTCTGGAAATAAAATATAATAATAATCCTTGCATTTGATACAGCACCTCATCACATCGTTGAGACGTCTCAAAACGCTTTACAGGATATACTGTAAAGTGAATTGACTGTATATTTTGTAGACAAAAGCCTATTCGGATAACATCCACCTTTGTTATGTTAAGTAATTATCCACCCAAAGGTCTTCAGTAGAGCATTACAAATGTAACAAAACTTGTTAAGGATCTTGGAAACACAATGTTACGCAATAAAATGGACTATGCCATCCCAGCAAGGTATTAGAAAGCATTATGATTTTTTTATGCAATCAGGAATTTAAAAAGTTGAACTAATATTTTTTTCCTTGCTGATTTCATTTTTTGCTTTTACAAGATACCTTTGCACATCAAGGTCAGTGCTGTTTTCTTGTTCATTTATTTTGTAGCTCAGGTGATTTAGTGAAAAAAGATGTAATATTCGCTGAATAGGAGCAAAATATGTAGAACCTTAGAATGTGAGAAACCCCCCTCCCCCCAAAAAAAGTATTTCAGACCTCACCCGTTTGTTTTGTTCAAAAAAATGTAGATGTCTAATAAATTTTCATCTAGTGAAATGTGCTCTTAAGCAAAATAGTGAAAATTATCATAACCTTTCAGTTTAATGGTGGTGATGGAAGAAAGGTAACTTGGCCTTGCCTAAGATTGTTGCTTCATTGCTAAAAGTACTTTGATGTCTGGACTTGAATGTCTCACCAACTTTGTGGTTACCCATAGAATCTGGAGTGTTATTGCACAAAAACAGCCACTCAGCAAATGAAGTCAACTGTTGCCAATCATGTTTTTAAGAGTGCAAATGACTCTTGAATAGAACGTTTTAGTCTACAACAAAGTACATTTTTATTTGGTATTTAAAATAATTTCAGCCAAAGGAGCTTCAGAGTAGTGTGTCAGATGAGTTGAGTGCATTTAGTAATCCACTGTTCACTATGATTTTAGTCAAGAAATGCACAATTTTACCTGCATTCATTAATTGCTTCAGCAGACTTGTAATTCAGGCTTTGAATTAACTTTTGTAATGTACCGATTTTAGAAGTAATTTAATCAATTAGAGCCCGTAAAATGTCTTGGAATCCATTTTGTTGATCGTTAGTGCTTGAATATCATTAAGTCAGCTTTTTGGAAGCTTCTTAATTTTTGAACATTGTGATTCACTAGTCAATAAGAATATGTATTGTGAACTCTTAGAAGCTGAGTAATAATAATAATAATCCTTGCATTTGATATAGCGCTTTTCACGTCGGGAGGACGTCCCAAAGCGCTTCACAGAACACACTGTAAAGTGAATTGACTGTATATTTGTGGACGAACGCGGCAGCCAATTGCGCACAGCAATGTCCCACAAGCAGTCGTAGATTGAAAATGACCAATTTATTATTGTTTTGTTTTTGGAGGGATTATTATTAGGCGTGTGGAGTAAAACTTGCCCAAGGTTTCGCCCTGCCGGGAATTGAACTCATCAGGTTTATCTTCATTTCTGCAATGTCATTAATATTCAGCATTAGGTACCAGCACCGAGCAGTGTTCAATGAGCTGCTAATTAACACTTTGATCACATAACCACAATTAAGTACTGTATTAGTTGAAAGTACATTGAAAATAAGGAAAGGTAATGAGATTAAAATTAATTTAGGGATGGTCCAGTCCAACACAGTGAGTTTTTGCATTTTGGGGGGACATAATGGGTCGCATTACTGATGTAAGAATATTAAGGCAAGGTTATAAAGGTATCTTATCATATGCCAGGCATTACCAGTGTGCTGTGATTCATTCATCATATGTGGCATTAGTTTAAATGCGTTTTGAGATTTTCTTGATGCAAGTACTTTAGTTCTGTTTAAGGTATCATTCAATATAACCTTTTATTCTAGATTACCTGGTGAGAGTTCTTCACTGCTAATAAAGGCAGCCTTTCAATCATGCATCTATTGCAAAGGTGGTGTAATATTGCAATGCATGAGTTGGAGACATTAATAATATCTACAATTTCCTTTTTACAGTTGGAAGAGCAGGTGAGTCGGCTCCAACGTGAGAAAAATGAGCTTCAGAGCCGTAACGAGGAGGATCAGGAGGATATGAATGAACTCATGAAGAAACATAAGTCTGTAGTTGCCCAGGTAGGCAGAGCATGCAATGTATAATCTCCCCTCCGATGATGCAGCACGTTTGGGAATTTGTAATACGAAGAGACGAAAGCATGAATGCATAGCTGTCCCATCAGCTACTTATTCCATACATGGTGGAATTTAAAATAATTTAATAAAACAAGAATGTACAAATTAAATGTAATCCTGATTTCAGCTAACAGAATAAGGTAGAAAGGAGACGGTACACACACTAAGTTGTTTCACACACACACATCCTTTATGTAGTTTAATGCTTTATAAGTTGCTACTATTGCAGTATCTGTTTCAATAGCAAAATATTGTGTGTGTTTTTCTGAGAAGTATTGAATAAAAATATCAATCTCCTCAGTCATCCAGGGACCTGGCCCAGATCAATGAGCTGCAGTCTCAACTTGAGGAATCCAGTAAAGAGAAACAGGAATTGCAGGAAAAGGTACATTATTCAGTCTCTGTTCGGAATGTGACCTTCTGCAATTTGTTAAACATTAAAATATTTCAATGTTGTATCGCTTCTGGAATGAATTATTTTCGTGAAATCCCATGGTACTGACAGGATTGATGTACATAGTAGAATACTCTACAATCAAAATTGCTATTTTCTTAATAGCTAATGCAAATGGAAATTGCCAAACTAAATTTGTATTATTGATTTCTTAATGTTCTAAGGCTGTTTTCTTTAGTGGAATCTCGATTTATTTAAAGTTGATGCAAACATTTTTCTTTTGTCCATCGGGAATTGCAAGAGCATTTTTCATATTAAAAAAAAGCAAGTCCAAACGTCATTTGATGCAAAACCTCATTCCCCATGCATAACTGAACTATCATAAGAAAATATCCAATATAATCTCTTCACTTGTCACTCCCAACTAAAGACTTTAAAGCAGCAATACATTCAATCTTCCAAGTTTATTTTGCAGTTCCAAAAAATCCAGATTTTTTTGTAATGTGCTGTGTTTTAACTTTGCTAAATCACCTTACTAAACTACCTGGCACAATACTATTATATCAAAATATTTTGGAAAAAGAAGCCATCTTAGAAGTTGCAACAAAGTCCCTACCTCTTATCGGAGTTAATGGAGGTAATTGTAAGCGATTTCAATTCTGTCTGAGAAGAGCATTTTATGTGCTGGTATTTGTTCCTCCAATGCATTATTGAATTTAATGCAGGCGGTGATTGTTGACATGTTGATTGATATATTCTTTCCCTGAAATTTCTTATAGTTACAAGGATTACAGAGTCAGCTGGAGTTTACAGAGCAGTCCATGGTGGATAAATCCTTGGTGAGCAGGCAAGAAGCCAAAATTCGTGAGCTGGAAACCAAACTGGAATATGAGAGGACTCAGATCAAACGACTTGAGGTATACAATTTGCATCTTTTGTCTTGAAATCTCATGCGACATTTGTCTGATCTTGTATGTGAACCTTGGAGGACTTTTCAGGATTTAGTGTCAAGTGTAATGTACATTTTGTAGCCAAACGTTTTAAAATTGGTGTTATTCGCATAAATAAATAATTTATAATAAATAATAAAAGATCGAGAATTACATTGACCGTTGCTTTATTAGGCTAATCCAATGAAAAGAACTGAATTAAAATGAACGTTGTAATTTTGCCTCTGCCTTTACTATATTTCATTTGGGAAGCAGAACAGTTTGAGGCCACAGATTCACAATTTAATAATAATAATCTTTGAATTTGATATAGCGCTTTTCACGTTGGGAGGATGTCCCAAAGCGCTTCACAGAACACACTGTAAAGTGAATTGACTGTATATTTGTGGGCGAACGCAGCAGCCAATTGCGCACAGCAATGTCCCACAAACAGTCGTAGATTGAAAATGACAAATTTATTATTGTTTTTAGTTTTGGAGGGATTATTATTAGGCTCTGTGTGGAGTAAGGAAACTTGCCCAAGGTTTCGCCCGGACCTGCCTGGGATTGAACTCAGGTCTCTCACTTGCAAAGCGAGTGATCTAACCACTGAGCTACAGGACTCCAAATTTGTATCAATGCTTGTTGTTAGTGTAAAGCAATGAATAATAAAGGCTGGTACGCATGTGAAAAAAGATTCACAAGTTAAAGTTAATTCATTCAGTATCGTTATCATGGAATCAGATGGTGAGAATCATTTTTGGTGAGGACAGCACACAGTTCAAAGATAGCTAGAATATGACTTATTAAGATGAAATGGAGAAATGGATGGTTTGCGGTGAGAACAGAATATTGTTAGTGAAGAGAGAGGCCTTGAAAGGAATTACTCACATCAACAGTTTCACTTTATTAGGAATTATCCTTTTTGCTGTTATAAAAGCTTTCCATAAGTTGAGAGCAGGTTGCCATCTGAGCCACAAATGCATGGCAGGGTAACTTTCTGAAAGCTATATCAAAATCCATTTGCTAGCCATTAGATTCACTCAATCTGAACTTCTTTACTTTAAGTCTGGGCATTGAAACAGAACAAGAAGTTGCTTGTGTGATGATAATCGTTTTGCTATCAGGAACTCTGTAAAAGATGCAAATCCCGATTCATATAGCCAATGTAACCTTGTGAGGTCAACTCAGGTGGAATGACCCATGCAATATGTAATTCAAACTGGCACAGAATTGTTCAGTCATCAAATTTGCCGAGCATTTCAGTTCTCAAAAAAGAGATCCTTTAGTTCAGTATTGAGGATGTTTACATGTCTCAACTGAATGTACTTATATTTGTATAATAATAATAATCCTTGCATTTGATATAGCGCTATATCACTTTTTCGAGACGTCTCAAAGCGCTACACTGAATTGATGTATATTTTGTGGGCGAAATGCGACAGCCAATTGCACACAGCAGTGTGTCACAAAACAGGCGTGGATTGAAGTGACCAATTTTTTTTAAGGAATTATTGCCCCCAGAAAAACAATCTGCCAATTGACTAACAACTGGGTTCCTACTTATTGCTGGTAAACAGGAATTTGTGGATTAAGGAAATTTGCCCAATATTTCTCCCTGCCGGGAATCGAACCCACATCTCTCGCCTATGAGTCGAGTGCTCTAACTACTGAGCTACAGGACTTCACAGAGTTCTGCATAAGAGCTTCATTCTCCTTCCAACTTACTGCAAGAACCTGCAATTTATTGAGTTGATGACCTTTTTTTCAATGATTTAGGCTTTTCTAAGTCATATTCTGTAATTACTTCATGAGATGAATTTTTAATGTAACAACATTGCATTAGTTATATTTTAGCCCCAGTTGGGTAAATTGTTTCAGAATAAAATTATCTTATTTACTTCTTTATGGTTCTGGTTTAATCTGAAAATATGATTAGTTACAGTCATCCATCGTTACCAGAGATGCGAGTATTTTCAATTAATACAGTGGAGAGAATAAATAATTCTCATGCAAAGAAGTACTCTATAGGAAGTATTCATGTAAGACCAAATATGCAAATAGGAAAGGGCAATTTATTTTACTAAAATCAGGTTAATGCAAGATTATAACAACAACAAAATTACATTTGTATAGCAACTTTCAGCGCCTTGGGACGTCCTCCTGACGTGAAAGGCGCTTTATAAATGGAATCTTGTTGTTGTTGTTGTTTCACATCGGGAGGATGTCCCAAGGCACGGAGAGACAGAGTTACGGACCCGAACTGAGGGTCAGGATGGGGTAGTGGAGAGGGCAGGGATGGAAGCAGGGAGATTGAAAGCATGGTCAAAGAGGAGGGTCTTGAGGTGGGTCTTGAAGGTGGTGAGGGAGGGGGCGAGACGGAGGGACTGCGGGACAGAGTTCCAGAGGGTGGGTGCAGAGTGGCGGAAGGGCCCGCCTGCCGATAATTGGGCGAGCAAAGCAGGGGATGTGAAGCTGGCCGGTAGGGGTTAGGAGGTTGGAGAGATAAGGGGGAGCACAGACCATGGAGGTCTTTGAAGGTGAGAACCAGGATCTTGAACTGTATCCTTTGTGTGATGGGAAGCCAGTGGAGCTGGGCAAGGATGGGGGTGATAGAGTCGTGGAGCCTAGTGCGGGAGAGGACAAAAAGGTTATGACAATAAGATTATTTAGTGGTTAAAGTCAAGTTGCAACAAATACTAGTAAGCAAAAATGTATTTCATACAATATATTCTGCTTTTTTAGATTACACTGCCTGACAATAAGGCGCTCAAAATGATGGTTAACTTTCTTTCTCAGAGATGTTGGCGATGCTGAAAAAATTCACTTCCAAATAATAAACCGTCATTAACCAGTGGAGAGAATTTGACATTTATGATCCTTCAACCACTGCTCATCAAAGTGAAGTCTAATTTAATTTACACATATGGAACTCATTCTGCTCCTGTCTCTCTGTGGAAAAAAATCCAAATTCTAGAATGTGTCTACAAAGTTGAACCATTTAGATCTGATGTCACATTTGTGTAGTTTTCGTCAACTTAATACATATGAGCTTTGATTTACATGCAATATGATAGTAGATTGCTAAGTTTTAAATTGTTCACAGATTCCATTTTACCCCACTAGCAAGAAGTTCATCTTGGTTTTTTTCTCGTTTCCTACAGAGTTTAGTCGGTCGTCTCAAGGAAAACTTGGAAAAGCTGTCAGAAGAAAGGGATCAGAGGGGGGCTGGAGAGAATCGGGAGAAGGAGCAAAATAAGAGGTTGCAACGGCAGCTCCGAGATGTGAAGGAAGAAATGGGGGAGCTCAGCAAGAAAGAAATAGAGGCGACACGGAAGAAACATGAACTAGTAAGTGAACATTTATCATGTGGACATAGCTATTTTTCTTTGGTTCTCCTATATCCTTACAACATCTCTTTAAAAGGGGGACAAAGAAGGCAAATGTTGCTCGAACCAAGTGGTCACTACTACTGATTTGCTAATCCAGGGTGATGCTCATTGTGATACAAAATTGAGTGACAATTGCTCGTGCTGGGAAATGTGATCTTTCTATTTTGTACCAATGACCTACACTCTGATAACGCAAAGCTCCCCTCGGAAGTTGGTATCAAGCCACACTGACAGGTTGTGTTTGGGGAGCTCATTCAATGTGGTCTATGCAGTATCTAACAAGTAATATTAGCCACAAGTGTATAAATAAATGGCACAAATATCAAAAAAGTATCAGTTTTACAGTTTCACAAATTATGCTGCTGTTAATGTTGTGAGGAAATTCTAGAAGCATAGAAAGTAGAAAATTGGTCATTGCAAGAAAATAAATGATACAAATAAATCCATTAAAGTAACACAAATGTATTCAATTGTTTCTGTATAGTCATGATTTTAAAAAAATCCTACTATAGTTGTTCTATATATGAATGAACCCAAGTACATAAATCATTTTTAATTAGAGGTGAGAGCATTATTCATGTTCCTCTGATATAACTATATGCGCATGATTCAGTGCATTGCATTTTTTTTTGTAGTTATCCAGGGAATTATTCAATATTTCTTAACTTATCCTTGATTCGATCAATATCAGTAAGTGAAAGTACCAAGCCATTCTGTTTTGAAGGTATTTGGGTAATTGAGTGATTGTATTCTGTTCTGCAGGAAATGGATATTGAGAGTCTTGAAGCAGCAAATCAAAGCTTACAGGCTGACCTTAAACTGGCCTTTAAAAGAATTGGAGACCTGCAAGCAGCAATTGAAGATGAGATGGAAAGTGATGAAAATGAAGATCTGATTAACAGGTAACAGTGCGACTGTTCTAGTTACCAATTGAAATTTTATTTGACAAGATCTATCATCTTCCAACTAGCAAAGTACTTTGAGTTGCAGCCAAAGAACGAAAAGGTATCATACAATTAGCAGCCAAGGCCAAATTTAAAGTAATGAAAAGAACATTGAAATTAAGCTTGTACAAATGTGGTCTATAACAATAAAAATTATCACGCACAAACATTTTCTTTTAGGAATCACAAGTAAAAATGCAGGAATCATCAAATTACTTTAAATTTGATTCCTAAACTAAAATTTTGTTTTGGCTATGATTTTACGTACGAAGGTAAGAGAGTCATTCACCCCAAGTTCAACTGTCTCGTGCATTAACTCTCCTTAATTGTATTTTAAATAACCTCAATGATTTTACCTTTTGGACATTGTTCAAAATATCTCTTAAGTAATTATTTATCCAGATATTTGTTCTAAATTTACTTCGCATTATGTTGTCTGAATCTCATTGAACTGAGCTTCCCTTCCATAACCACTCTCTCTGCAGACTTAAATATTCTGTAATCTTTCATAGCTCGTCTCTTTATACTTGAGATGATTCTTGTCCTCTATTATTTCTTTTGCAAATATGTATTTTTATTGTGTGGGATAGCGTCATATCAGCAAAGTATTCTAAGTACGGTCCGATCAATGCATTGTAAAGTCTAAACATAAGCTCTGTATAACTAAAGCTTATGATTGACAGTGACTATAGAATGACTCTGAGCAATATATTCAGATCATGGCTGTCTTCATTATAAATCATCAATCACATACACAAGCCTTGAGGCAGTATTCTAACAGGTTCCGGATACTCTCAGCAGGATAATACACTGTGTTCCTGTGTCAAAGTTGGGTAATATTCTTCCATGCAGTGAATATCCTGTTTGTTTCTTCTGAAATTTATAATATTTTGTAGGAATTTGTGGTATTTGCTTAAGGAAAATACATTTTTAGAAGTAAATTCATTTTTTCAATTATAAAGCCTATGTGCCCCTGCAAAAAAATTATACGTGGCACGTGGCAATACTGTTTAGACTTATGTTTATCTTGTCTTTACCTTTGTGACGTATTTGTGTTTGAGGTTGACCCTTTTTTTCCTTGATTTCATTTTTTTTTCCTGGATTCTATTTCGTCCTTCTTTTTGTCCTTATAATTTATTTTATTTGCAGTTTACAAGATATGGTGACAAAGTATCAGAGACGAAAGAATAAAACGTGAGAATTTATCGAAATGAATTTCACGTACCATGCCTAACCTGAGCACGTTATTCAGCTTTGTGTTTAGTTTCTGGCTGCATGGCATCACTATCAAAGCAGATGGATGCATGCTTATATAAACCAAAATAACTCTTAACTCTTAAAGATTGTTGTAGCGAATGGGCAGCTTGTATGAAATGAGCAATGGAATAAGTACACAATTGTAATTTCAAGGGCTCTGCTTTGGAAACCAGTCCACGTCAGAGGAAGATATGACAAATAGTGATGTGCAGTTACAGCTGTATCGTAACCGTGCACAATGAAACCCTTTCTGAGCTTCATTGAGATTTTGTCTTGTGTTAACTAATGGGCTACCATGTTGAACATAAATTAAATGTGACACCAGATGTAATTTAGTTTTTCCTGCAGTATCAGGTGCAAGCGCTGTGCTTACTGTTTAAGATCCAGCAAAATGACAGGAATATCAGTGGTAGGGTGCAGATCAAGGTACACGTCAAACAATTTTTGTTGATTTTTTTTGCATGTGTATGTGCAATACAGCACAGTATAGTACAAGATTAAAAGGGGAATGTTAGGAAAAAATTATAAAATTGAGAGTGCTTGGAATATTGAATTCTCTTATAAACCATTCTTGAGGCAGAGTCGATAAATTATTTTGAGAAGAGGGAAATGCTTGAAAAAGAGGAATATTATTATATATGGGAAGTGAGCAGGAGAAAAGGAATAGGTGGGGGAACGAAGGATAGACTGGATGGGCTAAGTAGTCTGCTTCTGTTGTAACATGTATATAACTGTGCATTATATTTAATAACCAATATAAAAATAAGTGCATTGTAACATTGCAATTGTGCTGCTAATTATATTTGTTCTAATATTTTAATGTCTTCAAAGTGTGAAATATATAGAACAAAGCTTCGTACAATTTGTACAAATGCCATTTTATACAAACTGTATGTTCCACTTTTTTGATATTGGTTAAAAATGACTATAGTACGTTATAACACATCCACCATTTTCATATGTCTGGTTAAAATCATTTAGTTTTTTCTATGGAAGACTGGAATAATTTTTATCCATTTCAGCCGCTGAACCAAGGTTTGAATTGAAGTGCCTCCAGGATGGCATTTCCTTTTCTTTGATCTAGTGTTTTTTTTTTGTTTAGTCATTACATTTCTTATTTGAGTGGCATTCTGTGTAATTGGTTTTGGTGGGTTTATTTTTGCTGACTTTGTAGATGGAAGGAAAAATCCATGAACTTTAAAATGTTAACACTGTTACCATTTAGACTGCTGTCCAAAGAGAAGGAAAATGGAGGAAAATGAAACGCATTCAGGGAGCTAGGTCAAAATGAGCATAGGTGCTGAGTAGAGTGAGTTAGAGTTCTGTACTTTTTGTATGCTTGAGTGACCTGATTTGCAGACTCACTGCAAGGTAGTTCGATTTGCAAGCGACATTAAATTACGGGTAACTTTGAAATCAGGAAAGCTGAAGGCTTGACAACCGACTGGTTTATCAGTAGATTAGTAATGAACAATTTGAAAGTGTATGATTATAAATAGTATGGGACGTTGAAAGGTCACAAGTTGCATACCACGTGGACAATATGAAGCTTTGCATCACAACACTCAGCACTGTAGGGTGGATGAATGCTGGTGTAATCGCTCAACTCCAGTGCTGTGTGAAGCATTAAATGAAGCTGTGGTGTTTCTCTTGAGCAAGATGATGAGCATACAAACCTTTCTGGCAGCTGGGTAAATAACAGCATTGAGATAGGAGAAGGTCATTCGCCAGCTGATTGAGGTGAAAGTCCAGGCAAGACCGTAATGGAGAACAAAGGTGGAAACAGAGTTCAATGAATTAACTGCTCTGCAAGACTGAATCAAGTCTCTTAAAGGAGGCTGCTGGTGTTGTAATAATAAATTCATGTAAACTTGCTCAGCTGTAAGAAGGTGTGCAAATGATAATGTTTTTGACTGAAGTAATGGCATGTCGGTCAACCCATGCAAAGCTAAATAATTAATAGCCATGTTTAAAAAGATTTTTTTTTAATTCTAGAGGCAAATGAATGTCCCAACTGAACACATCTAAACAAATCACTAGGCATGGTCTGCATGCACTGAAGATCCAGATTTCATGTAATGAAGCATTCAGAGGACTTTATAATTTAATAGTACTATTTATTGTTAGCAGGTTGTTGATTTAAATATCTTTCATTAGGGCATACCTTGAATATCCTTTCTAGTTCTCACGAGGAGCATTTGATTGTGCACATTGTTTGGCTGATAGATTTTTCAGACTCATTCACAAAGATCCATCATGTACTAATTATGCTAGTCATACACAAGCTCTCACAGAAAACAATTTGAAGAAAACATGTTTATGTTGTTATCCCATTTTGCAATACCCAGTCTATAAACTTTTACTGTTTCTCAGAACGCCTCAGGAAATATCTAAAGTGGCTTCTGCTGAATGCCTTGTAACAAAAAAAAGTGTTCATTCTTTGGTTACTTTTAAATTCGCAGCAGGGTAGATGAAAGATCCCACATTGTAGCTATTCAAAGTAACTGCTGTATCTTCCTGGTTTTATATCCCATTTTTAGTACTTCGATATGTAAAATATGAACTTCAATCTCTTGTGTATGCAAAATCATAATGGCAAAACAAAGGAGACTAAGCAAGGGCTTATGATTGTGTAACTCGTTTATTACTATGTATGCATTTACCTAAAAATATAAAGTAATTACATTTACCAACGGATATCCTGTGAAGTGCTTTGAAACGACTTGGTGATGTAATAAGGCGCTGCATCAAATGCAAGGATTATTAATGGATTAATATTCTGTGTCAGTGGACTGGACCTAACTATTTAAAGGATAGATCATGAAACTGGTACGAAAAGTATCCCCTTCATGTTTTTACTTAAATATCTTCAGCGTTTTGTGCCAGAATCAGTTACAGCAATAAAGCTCCATTTGCAGTGCACAACAATCTGCTACTCCATGAGCAAGATAATTCTCCTTTTTGTCACAGCAGCCATTCTGGAGCTTCTCTGATTGAGATTTCCAATTTAGGACCAAATGAATAGAAGTTTTGTGTCCGTTACAGAAGCAAACTCCAATTCCATTGGGATTCTTTTCTCACACATTGAAATCTGCCTTTGTGGCCATCTAATGGCCATTAGAGTTGTTGATTTAAAGAATAGACTGACACTTAGTGCAGTAAATATTAACTCTAGAGAAACATTGTAAAGGAAATTGATTGCTTTTCTGATACGGCAGACCGAAATTGTACGACCCAAGACAGTGACTATTTGACTAAGGGTACCATATTAAAGCCAGGTTGTGTTATCAGTCGATATTTACTTTCCAGCAGCGGTCAAATAACTGCTCAGGAAATCTGGCTGATTTTTCCCCTCCCCCACCTTTCTCCTTTTGTCCAGGAGCACTGAGGTTGCTTGTAGTGTCCTTCCTCAGCACAGCCTGAGATTGAATCAAAGATATTCCTTGTCGGTGTGACTGAATCGGTATGCAAGATAGTGCATTCATTCAACAAGCCGTCAGAATAGGCCAGCTTTTTCCTATTCAACATTATTTTCACAATTATGTTTGGTAAATCATGCTCAGCTGTGAAGAGCAAATGCACTTGAATATATAAATTCATCCAGTCATCACTAAATGTTGTGTATGTTTCAAAGAACATGCTGGTTAACCTTCTTTTGTGCTATGCTCTTTGAACACATCATATGAAAATGAGTTTCCCAGTGGAACTACTGCAAGCTCGTACAGTTTTAAGATCTGCACTGACTTAATTTGGTTTTGTTGGAATTTGTGATCTGTGATTTGTCTCTCTTGTAATTAAAGTTGATGGTTCAGTAACTGAAGTTTCAATTTGCAGGGTATGGCAGCAATTTATTTTACAGTAATTGAGCGTCTTAAAAATAGCTTTTGGGAGTCAGGTGAGATAGTTGACTCATAGAATAAGGTTAGATTTTTCAACCCAAATTCAGATCCTAACCTTGACTTTTTTTGAACTTAGCTCCCTGCTCAATTAGTATCAGTTCTTGGTTACACACTTTATAGAAGATGTTGTGGTAGCAAATTGAGTGCTGTGGTGGGAGAGGAGAGAAAAGCATCTTGCCTAAGATGGTCCACAAAAGTACACTTCTGATAATTGATGATAAAGTGATGCTTTGACTCTTCGTGACTTTTAATACACTTCTTTGTAATTCCTTCTGTGCAGATACTTGAGAAACAGGAAAAAACAAAAGGGGAAAGTAATAAAATCCGAAATAAAATTGACAGTGCAAATTCTTTTAGAAGTATTGTATCAAATGCAATAGTTTTTTTTAAAAAAGTATATATTTTTACTTGTCAGTATAGATTTCATTCCTAAAATACGTATCATAACAAACACCATTTCTAAATGATTTACAAGACCTCTATCAACACTTTACAACAGAATTTGGCAATGACGCATTCAACTGCTATATTTTTCCATCTTCCTACATTCAGTCCAGAATGTGGAATACCTTTTTAACCTTATTTTCACAACACTGCTACAAACACTTGAAATACAACGGTATTTCACATTGATTTAATTATTCGTGAATAAATAATCTATATAATGGACATGTATACTATTAGATTCAGTGAAGGTGACTAATTGGTTTATTAGTTTTACTAACAGCATCTTTTGTTTACTCATGACTAAAAAAAAATGCCTTTAAAATATATTTTTAAAAGAACTCACGGCTGACCGAGCTGGAAAGTGATGTGTATGATATTTAATCTGATCATCTTACACCTGCATGAGCATTCTGTTCTGCCTTTCTTGAAGCCTGAATATATTATCATTCCTTGAAGAGACCAATTACTGGATGCTAAAATGTGTCCTTTTAATGCTTGTCTTGGAACAGTGAAGGTGATTCAGACACAGACTCTGAAGTGGAAAATCGTGTGGATGATGTCAAATCCTGGCTGTCAAAGAACAAGGGCTCGTCCAAAACATTTTCAGATGATGGAAGCTTAAAAAGCTCAAGGTTAGTTTTTTTTTTTAAATTTTAAAATCTGAAGAATGTTTCCACAATTTGAACAGATAAAATCTAGGTTGACTTCCAAATAATTGTTAGAGTAATACCAGTCAGTAAAATATCTAATAAATGTTATCCTTTCCTGAAAGCATTTTGCTTCATTTTATCTTTTATTGGGGTATGCTTGAGTGGGTGTCCTCTGATACCTTACCCAAATTATCTCAGGTTTTGTGACCTCAGACAGCAAGTATCAACAGACATCTTTGACCATTATGGTCACACCCAATCTACCCAGCATCCATATGACATCATCCAGCAGGGTCTGCTCAATACCAATTTAGCATCAACCCTGCCTGGTTCATGTTCTTCTTTAAAGCGGGGGTGGGTGAGGCTAAATCAAAATGTCATCCATTAGTCTCCATTACCCCACAATCCTAATGGGATTAGGAATCGAAATTGGGACTGTCTTGGTTTGTATAGATCACATACTTGTGGATACACTCAAGCCATTGGAGGAGAATGAAATGTTTAAAATATTAAAATTACCAATATAATAATTTTCTACTGTTTTTTCCCTGACTATGCATTGATTGAATAAGTAAATGAATTAAAGTTTGCTTATATCATTTCATAAAAGGCAATAAAATTAGCATCCATATTGAGAAAATCTTTCCTACATCTTTATCTCCTGTCATGCCCATCATAAACATCTACTGTATTGTATCCTGTTTACTTTTTGTTTGTCCTTTTTTCTCTTTTATTTACCATTGTAAATTCAATTTGTGATTCTCCTACTTTGAATTTTCTTCTTTACTTCTTGTGTGTATGTCGATCAGATTTTCTGTTAAGTTGGACCTAAAAGAGGGGAAGGAGGGGAAAGAATTGAAGGAAGGAAAAGAACTGGAGGAGAGTAGACCCGTCTCTGTAATGAGCTCTCTCAGCTATCGCAAGCGAGGAAATATGAAGGATTCTATAGGTGGAAAAGTCAGTGATAACTCCCTTCTTTCGACTCTCAGTAAAGAACGGTCTTCATCCCCAGATAGGTCATTCCGAAAACTCAAAAAGACCTCGAGTGCAGACCATTTGGAGGACTCCCTCCAGTTGGTTCTTGGAAAAAATCTCAGGGAGATGATGACTTAGATGATGGGGGATCTGTCATTTCCCAGGCATATTCAGAGGCCACAAGTAGAGCCAGGAAGGGTTTAGATCGCAGATGGGCCCTGACCAGTCCCGACTTTGATAAAGCTTCTACCTTGTCACTCCCTGTAGCTCGTGCTTCTTCCAGGCGAGCCTTGGAAGTTGACGATGACGTGAAATCCTCACATTTTAATTTAACTAGTCCGTCGACTAGCTTGAGGCGAAGCCTTTCACGCCTCGATGACCAACAAAGTGATTTGTGCAGTCCCCTTAGCCCCTCTCTCAATCGTAGATCAGAATTGGGATTGCAAAGCCCAACACTAAGTAGGAACATGGATTCAAGATTGTCCTTTTCACGGAGCAGATACAGTGAATTGGATGATGATGATTTGGACGTTGGTAGTGTAGCATTAAGTGAAAGTAGGTCATCGTTTAGTCAGCATTCAGTAGGTCGAAGTTTTAGTGTGCCTCCCAGACCTAGGTCATCTGTCTCGGATGATATGAAGCTAGATAGTTCCGATATTAAGCCCGTGGGTCACAGGAACTATTTGGATCCAAATTTAGAAGCAGCTATCAATGAAGTTCTGAACTACAAACCCATTAAGTTTAAACGGACAAGTCTAGAACCAGACTCTGAAGGAGATGAGGAAAAAGTAATTAAGCCACAATCCAGTCTTCAGCGATCTTCCTCGGCACTAGACTTCAGCAAGTCACGAAGCAAGAAAAATAAAAGCAAGAAGAACAAGAGTTCCGATACTGAGTCGTCAGAATCCGAGAAAGGGCATAGAAAGAAAAGCTCCAAGAAAGCCTCCAAGAAATCGAAGAAAAAATCCAAAAAGAAGGAAACTGATTCTGAATCCTCCTCCTCGGAATCGTCTTCCAGTTCCTCCTCTTCAGGCTCCACCGTTTCCTATCGCAGCATAAACAGTCTCAAAAAGAGTCTGAAAAAGAGAGACTCTGATTTGGAAGAGGAAGGTGGTGGTGTAGAGAACGATGGAAAGAAATCCAAGAAAGAGGAGAAGAAAAGAAAGAAGCAAGTTGATAGTCTGATGATGAAGTACTTATACAGACCTGAAAGTGATGAGTAAAGTAGGTTTTATCTGGATCTTTGTGTGGAGTGGAGCATGAAGATGCATGTGTTTTTTTAAAAAAAGACTAATACCACTTCCTCTGACTGAGATTTACTAGTGTTCCAAAGTGTTATTTTTGATTTACGAGTTGACTATTGAATAGCAATGCTGCAGCTCTCATTTCAGAATAGTCCCTGCGGTTATTCATTCTGTTTTCCATATTGTGGTCGAGGATGGTAATGACAAATTGTAAATGGAATTTGTTTCAGGGTGTATACAATTTCAAAACGTTTTTCCCTGCTCAATAGGTTTTATTAAACAAACAAACCAACCAACAAAGCTTTACTCTGCACCCGACCTGTGATGTATATACAGAATTTCCAGAATTGTCATCCTTCACCCAAGGAAAAAGAAAGTTGCTGAAAAATAATCATGGAATGATGAACCTGTTTCTCTGACTTCCTCTGATGTTGGATATATTGCACCTTTATATTTTCCTATTTCACCTCCGTATATTGTTACCTCTGATTGTGTAGTCATCTCAGTGTTTGTTTCTGTTGAAAGAAGGCAAAAGGAATAAACACTGGTACTCCAGAACACTCCCAGGTTTTGACCCTGTTGAATGGTCCCTTTTCCCCCTATTTCCTGCCCGTTCACCCAAAAACGCACACTTAGACATGTACAGCGAAATGCGAGAGAAAGTGCCACCACAACTACTTGAGCCTGTATTGTTAATTGTACAATTTGTTAACCACCCCATTTACCAGGCTCGTTAAATATTTCTTTCGTCTTTATGAACCAAAGTGAATAGCGTCGAGATTTCCTGTGGATTATTTTGCTTCCACTAGGTTTGTTTCAGTTCTAGGTCAGCCTAATGAATGTAAAACAATACTTCATCTCCAGAAGAAAAAAACAGAAGCGGACCGTCTTTGAATATTTAATGTGTGATGCATGTTTGTTGATGATCAATAACTAGTTCTCAGAGGATGTAACGTTATGTAGCTGGAGCCGAACATCATGTTCTGTACGCCGTGATTTTATAGGAAGTGAGGGAAACTAACCTGCTAACTGACATTCTTCCTACAACGATTGCTGACCAGCAAAATTGCTTCAGCTTTGTCAGAATAATAATAATTGTAATAATAATTCTTGCATTTGATATAGTGCCTTATCACATCTTAGAGACATCTCAAAGCGCTTCACAGAAAATACTGTGAAGTGTATATTTTATGGGCGAAACGCCTTACACTTATAAATATATTAAATATAAGTATATATTCATACTTCTGATAAAAGTACAAGTGATCCTGTTTGCCTAATTTTTAACATTTCGTATATTGGTAGCTTAAAATGCCTGTTTAAAATCCTTGACAATGAATGTGAACAGCGTTCATGTTTATTAATGTGGTTTTGCTATCCATTCTGCAGCCCTCGTACATATCGGCAGCACATCTCTGTTCTCAACTCTGATGATGAACTGGACACTTTGGAAAGCACCCACAAGACCAGGGTCTCTACCAATCGACGGCAACCAGACTGTGACGGTGATGCCAAAATCTTGGAATCAAATGGATAATGGCATTTGTGACTGTTTTAGATTAACGAAAGCTCAGCCAGAGACTGAATATTTTGGAGTAACACTGCAGTGTTAGGCAAAACCATATGGAAATGCAAGCTGGCTGAATAAATACAAGCATTTCTCCGTATTTTTTCACCTTGGTGATAGATTTGCATGGTATTGAAGTCTGTATTTACTTTAAATTTAAATTATCTCCTGCGTAAATATACTATTTGAGTATTCCTAGCCTGTTAATAGTGTGGACAATGCTGCTGATGCCGAAAGAGTTGAAACCCAGAAATATAAGGGTTTGATTTTGTTTTTCTATGGGCATGGCAGAATGTTCTTACCAGTGCCTGCTGTCAAAATCCAATTTAAACTCATCATCTCTGGTTGGGGGTCAAGGATGCCACTGTGCATTTTCATATAATTATTTTTACCTGAGCCAAAGATTAGCTTTTTATTTAGCTGCTATCGACTGGAAGTATAAGCGACTACAATGATAGCAAAATAACAGAACTCTTTGGCTTAAACCTTTGGCTTGTTTTCCTTTATTTTGAGGTGTGTGTGCATTTGGTAATGCTTTTTTTTTCCGCCCAGAAATGAAGTTGGCGTGGGTGTTGATAGTTTGCTGACGCCTATACTCTTACACATTCTGTTTATCTTGTATTTTGAAAAGTGCGAGATGCATTTTGTGAACATTGTACCTTTGCTGTTCTTTACGATATGAACTGAAACAATAAAACAAATCGCTAATCAGTTGTATATTTAATCAACAATAGTCGATTTATATTCCAAAAGGTGGGGGGGGGGGAAATAAAATCGAGGGAAGGGGAGACGAAAATGGGTTTAGAGGTAATTGCTGTGTGTCAGTATATAAGTGATCGATTTACAATTTTCTTCACGGTTGTACATCACCTTCTCTACATATAACCAATGCAGCAAATAAACAAACAATCAAATGGTTCTAATTTGAATTAGATCACACTATAAATCATATCTTTAGCAATTTATAAAAAAAATCTTTGTAGGTCTGCAAGTAGCAAGGGCAAAGAAATTGCTTGAGGCCTATGCAGACACTGTAAAACCAATGGCTCTCTTCACTCCTATCCATTAGAATTCCTTTTACTCTCTGAAGAACAACAGTCCACTCGCACAGAATTGTTGACTTTGATTAAGGATATGCTGTATATAAAACCAGCTCTATTAGTGTTTGTTTATTGACCCACTTATAGTGATCAGTGAAATGAAGGCTTGCGCTTCAATAAATTCAGTAACCACAACTATTTTGACATGACCCAGGCTTCATTTTTCATAAAGTTACATGGAGTGTTGAAAAGGACCATCTGGAAGACTAAGACACTGCTAACAATGTAATCCATAGAAAGTGAACTGCAAAATTTTATTTTGATAGTTTTCCAAATAAGTTTCCTTGAATGCATAGTGACGCATCATGTCATAATATTGAATATGAAGTTTGAATGAAGATCTATTCTTCAGTATGCAACTGTGCACTTTTCAAGAATGTAGACTATGAAATTGTCCTTGGTCAGTATAGATAACAGAAGTGAACAATTTGGGGATGTTGCAGTTTTTCCAATATATTTGTACTGTGGTGTTATTGAGATGGTACTGTTTTCATTAAGTCATAATATAACTGATGTATAAAATCCTACTCTGCCGCTAATTTGCAAATTGAATTCATGATATCAAAATTTGTTGCTCCAGCTTCAAAGCATTTTCTCCGAGTTTTAAGTGAAACCAATTGATGACATTTCAAAACCAGGTGAGCAAATGTGTAAGGTGAGGATGGTCTGAAGTGCTTTCGAAGACAGAAAACTTGCAAAGGCGGTATTGTCCTCCATTATGTTGTATTTTTTGGTGACTATTTATGTGATAAAATAAACTCTTGGGTTGTCTTAGAAATTTCATGACTATTTTCTTCGTATTCACTACTTTTCTTCAAATTCAGTGCCACTGATTGTCATTGATAATGGAATTGGCCTTCAATATAATTTTTGCTTCTGGTATAAATATATTTCCAGCTTTATTTACTCTGTTCTTGTCTAATATTCTGATTATGGGACTTATGGGAAATACAAGTTACATTGACTCCTTGTCCATCATCCTTTTGCTAAACCCATTATGCAAAAACCCATACCTATGATTTAGATATACTTTAATAACCACATTTGTGCACGCTTGTTGCATAATTTGCCTTCATGGATTAGTTTAGGATGGTCTATATTGAACAAAAAGGTGACTTATCAAATATGTTCATATGAGTTTTTTCTGGACAATTGGAATTATTCACTGATAGCTGGAGAATAATGTGCTAAAAATGAGAGTGATCCATTGACGGTAAATACAATAACTTGAATTTCTCCATTTTTGTATTCTTTTTGCTACCCGTTTTTGTTAAGAGATAAGTCTAAGCTTGGTGTGTACATTTTATGTCTAGCTCTAGGCTAATTTTTGTTTTGACAAAGACTCTCTTATTGTTCCTGACAATAATTAAGGCAATAAATCCGTACTGTCAAGTTAAGGTGTTAAAATATAATGCTAGATAGTTCTACACCACTCTCCCAATGGTAATTATTTGCTTAAGATCTAGAATCCATGAGAACAAAACAAAAAGCATCGTGGATGTGATGGAAAATTTGTAGTATTTTAATGCATACAAATTTAGAAACCAGCGAGCCATTCAGGCCACAGGAATGTTGCACTATTACTTATCCCATCATCCCATTTCCAGGTTAAATTGTGCTTTTTCAAAGCAGAACAGAAAAGGACACTGGTAAGCAAATGAAAGAATTGAGCTGACCAAAAATAATTCCTCAAAATTAACTTGAGTTAAGCAATTCGTTCCTATTGAAATAGACAGGCAGTTTAGTCTGAAATTGTAAGTCTGGAAGAGAAGAGCCATATCTGGTGTGTGCTTGTGTGTGGTATGTGTGCTGTGCTGACATGAAGCAGAATAGTTGGAGAAATACTATGTGAATGCTATTGTACAGCAAAGGCAAATGGCCACTTAAGATCTCCACGCATTTCCATCTGTCCTTTTGCCATAATACACACAGATGCCCTTTGTAATCTGCATGTCAGAATATATTTATGCTCTTTATGTTTGAAACATAAAATGAGCACAAGCTCCAATTTCCCTTGTGGCATATCTTGATGCTTCTGCAGAAATGCTGTCAAAGATGATTCTTTGTACTGTCATTCTTGTGATTGCATAATTTACATCTGCCATAGTCTATTAGTGCAGAAAGTCCCAAATATCTTTGTTCCTGTGGCTTACTGTGAGACTGGGAAATGTAAGATTTAGTTGGAATGGATTTATTTAAGGAGCTGAAAAGGTATTTTTTGTGTATATTCTTTACAATACACAAAGTTAAAAATGCGACTGCACAGGAAACAATTGTGTCAAATCAGCAGTGTGATTAAATCGGATCATTTTAAAATATTTGAGATAACTGGGGATGAAAAATGGATGTCTCTAAATAATAAAAATGAAAATACATTCTATTCTTTCCACTTTCATTTCGAATTTTATACTGAACCCATTTTCTTATTAAATTTTATTCGAATTTGAGACGTACTTATTAAAAAGGCTAACAACGTTCCTCATAAATGCATGAAAACAATTCTGTGTTTTGTGCAAAGCATTTTTAAAGAAAGCTCAACGGTTAATAGAGGCAAACCACACCTCCATGGGGCATAATTTCTTTTGAAGAGACGTACCTATCAATGTCAGACAGATCTGAGGTAATCACGTTAAATTCTGTTTGGGATAGGAGTGAAAATGTTTGGGGCGACCGTTTGACTAATTAAAATTTGCAGGGCACTTGCATTCCATAGAGGTTTGCTGCAAGTTAACTAGACTAGATAGAGGGAAAAAACTTAGGATAACTTTTTTTTCTCCAAATGCTAGCATATCTGAGCGTGATGGTTGCTGTTTGGACTTGGTTGGTAATTGTACAACATGTAATGAATACAACTGTGGAAGAATTTTGCTGCCATCCCTTCTAGGAAAATAGACCCAGAATAATAGGTTTGGATGCACTAAGACAGTAGAACAAGAGGACACTGGTTTAGAGTTGCAAAGGGCAATTTCAGAACAGACAGCGGGAAGTATAGTTCGAAGAGAGGAAGCAATGTTAGAGAAGCTCTCTTGTACAAACACATTCGTTCACACAGTGTTTTGTATTCAATACTGATGGATATGCACCATCACTCATCTCTGGTCTTTACAGAAAGATCCTGATAATCAGATGCTGGACATTGATTTTGTTTAATTTGGTGTAAAATGTAAAATTTATAACAAGAGTTGCACTTTGAAGCACATCTGTAGTGTGTCATTTTCAAGACTTTTCGAGAAAATCTCAATCTTAACGGATTTCATGGTGCAGTACATGAACCTCTTTAATGAACGAACATGTCAAAATAATTTTGAAGGTGAAATTCAGCATTTTTGCCACTATATTCTACAATATAGAATAATTTTACATATTCTATATTCTAATATAGAATATTCTACAATATACAATACAGAATAAACCCCGCTCTTACCCCAACTATCCCCCACTCCTCCCCGCTGCTCTTACCCCAACTAGCCCTCACTCCCCCCCCACCCTCACCCCAACTAGTGGTTAGAGCACTCGCTTTGCAAGAGAGAGACCTGAGTTCAATCCCAAGCAGGTCAGGGCCAAACCTTGGGCAAGTTTCCTTACTCCACACAGAACCCTAATAATAATCCCTCCAAAACCCAAAACAATAATAAATTGGTCATTTTCAATCTACGACTGTTTGTGGGGCATTGCTGTGCGCAATTGGCTGCCGCGTTCGCCCAAAAATATACAGTCGATTCACTTTACAGTGTGTTCTGTGAAGCGCTTTGGGACGTCCTCCCGACGTGAAAAGCGCTATATCAAATGCAAGGATTATTATTATTATTATTACAAGGTTTGACAAAAACAAAACTATTTGTGTCCACAGGCCCTTGTTCCAAATTTAATGCATTTCTCTGTTCTTTGAATACTTTTCCTGCCACTCGGTGCAGACGCTTTGTTTCCACCCCCTGGCATGTTTACGTTCGATTCAGTACCATACAGCAAGTCATGTCAGATTGAAAACAGAAAGAATGGACATTGAATCCCTTCAGGATGACTCTGCTGGAGGGCATTTTCGTTTCAATTCAGATTGAATGCTGCAAGGAATTGTGGAGGATTGCAAACTGGCCTAAGGTACATCAGCTCTGCAGTGAAATACTCAGGCTTAGAAACCGGCGGAGACATGAAAGGTAATATTCTGCAGAGGCAAATATCCCACCTGGTATGCCCACTCACTGAACGTGTTGAGTAAATGCTAGCCTCAAGGTAAGCGAGTATGGTAACTGGTCAGGTCTTCTGTTTTTTTTATATATTAAAAAATAACGTGAACCCTTTTTCCCATCATTGTGTGTTGCTCTCAGAAAGGATAGTGTGCGTACTCACTGTTCCCATTTAGTTCCCCATCAAAATGGTTTAAGAAACCAATCTCTTTTGCAGTCTGATGTTACATTTTCCTTTAGGTGACTTTTGCTTATGCTGTTTTAAGTCACAGACAGTTGAAAGCATGGAATTCGATGCATTCTTTAATCAGCTTGTGCGTGAAAGCATGCATTTATGCCTGAGCGTCATGGTTTCTCTCATCCTGACAGATAATCCTATTGCTTCAACAAAGCTAATACCACAAGGTTCCGAAAGATTAATTATTGTTTGCCAGAGAAAATGTGGACCTTAGGCAGAATTTTAGATTAAGCTGGAAAAGTACTTTACTGGATTTGTTGCATACAGTAATTGTAAATATGGCCCTTATTGTTCCTTTATTTTCTTGCATTTCATGCTTTCAACTGCTTGTTTAAGAGACATCCTGAAAGAAGGCCCTTTGTATAGTTTGAACTCTCGTGCCACCACAAACAGGAGACAGAGCACTCTTTGGATGCAAGTACATACCGTCACAGAATATACCCCCACAAAATATACAGTCAATTCACTTTACAGTATATTCTGTGAAACTCTTTTGAGACGTCTCGAAGACGTGATGAGGCGCTATATCAAGAGCAAGGATTATTATTATTATAATAAGTAAATGTGATGCACTGTGTTGGTACTTAAAAGAATTCTTTATTCAAATCAAGAGTACAGACTGGAATGTAATTCCTGAATATGTTCATTATTATGCTTGAAACCCTTACGGCAGATGCTATCATTTAAAAAGAAATTGTAAGCATAGCACTTCCCTGATTTTCCCAACCAAATCGTGCGTTCATTCAACACGATTGCTCAGTGAGTTAGTTTTTGGTCAGTGTTGAGTAAGGCAAGGTGATGTTTAAGGAATTTGACGTCCTGATACTAATTAAGCTCAACATGACACACTTACTCATGTACGGTGAGCAAATCCGATGTTTTTTTCCTGTTTAGATCTTGAGAAGACAGTTGGGCACAGTCTGAGTGAACCGGGTAAATAATTCTGAAAATGCACTTCCAAATTAATTGTGCCGGTGACTGCGGAACGAAGTAAGCAGAATGGGTTCCTCCAGGGAGTGAACTTGCATGCCATTCAAACCATTTCTTGGGAATTTCCACCCTGTAGGTGGGCTGCGTGGAATTCTCAGTTTGGTTTGAATACTCTCAGACAATGGTGATGGGTTTCCGTGTGTGTTAGTCACCCGACTGACCTCCCGCCCCCCCCCAAAAAAAAATAAACGGATGGCACCTTAAAAGGCACTCAAGTCGTTCATTTTCTACAAAATGTTGTATTTGATCTGCAAGCAAAAAAAAATTGAATCCTCTGAATTGTCTCACAGTGAATTCAAAATACGATATTCAAGTACTTGGTGCTTGTCAAATGCTTTGTTTTTTTGCAAACTTGGCAGAGAAAACTAAAGATTATAAATAGCCATGGTGTGTGGGGAGAAAAGCTACTTTTAAAATGAAATACTGAGCAGTAGAAGATTTATTTCAACAAGGTTTTAAGGGTTTATGCATTTCGCTTAAACTTAACCAGTAATAAAATCGAGATTATATGTCAAAACACAAGATATGGGGCAGTATCTTATTTTCCTGCAAAATGCAGACCGATATTTATTGGAGCGCCTCCAATGAGGCATAATAAGATGCCGTGATCTGTGATTGGCACTTTATTGGCTTTGCGTTACACCATTTTAACAGAGCTGTGTGATTGTGGAGCCAGTTGGCTGTGAGCACACCTATTCTATTTCCATAATGATTCTGTCATAACACAGTTCCAGATACAGTTAAGTAGAAGGTGCGCATTCATCAAAAAAACTTTTATTTAAAAAAAATCGAACTCCTTATGACTGATTGCTGAGTACTAGAGAATTCAACAGAGGAGGATTCTCTGTGGGTTAAAGAACAAAATGCAGGCCCAATTATCATGGAGATTAAGCTGAAAATTTGCTTATCCCTCCGAATGTTTTACTTTGGTGCTCGTCAGACACAAAAGTAGTTTGCAGGATGCCAATCTATCACTTTCTGCCATGCCTTTCTTCTTCACTGCCTTCTGCAAGAGGTGTCTTTGCTTACTCGCTGACTGAAATTTATGTCACCTGTATCACCGATAAGAGAAGTCCAATGCTGCCTGACTAAGTGACTGCCAGCATATGCCATTATCCTCAACAATCGCCCGTGATGCCATGCTCTTGGGATTTCTTCGACAAATCTTGCTCGTAGGAAAGAGAAAATACAATTGTTCAACGGTGCATTGAAGGCCTGACATATGGGCCTGCTTGGGCTCAGGTTTGCGCCTGACATTTCTCTGCGCAGTGAGTTACTGAGCTATATACCCCCATGTTATTTTCTGTAGGAAAAGCACCAAGTGGAAGCTAAAAGCTTCTCCTCGGAGGGGGATTGGTAACTTGGACTCGTTTTCTCTTTGCCTGACAAATGAGTCGGCCACTGAAGGAATGAGTAAGCCTTTTAAGAAAATTGTCTGCCCTTTCCCTTTTGCGGCTCGTTCAGAATAAGTAGGGGAAGTGATTGATGCACATTTCCACCGCAGGCTAAATGATGCAGATGCGTACTGCGCAGGTGAATGTTCGTTTAACGTTGCCTTGATTTAAATGAGCACAAAAGGAGGGGATGTGAGTGGGGGAGGGGGATGACACCCCATTATCTTCATCTTTCAACGGCTTACACATTCGCAACAGGGCAATGAAACCGTTGTCTTGTAAACTGCTCATTGGCCATGTCTGTTGCTAAACTGGAGCTTCAGAATTTTTTTAAAAAAAAAGAATTAATAGATCAGAGCTCAATTTCAGCTGCTGGAGTTAATTATCTTGGTTTCGCAGTCACCTGGCGTGTAGGGCATTTTTTTTAAAAACACACGCTATTAATGATTTTATCAGGACATTGCAGATGAAAACCACATCACAGTGCACACGGCTTTCATGTTCTTTTCCCTTCAAACAATAAAATGCTCTTAAACGATTCTGACATGATCGACTCTCAGTTATCTTGGCTGAGTTTCCAGCCATTTTAATTCAGAATTTTCTCCCAGATATTACCAGTGCACAAAGCTCCTTCCTCTTTTGTGTCGATTGCAAGATATTACAAGTGAATTCCGCGTTCCTCACCAAATCAAAAACTATTATTTGCATTGTCTTGTTCGGTGACAAAACACTTAATATCTATCTCATTCTCTAATCTTCATTACTCTAATCTTTGGGTGTGTTTGTGTGTCACAAACTGTTATTCCTGCTGCTGTTATTCCTACAGCACAGATTTTAACTGGAAACGACTGATTTTGAAAGGTGAGAGACTGTAGGAAGTGCGCTTTCCCATGCTGAGTTCACACAGGACTTTGCCAACCACTGGAGCAAGCTTGAAACCGTGACCTGAAAAATTAGCACAGAAAAACATTAATAATGGATTATGGAGCTGCAATTCATTCTTAGTCTGTGTGTATTTCAAACCTAATGTGGTTGCTTATATGAGTTATCTTTGCTTTCACACGGTAGCTAATGAATCAAAGTAGCCACAGTGTACCTCCACTTATAATATATGTAAAACGCTGAAATATTGGCCCCGTTGGAACTGTAACTCATGTAAATTGGTAAACGTCTTTTTTCCAGAAAACTAAAATGCATGCCTGTGTAAGTACAAAATCCCAGATCATCTCACTTCAGCAAACGACAACCAAGGTGCACTTTGTTTTAATTGGCATAAAATTTGGTGTCATTTATTTGACGCAGGATTTGACCCATGGTTTGCTGACAATGAGTCATAAAGCCTCTCGTTGATACTTCGACCCGTTTCAGAGTTGTGCTAATGGCGAGCGGCTAACGACAGAGGATATTCCTGGAGCGCTCCACCTTTAATTAGTGTTAATTAACTACATCGGTAACTATGTCTTTAGAGCTCTGTGTACACACGAGTAATGAAGACCTCAATGAAGATAACTAAACAGAGATTAAGAGCAGAGACATCAAAGGTGTCTGCTGACTCGACTTGCAAAAGAGACCAAAAAAATGTACCATTGCACGAGTAGTGAAGACCTTCATTCCTCGGAAGCGCTGAAGTAATAATAATAATCCTTGCATTTGACATAGCACCTTATCACGTCTTCAAGACGTCTCAAAGTGCTTCACAGAATATACTATAAAGTGGATTGACCGGATATTTTCTGGGCGAAATGTAGACGGTAAGTGGGCTGTGGAGGTCCTTTGTTTCTCACAAGTGCTGGCTGTGTGCCTTGTGAATGGTTTCTGTGCAGGTGTGGAAAGCAATTGGAGCCAAGCGACATCCGACGATTTTTTTTTAATGCAATTTTTCACTGTGCATTTTTTTTACAATATTATTTATCTGTAGGCCAATGGTGATACGTGCACATTGTCAAGAAAAACAATTCTAGCCAAAATCAATAGACCTCCAAGGTAGCCTTTCAGCACAACTGTTTACAGTCTTAGAATTCTGATTGTTTTTAACTCTTAAGTTTAGGTTTACCCCCAAAGTATCAGACGTCAAGCTTGAAGGGGAGAATGGTGGTGATGTCAGAATTTATTGAATTTGTGGGCAAAACACAGCAGCCAATTGCGCACAAAGGTGTCCCACACACAGTTGTGAATTGAGTGATCGCATTTTTTTTTTGGAGGACTTTTTATCCCCGGAACGTAATCTGCCAATCGACTAACAACCAGGTTCCTACTTACTGCCAGGTAAACAGAGTCATGTGCAGTAAGGAAACCTGCCTAAGGTTTCGCTCTGCCCGGGAACCGAACCCAGGTCCTCTCGCTTGCGAGGCGAGCACGCTAACCACTACGCTTTGGGGTTCCACCATGTATTCTGGTAACCTACAAAACTCTTAGCTTAATGTTTTTAATTTCAAAAGGTGAAATAAATTCGAAAATAAACAAAGAAAAAAATATTAAAGGTTAGGGCGAAAGAGCGAGGAAATGGAAATGGCGAATGAGTGAGGAATGAGATTATTATAGATTTAGCAAGTCATCAAAACATCGGCTCCACAGAATTTACTGTACAATACAGTGACTGTGTATTTGTAAGGCAAATTCGAGTGGGGTAAATGAACACCAGTATAGACACCTCGGGCTGAATGGCATTTTTTGTTTCGCTCTTTTAAACATTCTCTAATTCTATGTCCTAATTCCGCAAGTAAAGCTCTCACTGTGTCCTGAATACATCTGCTGCCCTCGCTCCCAAAACAATACAGTACAGTAAAAGCCGACGACAATAAAACAAAGCAATGTCGAGTTTTAAATAATCCCCGCTGCCTTCTGCAGCCATAAATCAGTAGAAAGAGTGAAGATCGAACAGCCACATACAGGTCATATTGTTCCAAATTATATTGGTAATGTCTTACTGCGATGCAATTTACAACCTCTGCTATAAATGCCTATAAACATTGACAACGAGATGGTCACAATCTCTCCAGAAGTTATTTGTTATTTCCCAATGCAATTTACAAATCCATTAGCCACTTGGATGGTCAGCACCGGACAAAGCTACATTGTTATGTACGATGGCTGGGCAAGACTGGACCGGTGAAACCTTGACTGGCATAAAAGAAATAGCCTGGAAGGGGAAATCTTGAATCTAAAGTGGATTTTACATTCACAACGCTTTTACCTTTATTTAAATTATAAATTAGTTGCAGATTGGATTTGTAGCTCGGGGCTTATTCAGTGTTTCGACTGTCACCACAATATGGATGCTAGTAAATTAGAACTGAAATACAGAAACAACCAGTAAATTACAACACTGCGTTCACTTACTTAAATCTACCTTTGCTGATAAAAGGAGCATTTTGTACAACATTAAGGAGAAGTTATATAACGGGCCAAATCCTGTTCACTCCTTTATTAAGTTAATAACAAGCTGCTTTGATGACAAATGGCACTACGTTTAAATGCAGCATCCACCTGAGCAGAATACCGTGTGTTTACATTTCACCTGATGCTTTTTGAGATGTTTTATTTGTCCTCGTCTCGGGAGACTTTTGTTACTTCCTCGGCCCGGCCGAGAGACTAGAGGGATGAATTCTATTACAGTGCCACAAGGATGATAATAATAATAATCCTTACACTAGACAGAGCGCCTTATCACGTTGTCGAGACGTCTCAAGCAGCTTCACAGAATACACTGTAAAGTGAATTGACTGTATATTTTGTGGCCAATTGCACACAGCAACGTCCCACAAACAGTCGTGAGTGACCAAATTATTAGTACTTTTTTTGAAGGATTACTAACCCCCAGAAAGGGATCCACCAATCAACGAACACCCGGGTTCGTACTTACTGCTGGGTAAACGGAGGCATGTGGAGTAAGGAAACCTGCCTAAGATTTCGCCCCGCCCTAGAATCGAACCCGAGTCCTCTCGTTTGCGAGGCGAGCACTCTAACCACTAACCTACAGGACTCCTTGATTGCACCTCCTGTTAGTTAATCAGTGGGTGGTGGTGGGGGTGAGATCAATGAGCCAAACATTCCAGCTCTCCCAGTTGAGGTGTATAATCAGTCTGCTCCCCTGCGCTCTCTATTGATTTAACCAAAGTGCCTTTTAAGTGTATTCAACCTTGGAACCACAGGTGTTCCTGCTCTGCCAGGCAAATTGCCACACAGTGTGTTAGGTTAGTCGACATGCAGAAACCCATCACCAGGCCTGAAGAGTATTCAAACCAGCTTGAGTTCCACATATGTATGCCACCTAACACGTGGAAATTTCCCCGTGTCTGCAATGGAGTGCACCCTCTCTCTCCCCCGAGGGATGTCCCCCGTTTACCTAATTCCAGGCTTTGGGGGGACCCCGGATTGTGCGTGTGGGTAACTGCTGGAGTTTAAGCAGCTAAAACCGCACAGCTTGCCATTGAGAACACTGTCTGGCAAGCGTCCTACTGGATGTCCATTCCCTGTTAGGGCTTTGGCTTGCACGGTTAACGGGAGGTTAACCCTGTTAGCTCCTGTTAACCCCGTGAGTGGCAGGGGGCCTGACCTTTAGCGTTGTGCTGGATTTCCCACGTTAAGTTGTGCATATTCTTTTTGGTGCAAAGTGTACAGTCGTTTTGTCTTTCTTCAACACTAAGCCTGCAGCGCTTGAGCTGAGCAAGTGATAACTGTAAGTATTTTCCTCCTATTTATTTCTGCTCCCTTTTCACATCTCTGGTAGAGTTTCACTGTTCTCCAAAATATCTACAGCTCTAAGACACCGCAAGGCAAGAAATAGGGTTGTTCTGAGTGAATTGTATCTCCAGTTTTTGGTCTCTGTCCATTCACCCGCTATTGCTATCAACCCAGATTGACTTTAACAAACTGGCTGTTGGACGGGGCAGGACTTCAAGCTTTCCCTTCAGGCCTCATTTGTGATACCTTTGGAAATCATGAGTGCGTCCACCGGCCCCCACCCCCCCCACCCATGAGCTGACCTTTAATCAGTCACAGAGAATTAATCGTGCCATATGACGTTTATGGTATCCTAGTCACCAGGTGCGTCACAGCATCCAATACAGCATCAATACAATACAACACACAGGGCCTTTTCGCGTCAGGAGGACATCCCAAGAGGCTTAACAGTCCTGGCTTGGCACCTGAGTGGTGAGCAGGGAGCTGAGGGGGGGGGGTGAGGAAGGGAAAGACGACTGAAAGTGCGGTCAAGAAGTAGATCTTGAGACGGACTTTGAAAAAGGGGAAGCAGGGAGGAAAGGAGGGAGCAAGCGAGACGGAGGGATTCCTGGATGGGAAACAAAGCATCCAAAAAAAAACACCAACGCTGTGAATTGCAGCACCGTGAAGTAGCTCACACCGCCGAGCTTCATTATAAAGTACAATAGCAAGAACCTCTGTATGCCTCGCAATAGTTAATGGTAACTGTCTCCCTCACTTTGATTAAATGATTTGCCCTACGGCCTGTGTATTTAATTAGCATGAGCCACATTTGTTGCCATCTCCCCTCTTGGAGGATGAAAGTTATTATTTAAAGGACACACTGCCTTGCACATGATTCCTATTCAACACAAGAGACATTACCACATGACATAATCACTGCTATTAATTTGAAACCTTTCATTTTATCTTCAGACTGAGAACGTACTTCAAAAGGTAGAGTTTCGCTCTCTGGGTTACTGTGACTAACTATAAATAGAATTGCACACAATATAGATATTCTATTACAATCATACATTGAGGCTGGATGTACGCAGTCATGAGGCGTAAAGACGTCACAGAACATATTCATAAGGAGCAATTATACTCGTGATGGATAATTTCAAAACCTAGTGACAAGTTGCTCCTCGGCAGTGAATCACTTCGGTCAAATTCAGAATGTGTTGACAATGTGCTAAGCTGTATTTCATGCCCTTGGCCAATAGACAAAGCCTCAAGGGCTTGTCATTGAGAACCGTCTTTGGGATGGAGGAAGGGGTTCAATTAGGGGGTGTCTGTCTGACACATCCAAGAGATAAGTTCACGAACGTATGGTTAAATTGGCCCAAGTGATAATAATAATAATAATCCTTGCATTTGATACGGCGCCTTATCACGTCTTCGAGACGTCTCAAAGCGCTTCGCAGGATTTACTGTAAAGCGCAGTGGCTGTGTTTTTTGTGGGCGAGACGTTGCAGGCAATTTGCGCACAGCGACGTCCCCGTAAATCAACCGTGGAGCGAATGGCCAGGCTGTGTTGAGGAGAAAGGTTGGAGGACGTAGTTGAGAAAAAGATCATGAGAATCTTTATTTATATTCTGTCCAGGAGTGCGAGAGAAGTGAATAGTGGAGCCTTCCAGACACAGGCGCAACAAACAGGTTATGGATAGACGCGGGTCATTTCAGAAAGCAATGAGTTGCTGAGAGGGAACTAGACATATTTGGTTGGAAAAGGCAAATTGAACATTGTTAGTGGACTTAGATGAAAGGAGAGGGTGGAGAATAACAATGTTGATAGCTAAACAAAGATTAAGAGCAGAGGCATCAAAGGTGTCTGCTGATTCAACTTGCAAAAGAGACCAAGAAAATGTACCTTGGAAGAAGCCAAAGGCTCCATCAAAGGGCAGAGAAGAGATCAAGGTTTTTAGTGATTCAGTCACTGGTCTGATCTGAAGGAAGTAGCAGCGCAGGGAGTGTGATCATCAGCAAAAGAGCGGACAGAGACGGATCATGACTGGAGGAGGTCATTGATGTGGAGAAGGAACAAAGTGAGCGGAGCCCAGGAGAGCTGCTGAATGAAGCACTGTCCGCAAGCTCCAGCTCAGCCAAAATTGGGCTGTTCTCCCAGATTCACACACAGGAAAAGCTTCACATGTCCATCACCCAACCCCCCAGCCCCCACCCCAATCCTCGCCAGCACTGTCAAAGGCATAAGTGTTAACGTGGGAATTAAAATAATTAAAGACAGAAACCAAGTGTTGTTTCGAACACGAGGCTCAAGTATCACAAGCTGACTGACCTGAGAAGCCAGCTCCAATGATGATGTTACTATGCACTGGATGGCGATCGAGAATGAAATCTTCGTCTGGGGTTAACTGTGTGGAACAAACATGGGGAAAGTGAGTCTTTCAGCAGCTTGGCGTTTGCAGTAATTTTAAATAATAATAATAATCCTTGCATTTGATATAGAGCCATTTCACATCCTTGAGATGTCTCAAGCGCTTTGCAGTGAGTAATGTGAAATGGATTGACTGTTTATTTTGTGGGCGAAACGAGGCAGTCAACTGCGCACAGCAATGGCCCACAAACAGCTGCAGAGCAAGTGCTCAGCGCTTTGGGACATCCTCCCGACGTGAAAGACGCTCTATAAATGTAACGTTGTTGTTGTTGTTGATGACCACATTTTTTATTTGGGGGTAATTGTCGGCCAGGACACTGGGAGAGAGAAAGTCCCTTCTGTTTTCGAATAGCGCCACGGGACCTTTAATGTCCACTTGAACAGGCAGTTACGACCTCATGTCTCATCCGAAGGATGGCACCCCTGACAATGCAACAGCCCCCAAACCCCCCACCCCCCCAGCACTGCTCTCTGCGTTGATCTCAATGGGGAAAGGTCTCCAAACAAGCGACTTGATAAATATCAAGTTGTTTCCTGACACAAAAAGACAGCGATCTGTTAAGCCTTTTTCTCAAATCGTGGGGGGAAAGAAATTAGGCTTGAAAATGGCATAAAAACGCAGCCTTGCAAAACGATAAGTTAATCCTCTCAAGTGCTGTAAGTGCTTCTCTGAGTGGCTGTACGCTTTTTTTTTCCACAATCCCCGATTCAAATTAGCTTTCTTTGCTGGGAGAGGTCTGTGGAGTCGAGCGTTTTTATCGGAGACCAGACCTAAAAAAAGGAGACGTGATTCAGGTTTTTCAAAGGCTGAGGAGGCAAAGACGGTCGAAGTGGTTGTAAGAAACCGGTGCGTTACAGTGCATGGCCAGATTTCATAAGAGAGGACCTGGGTTCGATCCCCGGGCAGGGCGAAACGTTGGGCAAAGTTTCCTTACTCCGCACGCCTGTGTTTGCCTAGCAGCAAGTTAGTCGAAGATGTGATAAAGCCCTATATCAAATGCAAGTATTGTTATTATAATATGTTTTCAGGTAACTAGCCTCAAGCAGGTTTAGAGATTAATCAATTGTTGTTGCGGAGGGAAGGTGTGGGGGGTGGGGTTGGTGGGGGAGAAATTTGTTTTTGATAACAATTAATGGTGCTTTTCCCATTCATTGCTTTTTGATGTTCTTTTGATATCTGATACACTGCTGTGGTGACTGTGGGTGGGTGTTGGGGGGGTGGGGGGGAGAATGAATGGCTACCATTCTAAATAAGATCCACAAACGATCACTTGCTCAATCAAGCAATCAATCAATCCCACCAACGGTACCTGACGACCATAGATGTGTAGAAATATTAATAGATGGTTGGGAGTAAGTGGTAATGCTGTCATTTCATCAAGGGGGAATTTGAGCAGTAAAAAAAAATAACCCCATGAGAATATAGTGTGAATTGGTCTCACAATATCCTCCAAAGGTTGATACGATATCACAGAATTTTAAAATCTGCAGCGCAGAAGGAGGCCATTCAGCCCATCGAATCCCAACTCACAGTCCAGCCGGTCCTCAATCCATTACAACACGGAAAGGAGTGGGACTGAGCAGACAGCTCGTTCAGAGTGCAGGCGCAGACACATTGGGGCGAACGCCTATCCCTTGCTCTTTTAAAAAAAATTCCACGGTCGATGTAATACAGTCTCAATAAAATCACGACGATTTTAAGGGCAATTAATACTGATCCTGTTGACATTGACGAAGGTTTGCAGGAAGCAAATGGAAAGCCAGCACTTCACAGCTCCTACGAACGCAGGCGATTGATAAGTGAAACAAGAAAATGATCAAAGTGAATTAAGAGGCTGGTAAATGTATTACATAGCTTTTTTTAAAAAAAACACACACACACACTCACACACAATTGCAGGCAGCCTATGTCGCTGAATGATGAGCTCAAATTAATTCTCACTTATTTCCGCTGCATTAAAGAAAATGGATAAACGCTTCATCGGGTAACGGATTGTGTTAACTCTCTTTTTGAAACATTGGGATGTTAAACGCGAAGGGGGTTAAGGTACATTTTTGCAGAGGCAATAAGGCGAGAGACGAGTGCAATTTGTCTGAGCGACTCTCCATTGGAAATTCAATCACTTGGAGAGGTCAGATGACAATAATATTCCTCGCATTTGATATAGCGCCTTGTCACGTCGTTGGGATGTTTCAAAGCGCTTCACAGAATATCCCGTGAAGTGAATCCACTGTATATTTTGTGGGCAAAACACAGCAAAAAATTGCACACAAACGCTCGTGGATTGAGTCCCCAAATTATTATTTTTTTTTTTTGGAGGGATTATTACCCCCGGAAAGTGAACCCCACCAATTGACTAACAACCAGGTTGCTACTTACTCCTAGGTAAACGGAGGTGTGTGGAGTAAGGAAACGGCCCTAATATTTCGCCTTGCCGGGAATCAAACCCAGTTTCCTCTGGCTTGCGAGGCGAACGCTCTAAGCAATACGCTACGGGACTCCACAAACAATCCATGTGCTAATTTACATCCAAAGCCAAATTCAAATTTGGCTGAGGAACGCTTCAACGCAGATTTAAGACACTGGAAAGGCTCATTTCTGAAGAGAGATTAATATTTATAAAGGGATCATTCGTTATTCTAAAAAAATTCCAGTCAAAGAGATCATCAGAAGCCAAGACAAACAGATTTCTAATTTTTTTCTCTTTCCAAGGGCTTTTGTTTTTAAGCTGTTTTGGCAGTGAGAAAGAAGGATGATACTTTACTGTGTACATGCAGGATTCAACGATAGCAGGCGTGGGATCCAAACCAGGCAAATACTCAGACACAAAGTCAGCCAGGACTTTTATATCATGGAAATGTGTTTGAGATGTCACATCACGTTCATCTGGCTCGGCTTCTATGCCGTGGTGGTAACAGATCTAAAGTTTTTTAAAAAAAAATAGGCAATAAGTAAAGTCTTTTTTTCCATACTTGTAACAATAAATAATAATAATAATCCTTAAATCTTATATAGTGCCTTATCATGTCTTCGAGACGTCTCAAACTGCTTCACAGAACACACTGTAAAGTGGACTGACTGTATATTTTGTGGTCGGTACGTCCCAACTCGGTGACTGACTCTTTATTTTCGCGATTAAAGCAGGACTTTAAATTTTTACGATACAATATGTGTCGACGGGCACAAAGTCCTTCGCAGTAACTATCGTCGAGAGTAGTGATGGTTTGCCAGCCCTTTCGAGGCACTGACAAATTTAGTGCCCTATTAGAGACAGCCTCCTATCTGTCAAGTTGTCTGAATCCATTGGGAGAACATTGAGTGTTTTGTAGGATTTACTGTGAAGTGTAATGATTGTGTGTTTCTTGCAAACTTACAAACTTTACTCCAAGAAAACTATTTTCTATTCCTGTCAAAAACATCTTTACATAAAAAAAACAGTAAGAAAAGACATTGTTTTGCCAGCCACCGACACGCCTTGAAACATCTGAACAAAATAAACACCCAGACACAAAATGACACCGAAATCCTCCTGGAATCAGGAAACTCATCACAAAAACACAGTGCAGACCACAGACACGACTGAAGAGGTCAGTTTAAACTATTTGCTCCAAGTGTCTGCTTTGTGCAATGCCCATTTTGTGCACATTGTACATGAAACGCAGTGAGATGATATATTATACGGACGCATTCAAGTCTGCATTCAGCCACTCTGCCTATGCACTTACCTCTCTCCAGTCGCTGCACAAACTTTTCATTAACGTATGTTTGCAGAGGATATGTCAGCTCACTCAAACTCTGAGCTCTGCTGTAAAGTACTGTTGGTTCTATATCAAGTCATTATTCATGGCAGAATGAAGAACATGATCCTTGTGTACATACCTTCATAAGCCCTGGATATTCATTGGAAGGAAGTCCATATATATGGTGTCTGGCTTGGTTCAACACCAGAAAGCAAGGAAAGCTCTTGGAAATTCCATAGGTCCCAGGAACCTTTTCCTTCCAGTAGGGGACAGCGATCCTCAGTGTCTGACAGGTTTATTAAATCAAGAGGAAAAGGTGATTCAGATGATTCTTGTGTGAACTCGCTGCTATTGTGACTATAGCAATGTGTTATTGGCCCCTGTTTCATTACTGGTGAAAGATCCAGTAACTCGCAGCTCACCAAGAAAACAGTGCATTTGGAAAAGAAAAAAATTGGCCAACAATCCCAGATAAAATTGATTGTTTGCTGCTCCCCAGCTATCTGTGGGGAATGCAAAAATACACGGTCACTCCACCTTACAGTCTATCCCGTGAAGCGCTTTGGCATCCACCTGAACCGACACAGACGCACAGGAACGCAGTTTAATCATCTCGCCCGAAGCACGGCATCTCGAACAACGCAGCATTTCCTCCCCCCCCCCAACGTGAGGGCTTGAACTTTTTGACCTGGAGGCGAGAGCGTGACCGATCAAGTCAAGGCTGCCACCAAGTCGGGACTCATTTCCGCTGCTGACACCGTCATGTTTATATTGTTAATTACCGAACACTGCATATCTCATCCGTTCCATGTCTTGAAGCCCCTTTCGTGCGTGTGTTTTTTTAAGATCTGCGCTTTGATGATTTTTATTGCCTTCGGGTTCCTCTGCTGATGGTAGTAAAGTGCGCGAAGCATCAAGGGGGCCGAGGATTGCGAATGTGCTCACTCATTGCCGATTTGCCGAGTGATAATTCACAGTCCATTACCGGCATTATAACGCCGTCAGCAACTGTTACACACAAATAGCAAATATTTCCCCAGATCCGACCACTTTGCCGTAACGCACCTTTGATTACATTGACCCATTTGTGCGGCCTCCATCACTGGATGCTACCGACGCAGTTTGCATGTGAATGAGTTCCATTATAAGCCATGTACCTTCAGAGGAAGCTGTAGCCTCATAGGGTTCAGCAGTTTATTTGCCCAAGGTCCAGCGGTAATCACAAGGTTTTTTGCTCTGTACATTCCTGCAGTGGTTGTCACGGAAACCAGAGACCCGGGCTGTATATCAACCACTTTCTCCCCATCACGTATCATTCCTCCAAACCTCTGGAACAAATCCTGCCAAAAAAAAAGATTCAATTTTGCTATGTGAAACCACGTAGAACATGTCATTATTTCTAATAATTATTTCTCTCTGAGCCAGAAAATATATGTGTACGTATCAAAGGCGCTGAGCAGATCTATTCGCACGCGCACACACGCACAAAAAAAAATCTCCCTTTATCCCCCCCCGGCCCCCGTTTCCAATACCTTGTCTTTCTCCACTCTATGAGATTACTTTCCGGCTCCTTGCCTTTTACCTGGAGACGTGACAGGATTAAGGTGTCAGCCTGTCTCCCGCCTCTGAGTCAGGATATTGTGGGTTCGAGCCCCACATTGAGATTTTGAAATCACACAACCCAGTCTGACTGTCCGATGCCGCAGTGGGCGAGCGCTGTATTGTCGGAGGAGCTGTCCTTCGGGTGAGAAGCTGAACCCAGGTTCGACTGTCTGCAGATCTGTTTTCACGCACGCAGTAAATCCCGTGAAGAGCTTCGAGACATCCTCTTGACGTGAAAGGCATTGTATTGAATGCAACGATTATTATTATTATTATCATCATCATCAGGTTTTGATGATTAGGTGCATTTACCTCCAGGGAGAGAGTGCGCATTGCATTCAGAGTGATTCACGCACCCTGTTTACCTAATCCCAGAGAGTACTAGGCACAGGTTGGCAAGAGCCAAGGCTTGGGGGACTCTGGTGCTTGCATTTGGTTAACCACTGGAGTTTAACCAGCTAAAACCACGTAGTTTGCCGGTGACAGCAGCTCTTGGCAAGCTTCCCGCTGCTTGTCCAGTGGCTTAATATAAATTTAACGGAAGCAGAGTGGGAAGAATCCCAACTCCTCCAATAATAATTATAATAATAACATACAAAGCATTATTGCTGTAATTCAACAATGCAATAAATTGGTCCCAAATTACTCACTAAATAACACTAAAGGGTGAGCTACGGGCATTTATATTATATTGGTGATATTTGTACAGTAATTCCAAAGCTTTTCCAAGAATTGGGACACTTCCAAGACCGAAATTCTCCATTGGATTCTCTGTGTCTCTTTGTTTGGCGGCACAATCTAGTGTCTAAATCTTAGTCTCTAAACCTTAGTCTCTAAACCCACCTTGCGTTACCTGCCTTTGAGCTTCTCTGACCTGCCTATTACCTTTTACAATAGCAGGTTCATCTGTATTCATCAGAGGCTGCAAACCTCCCAGTGGCTTAGATGCATTTCAGGCTGCAACAGATACTTGTAGAGCCACACCATTGAGTGCACAGATACAGCTGCAGAGATACACCCAGCGTCTCTCACAATGACATCGGCGACATGACTGACAGAAGGGTCACCGCTCACAGTGTAAGGCCGGGTCGCACTCTTTTGTACATTAGTTTGACCTTTACATTGGTCAAAAAGCGTATCCTGAGAAGCCCTTCGGGGGGGCCGTCCTCCTGACGTGAAAGGTGCTGTACCAAATGTAAGGATTTTCATTATTATAATGTGGACACAGTGCGCCTAAACAGCGTGTTTTCATGTTAAGATACACACAGTAATATCCAACTGATAAGCGTCCGAATTCATTCATGAGCACACACTTGCGTGGGGAACAGTTGTCCTCTGCTCCTGTTTAAATATTGAGTAGGTTTACTGTGGATTAACGTGGGATGGGGGTCTGTCAGGATTCCGTCCGGCTGAAAGGAGAGTTCGGATCAGGAATAGGAAATTTGCTTTACAGTAGGGATTGGTTAATGAATCCGTGTAAAAAAAAAAGATGAAAGCTACCGATTAGCATCTGAGTCCAAACCCCAGCCACAGGGAATCTTAATTTCTTTTGCCTACAAAATACGGTCAGTGTGAAGCACTTTGAGACGTCTCGATGACGTGATAAGACCCTATATTAAATACAAGAATTATTATTATTACTATTATTATTTTTATCATTTACTTCCGTGACTGACTGTAGGACTCAGTGTATCCTTTGAGTGAAGCGCTTTGAGACGTCTCGACGACGTGATAAGGCGCTATATTAAACGCAAGGATTTATTATTATTATTATCATTTACTTCCGTGACTGATTGTTGTGAGTAAATTGACTGCTGCGCGCGCTGTGCTAGAAATGTTCAACCTAGACTTGGAGTCATGTCGTGGGGCTTGAACCCACGGCCTTCTGAGGCAGCGGCCACAAGCAGACTTCCAACCCAGGCAGCGGCTGTAACACAAAGGAATACTCGATTCCTCCTGATGAAATGCACTGCAGCGAGAGATGAATACTGCAGCTCGATTTCTGCAGAGTAAAATACCTATCGACCTTATTGACCAATACGCGGTTGAAATAAAACATTGGGGGAAGAGGAATGGGTTCTCTTTGGAAACCTTCCAATCACCACAGTTCTAAGCTGATTGAATCAATCACACGCTGATCGGTGAACAATGAAGACATGACAAAAACAAAACAGTTGGTAGCTTTAGCAATGAATGAACGGATAGATACACGCCATTAGTTTAATAACCGAACCAGAAGAGTGAGCAGGTTACCTGGACGGTCTTCAAAGCTCTGTCAGCATACAGGACTCCAGCTGTTTTGTCAATAATGGCCGAGCTTCCCAGTGGCAAGTTAACTGCGGGAAATCTCTTTGAAAAGTCTTCAGACGTCAGGCTCTCCATGGGCACCTGGTTTTGAACCAATGTCCTCACCCTGGCTTGGAAATCCAGGTTTCCTTCCACAGCCATTACTATTAGCCCCGTCTGCCTGCAGCGGAGAAGCCACATGTTACACTCACTGGAGTGCAAGCAACCGATCGAAATCACATTCCCTTATTAAAACATTCACCTCCGACAGACATCGAACATTCGAAAAGAGAAGGGAGTTTCTCTCACCCGGTATCCTGGCCAACAATTCCCTCCACTTACCCCCCCCCCACTCCCCAACCCATAAAAAATGGGTCCCTCACTCCGTGGCTGTTTGTGGGTTGTGACGTTGCTGGCCGCAACTGGCTGCCACTGGTTTCATTTCACCCAAAAAATACACACTTTACTGTATGTTCTGTGAAGCGCCTTGAGACATCTCAACGACGTGGTAAGGGTGCTCTATCGAACGCAAGGCTTATTATTATTCCTTGCATTCGATGTCTGGTCAGCCCGGACAAGAGGCAAACACAGTTCAAAATGAGCTCAAGTCCCCAACCCGGTGCTTGAACCCACTTTCTTCTGACCCAGAGGTGAGAGTGCTACCGGCAGAGCTGAAACGACTGCATAAAACAAGGGAACGGCCTTCGGGCACGAAAGAAGGTAACGCAATGGGGGAGAGCGAGTGGCAGGGCATGCAGGAAATTCACAGATGGAGAATCCTTATCCACGACCGGATTGCAAGTTCAAACTCTGGAACAATCTCCCTCTATCCCTCCGCCTCACTCCTTCCTTCCCCATCTTCAGGTCGCACCCTGAAGCCCTTCCTCTTGGACCGTGTCTACGCTCACCTCTACCCGTCCCCCCCCCCCACCCTGCCTCCCCGGTAGGGTGCTCCACCACTGTCAAGCGCTCTGGGATGCTAACTTACGTGAGAGGGCACTGTATAAATGCAAGTTGTTGTCGTCGTTCACTGAACGTGTCGCCATTACAGGGTCTAACAGCGACTGCTGATGTATTACAACGCAATTGGACCTGATAGAAAAATGGGCTTTGCACCTTTCGAATTTGCAATGATGAATGAATTATGCCATCGCGCCATTCTTTCGCTGGAAGAAATTCATCAATGGTGGACGTCCCACACTCCGGAACAAAATATACTTGCTATTGGTTCCTGTTTTGTCTTGGGAGCAGAGTGCTTTATTTTGGAGGGGGTGGGGGTGTTGTGGGTAGGAGTGTGTCCTGATTAGAAGGCATCTATCTCATTAACATTGCTTTCTCATAGTAATAGATAGAAAACCTGTGCTTTTCTTTTAACAGCAATGCCTTGCCCAGATAACAGAGCAACAGCAATTGACGTGTGAGAGTAGATAGCAGAATCAAAAATGCTTCCTGATTATTTTCATTTTCTCTCGCTCTCTCTCTCCCCAGCCCAGAAGCAATGAGGCTAATTATAGAACCCTTGTGATTTATCACACCAGCTGAGATCAACTAAGTTAACACAGACTGAATGTGGAACTGATCTGGCCTGCAGCAAATGGTTACGTTTCACACCAGGCACAGCCTGGCTAGGGTTTTAAGTAAGGTATTTATTTTTTTATTTTTTATACTGTAATTCCCCCCCCCCATTAAATAAAGGAGAATTGAGGGGCATTTCACAGCTAGTGATGTTCTTTGAGTACACAAAAATATGCTTGCCCAGAAACATCAGCTTGGCTGGGTTGCGAGCTCCTAGTGCAGACTGCCAGTGTGGTGCATAGACATTTGCAGCGCAGAACGAGGCCATTCGGCCCATCGAGTCTGCACCAGCTCTCCGAGCACGTCATCCATTCAACCCCCTGCTGGGCCCACCCCCATTATCCCAGCTGCAGAGTTGGGTGATACGTTAAACTTATGAGGTGGGGTGTGATGTGACACTGAGGGGGAGTTTCTCCCAGCCAACAATCTTCCAGATAAATTGATCGCTCGCTTTGTGCTGCTTTGTGGGACCTTTGCTGCCTGCTGGCCTACAAAATACACCAGCAAAAATTCCCTGTGCGCTCCTTTGACGTGTGTAGGCCTTATAGGCGATAGATATCAAGTGCGAAGGATGATTGTTCTTGGCTTGGGGGGGGGAAGCGATTTCCTCTTGCGTCCTTTGATACCAGACTTGCATTGCGGGAGTAAGACCTGTTATTGTTGTTTTTGGGGTGGGAGAGTGAATGAAACATTTTAATGTCGAGAGACTTTAAAGCCTCTGGGAACAAGTGCTCAAGTGCTACAGCGGTGTTGTTGAGATGTTGATTTCGCCTTCACCAGAAGCTGAGGTTCTATGAGATTTCCCTGCAGAATATGACTTTCATTTTCTTTGTGTGTGTGTGTGTGTATTAAAAAAACGATCAGGCTTGTCTCACCCAGATAGGTTCTGAGAGAAGTCAGTAACGCTGCCTGTTGTCTTTTCACTCAATCTTTTGCAGAGAAATACTATTCTGGGGGAATCTTCAATAGTGCTAAGAAACCGATGACTCATCCAACTGGGATAGTGAGTTACCCTGAATCTTATTGCAAATGAAAGGAACTGAGTGCATGTCAGGACCTTTGATATTGCCGACTCACTGGAATCTCCTCTGCTGCTCAAAGGTAAGTCCCAGCATATAACATGTCAGTGGGGAAATACGGTTAAACTCACACACAGAATAGAGGTAGCGGGTATGGATTATTAATACCTTTTTTTTTGTCTCTTTGTTAACTGGATCAGGTACCCACATGGCCACAGATTGCTCAGAAGGCATCGCTGAGCTCAATCAGTAGAAAGTAAATTTCTTTTGTGGTCAAAATCAGACAGTGATATGTTATAATAATCCTATTATCAAATAAGGCGCTGTATCACATCCTTCACGTCGGGAAGGATGTCTCAAAGTGCTTCCCGTGATTTGCTGCAGAGTGCAGTGGCCGTGTATTTTGTAGGGTTTTGGTTTTTTGGAGTCAGCCGGGTGTCTGACACATGATTCATGCAGAATCGCTCCAGTTTGCTTCCAACGCAACAAGGTGTGATTGCTGCTGTGGGAGATGGCCCCACAAGGGTTGGGCTGTTAGTTTACCTGTATAAGGTAACATTGGCTTCTGTTTCCAGCTGCTTCCAGAGCTGGTAGCACTCGATCATCATCTGGGTGTAGAAATTTTTGTCGTAGGTTTTCCGAATAATCCGGGTCTGTCCATGAGAACTTCCCCGAGAGTGGGGCAAGAGGAACTGCGGAGAGAAAATCCTAAAGTTGCGAACAGTATCAAGGATGGAACGTTCGACTGACGCAGCTCGACGCCTTTACCGCATCGCAAGGACGGGACGTCTCGAAGCGCTTCACGAGATTTCGCCATCGCGTGTCGTGACTGTGTGCTCGGCGGCAAAGTTATTCCGTGCCTAAAGTAGCGAAGCTCTTGCGGAATGAGAAGTTTTAAACGAATCCTGTTTTTACTTCTTCAGAATCCAAAAAGTTGGGGGGAAAAGGTGGAGGGGTTGGGGGGAACGGGATGGGGTGGGGGGGAGGAGGTGGAAGACAGATGGTTTTTACTGCCTCTAACAACACCTGTGGGGCACAAGTCAAATCAGTTGACGTCTCAGTCGATTCCTCGTTGGACATTGTTTCACAACAAGTGTATGGGGCAGATTTAGAGAACAAGTGGACTGTGTTTAGCCGCCTGTGAGCAGAACACAATCTTTCTGATAAGCAATGATAAAGGTAATTGATTGATTACGATCTTTATTCTCATTCGGTGTTGCTGAACGTGTCCAAATTCTTTCTGAGACGCAGAAAAAAAGTTGGGGGGGAACAAAGATTCCAAAAGTAGAGATGTGCTTTTTTGGGGGATCCGAGTCATTTAAATCCTGTGGCGTTATACTGATTCAAATCCAGGTTCAGCCGCTATTGACTTGTTCGGGAGTGTTTTCGTCCTGTTCAACAGGGTTATAATTTAACAGAGCTCGTCACTGATTTTCTAAACCCTCTGACCTCCTCTCCTGTAGGTAGTTTGGCTCTTTTATTTTAGAATCTTTTATTATCGCTGCCAATAAATCCTCTGAATAAAATTTGGGCACTCACTCCATAGCTGTTTGTGGGCTCCCTTCACACAAGATAGCATCTCGGAGCGCTGCACTAATTGCAGCTCTATTATCATCAAGGCTGACGCTGCTTTGTCAAAAACATTAATAATAATACATTTGTCACTTCAATCCAGGACTGTTTGTGGGACGCCGCTGAGCGCAATTGGCTGTCGTGTTTTGCCCACAAAAATATACAGTCAATTCACTTTGTGGTATATTCCGTGAAGCGCTTTGAAACGTCTCGAAGAAGCGATAAGCCCCTACATCAAATGCTATTATTATTATAATAATTCTCTGTCGCTATTTACCAGATTTGACTGAAAGTTAAGTCGTTTTTTTTAATATCTTTTTAAAGTGAATTTTTCCGGGTTGACGGTCAAATGAGAAAGGTGTTGAAATGCTATAATTGAAACTTGCCGGACACGTAAATCGGCTCTGGAGAAGAAAAGAATTGATTCGGCTTGGCAGCGACAGCGTATTTGCAGGAATTGTTCCACATCTCGTTGAATTGCATTCAGCAACCGAATATAATTACACGCCAACATGAGGTACTAAATGCTGAGGTGACAGGTGCCACTGCGTTCACATGAAATTAGGCAATTAATTGCTGCTATTAATATGTTGAGCATAGCAAGTATGAACAATCAGGAGAGACACTGTGTTCTTAGACCCGGATTAAATAATAATAGCCCTTGCATTGGTTACAGAACCTTTCACGTCAGGAGGACGTCTCAAAGAGCTTCACAGGGTTTAACGTGGAGTGACTGCGTGTTTTGCGAGGTGAAAGTGGCAGGAAATTTGTGCTCAGTAATTTATAATAATCCTTGCATTTGATATAACGCTTTTCACATCGGGAGGACGTCCCAAAGCGCTTCACAGAACACACTGTAAAGTGAATTGACTGTATATCTGTGGGCGAACGCGGCAGCCAATTGCACACAGCAATGTCCCACAAACAGTCGTAGATTGAAAATGACCAATTTATTATTGTTTTTGGTTTTTTGGAGGGATTATTATTAGGCTCTGTGTGGAGTAAGGAAACTTGCCCAAGATTTCGCCCTCTGCCTGAAATTGAACTCGGGTCTCTCGCTTGCAAAGCGAGTGCTCTAACCACTGAGCTACAGGACTCCACGCGAGTTTGGGTCCCGTGAACAGCCTCAAAATGAATGACCTATTTTATCCGGGCAATCTTCATTTCCCAGGTGTAATAATCCCTCCAAAATGTTTTTAAAAAATAATAATAATTTGGTCACTTCAATCTATGGCTGTTTGTGGGACGCAGTTGTGCGCAATTGGCTTCCTTCCGCCTTTCGCCCACAAGACATGCAATCAATTCACTTCACATTATATTCTGTGAAGCGCTTTGAGACGTCTAGAAGAGATAACCATTCACTTCAAAGGAATGTACTAATGGTCCCACATGGCAAGCCAAATGATTGATTAACCTGAGTATGTGGCAGTATCAGAAGTGGATAGAGGGGCCTTAGGAAAAGGACACTTGGAAAAGGGTATAACTAGCCCACCTCTAAGTGAGAACAGTTAGAAGAACAGGATGACTCGCGAAAGAGAGAGAGAGAGAGATCAGAGTGGAGAAGTGCTTTTAAGGAGAACAAGGAAAGTGCCCTGCGACTGTCTACAAAGACTGGTAGCATAATTTGTTAGACATTTATAGTATAGTTGTTAATGCCTGATGTGTTCACTCGGTTAAGAAACCTTGCGACATCATATTTGGATTGTCGAGTCATATTTCGAACCAAGTGATTGGAAATCCCAACAGAAGGTATTGAAGAAGAAGGTCCTAAGGGTGTAACCTTAAGCGCTCTGGGACACTACCCTGTGAGAGGGGGGTCACTATATAAACGCAAGTCGTTGTTGTTCCGAAGAAGGAGCTGCCAACTGGTGTCCTGTAGCTTTAATTGCAGAAGGGGGTAGTCAAGGAGGGCTATTTATCTGTGTTCTTAGAACCCGGATTAAATAATAATAACCCTTGCATTTATTACAGAGCCTTTCACGTCAGGAGGACGACGTCTCAAAGAGCTTCGCAGGGTTTAATGTGGAGTGTTTCAGTGAAAGGCGGCGTATTTCCGATGCAATCAAGGAAGTTGTACAATTTTCCTGCAGAGCTGCTTTGAAGCAGAGGGGTTGCTCTTCAGCAACATATGTCACTCTGCATCTCCCCCCCCACCACCCCCTCTTTGGTTCGGTTTCGTTCACGAACGTGCCCCCTCCTTACCTGCTCCAGTAAAAGCGTTCTCATGTTGTTCTTGGCCAGGTGGTAGGCTGTGAAAGAGCCCTGGATACCGGCTCCTATAACTAGAGCATCAAAGCAGCTGGACACATTCTGAGCAGCCATGTTGCTTTGCCAAGAGCAAGTTAATTATGCAACTGGAACTTGCGTCATGGTTTAGGGTGGAGTTGTCGTTTGGAAATTTTAAACCATTACTGTCCTGTCGTTAACAAAAAAAAATAATAATAATAATCCTTGCATTTGATATAAAGCTTTTCATATCAAATATCAAATATACTGTAAAGTGAATTGACTGCATATTTGTGGGCGAAACACGAGAGCCAATTGCGCACAGCAACGTCCCCACAAACAGTCGTGGATTGAAGTGACCAATTTATTATTGGGGGGGTTTTTTCTTGAGGGTTTATTATCAGGCTTGTGGAGTAAGGAAACTTGCCCAAGGTTTCGCCCTGCCGGGAATCGAACCCAGGTCTCTCGCTTGCAAAGTTCTATGCGACAGAACTATCTCTGCAACATAACCAGAGCTTTTGCCAGCAGTCAGAGTGCTTTTTGTGGATCTAATTTTGTTTAAAATCTGTCTTTCCAAAGCAACAGTACACCATTACACCATCAGAGTTTAACTATTTTTTTTGGGGGGGTGAGTGGTGGGGGTTGTAGTCAGCTGGGTGTCTGACGCATATGGAAACCCGTCACCGCGCTTAAGAGAATCCAATGCCTCCCACCTACGCATTTTTTAGATCTTAAATAAAACTTTGCAACGCTTCAGGAAGATGCGAGTCTCCAAGTGGGAAATACCAACAACAACTACAACAAAATTACATGTGTTTAGCGCCTTTCATGTCAGGAGGACGTCCCAAGGCGCTGGACAGTCAGTGTTTCGGAGCCGAGCTGGGGGTCGGGGTAGGAGAGGGGGGAGGGCAGTGGGGGGGGGGTGAAGCAGGGAGATCTAAAGCACGGTCGAAGAGGAGGGTCGTGAGACGTCTTGAACGTGGCGAGGGAGGAGGCAAGGCAGAGGGACTGCGGGATGGAGTTCCAGAGAGTGGGGGCAGAGTGGTGGGAGGCCTGCCCGCCAATGGTGGGGCTGGCGAGGCGTGGGACGCGAAGCAGGTCAGAGGCCGCTGAGCAGAGGGAGCGAGCAGGATGGTAGGAGGTTTGGAGGTCACAGAGATAGGGGGGAGCGAGGGCTTTGTTTCATAAGTTTCTTGTCGTTGCCAGTGCATGAATCCTCGGCTGTAATACATTAATACATTGTGCGTCTCCTCAATCAGTCTGCAGTGCTACGTGTGTCCTCTTGATGGCCTACCTCTTCAGACCAGCCTGATCTCAGGAAATTGTACTGTTGCTTTGCTCAACAAACCCAATGGCCCATGTTGCTCATTCAATAAAGCAGCTCATGCATTAAAATTAGGATCACTGAGTTGCAGAACAGAACATTTTGTGTAATGGCGCAAGGATTTCTGTCACACAGCAAGTGTTTGAAACCATCCTGTTGTTAACCCTTCGGGTTATCAATCTAAATGCAAATCAGGGGTCTCTTTCTCGCCCCACGACCACATCCGCCCCATCCCCTCCTCCCTCTCCTCATTCCCCCTCCCCTGTCTTACTCTGGGTCAGGGTTGAAGGCTGATTTTAAAAGATTATTAATGATTGCTGGAGAGAGTGGTGAGTACCACATGTTTTGGTTGTTGGGTCGCTCCCTCAATTGCAGGAAGCTTTTTGTTTGAAAGAATCTCCGAGGCGATGTGGTTCAGCTGAATTAGCTGCAATATTTCACTGACCAGTAAGTGTTGCTATTTTGGCACTTATAATGGGTGGGGCGGGAGAGAGAGAGAGAGGGATAGATAAAGAGAGAGAGAGAGAGAGAGAGAGGGGCGAGGAGGAAGGGAAGGGAGGTTTATTACTGTGTCAGCCTGGTGCAGTGGTAGCACTCTCGCCTCTGATTCAGAAGGTCGTGGCTTCAAATCCCACGTCGGGAACTCGGTATTATACAGTCTAAGCTGATGCTCCAATGGAGTGCTGGGGGAGTGTGTTGTGGCATTGTCAGAGGTGCCGTCCTTCGGATCAGACATCAAACCGATCTCCCCATCTCCCCGTTCAGGTGGACATTAAAGGTTCCGAGGCACTTCTTGAAAAGAGAAGGAAGTTTCCCTCTCTCCTGGTGTCTTGGCCAATAATCCTCCAAATAAAATTGGTCACTCGCTCCGCGGCTGTTTATGGGACATTGGTGAGCGCAAACTGGCTGTCACGTCTCTCCCATGGATATTTTGACCATGTGATAAGACGCTATATCAAATGCAAGGATTATTATCATTATTGTTATAATAAATTCACAGGGAGAAAGTCTGTAAACTCGGTAGAACAGTGAGGTTGAGAATTGCCCTTAGCGGATAAACTCTCAGTTAAAGAGCTCTGGGACACTGCCCTACTTGAGGAGCACAATATAAGTATGTTAAAATCCCTTGCCTCCTTCAAGACCCCTCTGTATAAAGTTGTTGTTATTGTTCCCTATGCTGTTATTCTCACGGGATGACCAGGGAGAGGTGAGCAGATTAAAATCACGCAGACAGAACTGCCTTGAAATAGATCTTCAGTACAGGCTGTGATTGTTGCCGGTGGGTTTGGCCAATGTATTATATCCACCGCCACCTCAGGTTAGCTCCAGGAAATATTTGTCCTGCAATTCCACCGAGCCTTCATTTCGAAGCTGTTTCTCGCTGCATTTCTTAAAGAACCGGCTTCCAAATTGTGAGCGGATTGAAGAATTTTTCTTAATTGTTGCCATCTCAACCTTTGAGACAAGATGGTTCCACAGGCTCAGACTAGGATGAATTTGGGGGATTCTTGACCCTGCACGGGCTCCATCTTGAGGCCATTCATTGCCTTAGATGCTAAGGTTGGGCCAAATTGTGGGCAATTCTCCATTTGTAGGTCGGTGGTGCCTGAAAAGAATATGGGAAAAGCGGTTCCCAAGTGGAATTCAATTGTTTTTCCAAGTTTCTTCAAGTTGTTAAATCCTAGGATGGATTTAGGGTCCGCGCTGAGGAAGCCTTGAGAGTAGAACAACAGCGTTCTCGTCTGTAGTTCCTCGTTCCCATCATTGTTGTGGATTTTCATCAGTGAACGTTTTAAACTGGTTGAATTGGTTATTGAGTCACATTTGGGGTGGCGAGTGAGGAGAAGGGGAGTGGGGAGTGGGAGCTAGGATTGAAAGGTGGTGGGGGCTGATTTGCATTGAGTCCACAACAGATCCCAAGGGATCATGTTTCACCCTCTTCTGGAAAACTCAAGCTCCCAGTGCAAAGCTCGGGACGGATTGATACGATTTAGGATTTTATTGAGCCTATCAGCCTGGGTTTCCGTAGGAAAAACAGGAATTGATTTGGAAACGTAGCTTCTCCCACGGGACGATTCCCCTCACGGGCAAAAAAAAATTGTTTTAAAAATGCGGTCACTCAATTTCCACCACTGTTTGTGGGGATGTCGCTGTGCAAATGGTCAGCCGCGTTTCGCCCGCAAAACGTACGTCAATTCACTCGACGGGTGCATTCTGCGAAGCGCTTTGAGACGTCTCGAAGACGTGATAAGGCGCCGTCTCGAAAAGAAAAAAGGGCGAGGATTATTTACGCTCGCAGCGGCAACTGAGGGCAGCGTGTTTCAATGAACAGCAGCAACGTTGTGTCTAGCGATGGAGCGTCTGATGCGATTGCGAGTCTGGTCAGGTTCCGTTATTTATTTCTTTGCCTTCTGCACAGCCGCACGCACGGGTCTGGGTCCGATTACTTGGAAATTACCTTGCAAATAGCACTGAAAAGCCGAGAGAGGTTACACGTGTGCCCTGATTGGCAAGCGTGTAGAGAAACGCAGTTCATCTGACAGTAGACAGACGCCGAAGACTCCTTTGGAGTCAATGGAGCAGAAGCCGTAAAAACGAACTGAAATGGGAGTTCGCTTAACTGGCAGCGCAGCTATAAAAGAAGTAATAATAATAATAATACTCCTTACATTTGATGTAACGCCTTTTGGGTCAGGAGGACGGACGTCTCAACCTGCCTCGCTGGAAAGTGCTGCGTTTGTAGGCGAACGAGCCACCACCACCATCAACAACAGCAACAGCTTGCCTTTATACAACGCCCCCCCCCTGCCACCCCCCCCTCCCCCGTCACGCAGGGTAGCATTCCAGAGCGCAACGGCGTGCTCAAGACTCGCCGCGATTGGAAAACCTCCGACACGCCTTCCCGCGTGACTTAAGCGCTCTACAAGTGCAAGCTGCTATCGTTATTCTCCAGACTAGGCGTCGAGCCCCACCCAGGCACCTTGCTCGGCCAGCGGAAACTACACCGTGGTCAACAGTAACGTTGCTTTTATTCGAGTCACGGGTGATAAGTAAGAGCTTGCATTGACACAACGCCTTTAATGCAAAATTAAATGCCCTGAAGCCTTCACCGCAGAGTATAATTGAACAGAAATGAAAGTGAACGTCGCACAGTTCTCAAGCTCTCTGCTGCTGGCTAGGGTCTCCCCTCGGAGCAGTAAACCTCTTGAAGCCAGTCTTCGCTCCGTAAGGGTAATAACTGCAGCGTGCCTGCTTGCAAATTGAGACCCTATTGAGGTCTCCCTTTTTTTTTTCTGGAAGCCTGTTCCTTTTTAAGAAATGCGGAAAAACAGCTTCCAAACCGGGCGCGGAATTGACCGATTTTCCACAATTCTGCTCCCTCCTCTACACCCCCACCCACCCCAGAGCCCAGCCCACAAAAAGCACTTTGAGACCGTCCTCCCGACATGAAAGGCGCTGTGTCAAATTGAAAGGATTGTTATGATTATGTGCTTAATAGTGACTCACTGAAACACTGTGTGTTTCAGAGACGGCGTGGGGGAAGGGAACGGGTACTTTGAAATGGTGCAAATGCAGTTCAGTGCTCATCATAGCAATATAGTAATAGTAGTAATAAGCTTTGCATTTGAGAAAGCGACTTATCATGCCGCTGAGCCATCTCTTAAGTGCTTCACAGAATGTACTGTAAAGTGAATTGACTCTGTATGTTGTGGGCGAAACATGGCTCAAGTGCATTCGTTATTCCAGCCTCCGTTAGCTGCTCGGAAGAGGGAGACGCCAACAGCTTTAAAGCATGGTACCTCGTTATTTTATCCTGTTAAGTCACCAGCACCCCCACAGAGGCCGTGCGAACAAAGCCACCTGATGCATCGCATTTCTCAGCTTGCGCTAAAACGCCCGAAAAGTCGCCGCGTCAGGCAATCGACCGCGACGTCCAAGGTCAAACAGCCTCCGGCCACGGTCACTCACGGAACCGAACAAGCGCTGTGACGGCAGCAATTTGTTGCGTGTTTCTTTTTCTTATTAAACTCACCATTTCCTGCCAGGGGTTTCACTCTCTGAAAGGTTCCGTTCTCGAGAGAAAAGCAATACATCGAAGGTGTATTATCCAGCTTTCTTGAACGGCTGATGTTTGAGCTCCGTGGTGGGGGGAAGGAGGGAAAGGCAGTGTGGATCCGTGACAGAGTATGGATTGCGACACACACTACATTTCTCCCTCTTACCCCTCCACCCTCACCCGCCACCTTAATATCTTTCAAGAACATCAAGAACATCTCCACTTACTTATATTGGATTTTTTTTTCACGCCACCAATGCATAGAGAGCAAATAAACTACTGTAGTCACTGAGAGCGAGCTGACAACCATACTCTCCTATTGCTACAGTGGACGCACTACATTGCAGCGCAGTTCTGTCGTGTATTGGTTAGAGCGCTCGCCTCGCAAGCGAGAGGACCCGGGTTCGATTCTCGGGCAGGACAAAACCTTAGGCAAAGTTTCCTTACTCCGCACGCCTCTGTTTAACTAGCGGTAAAGTAGGAACCCAACTGTTGGTTGATTGACAGATTGCTTTCCGGGGAGGAGGGGAATAATCCCTTCCAAAAAAACAAAATAACGATAATTTTTTTTAGCTGTAACAATGCGGCATTGACTTGGAAAGGATCGCAGTTTGGGACGATTCCAGTACACTGTGTGGCCGGCTATGCTGTCTATGACCGTTCAGTTCTGACCTCCACACTCGGCGAGACTTCGGCCTCTGTTGAAGACTTCAAGCGGGCCTGGGAGAAGCCCAGCACCAGCGGATTGATGAGCCAACGTGCGTGAGCCCCGGAGGTAACGAGCGCAAAACTCCGCAGCTCCCAGCGCGGAATCCCCTAGGCGAGGGGTGCGAGAACGGTCGTTTAAGCCTGAGGCGGAGTTCACACAAGACAAGAGTGGATGACCTTGCACAGGGAGCTGAATGAGAGCATTGGCAGCCATCCAGTCTCGCAGCATTCCCCTTTGAAGCTGCGTCTACGTTGAGCAACTGATATATTAATATAGTCACACACACATTGTTTTTGTTAACGTACCATTTAACAAACGTTTCCTGCACTCCCCTCTCGCCCGCAACCTTATTGACGGAAACTGCTGAGCTTTTGAAACAAATTGCCAATGCCTTTAATAATCTGTCGATTTACGCCAATATTTTGGCTCGATATTTCTTTATTGCCTGGCTGTTTATTGCAAAGGTTGCTCTTCGTAAGATTAGATTGAATGCTTCTCTGCCCTTTGCTTCGGATTGCCTGGTTTGTTCGGTCCTCCTTTGTAAAAAGAAAGAAAGAGAAACAGAGAGAGAGAGAGAAAAAAGGAGAATCAGAAGAAGAGAAAGAGAGACATGCAAATTCATTAATAAATAATAAATAATAGATTTGATAAATAATGAACCTGGTTGGCTTTGAGATCTGCTCCAAAAGCACGTTCGACTACAGACACTTTTTACTCTTAAGTTCATTCGGTGGTACATCTCCCCCGAGGTACATGAATCGCAGAGTTGGTTCATGAATTCATTCAAAAATAACACCCCCGCTTCCCATTTCTCTTTGATAACACACAAAAAAAAACAGAATAACGTGGCCGGGAAAAGTGTCTAGGAAAGAAATACCTGCAACAATAGTAGTAAGCCTGGCGTTTGACATAGCGCCTTATCACGTCATTGCGACGTCTCGCAGAATACATTGTAAAGTGCATTGGCTGTATATTTTGTGGGCGAATTCAAAAGAAATTAAAGCTAGAGCCGTGCCATTTAGGAGTGAAATCAGGAGGCGTTCTTTTTTCACTGCAAAAGGTAGTGGAAATCTGGAACTCTCTCTCTCTTTCCCTCCCCCTCCCAAAAGGCTATGTGGATACAGGGATCCACTCAAATTTCCAAGACTGAGCTGGATAGATTTTTGTTAGAAAAAAGGTATAGAGGGACATGGGGCAAAGGTGGGTATTTGGAGTTGAGGTACAGATCAGCCGTGATCTAATAGAATAGTGGAACAGACTGGAAGGACTGAATGGCCTACTCCTGTTCCTGTGTTCCTATGTAGGAGAAAGTGTTCTACCTACAGAAATGTGCAGTGGCCAATGTGGCAAAGCAGTTTTAAAGGGGACAGGTAAATGCTATGTAAGAAATAAATCCTTACGTTTGATCTAGCCCCGTCCACCTTGGGAGGATTATGGTGGGCGCATTAATTAAGTCTCAGTAAGGACACTGCACTGATTGCCTCTCTTGACTCCAGCTTCAGATTGAAAAGCTTTTGGGGCACAGCGTAGGCTGGAGGAAACTCTAGCGCTGTACGATGGAGGATGTGATTGGAGGGAGACTGGTTATAAGATCGTAAGACCCGGGGTCAGAGAGACAGAATATCCAAATGCTCTTCTGTGGTAGAGTCACGGAAGTAAATAATATAGAGGTAGCAATTTGTTCCGAATGGCTTGTTTCAACTGAAAAGGTCAGTTAATGGACAAGTGCCACTCAGGACTCCGAAAGCTTTGTGGTATCACAGGGAAAACATGAAGCCCTTCAGATTCTGAGCTTTTAGAACACAATGGTGCAGAATTTTTGATGATAATAATAATAATGATAATAATCCTTGCATTTGATGTAGCACCTTATCACGTTGTCGAGATGACTCAAAGTGCTTCACAGGATATACTGTAAAGTGCAGTGACTTTGTATTTTGTGGGCGACATGCGGCAGCCAGTTTGCGCCCAGCGACGTCCCACAAACAGCCACGGAGTGAGTGACCGATTTCATTTGGGGGATTGTTGGCCAGAACTCCGGGAGAGAGGGAGAAAGTCCCTCATTCCTCTTTTCAAATAGTGTTATGGGATCTTTATTAATTTAAAACAAGACGGAAGAGATCAGCATTAATGATTTACGGTTTTCTACGAAGGCATAACTTGAGATTCCCAGCTCCCGACCATGGTACAATTTCTCCAAAGGAACTGGAGAAATCCAATTATACTTAAATTATCACAGTAGTGCCCACACCCCACGCACAAACACACACACACATCTCGGCTGATGTCTTTGAAACCGACGTTAGTTTTAAACGCTCCGAGATATTATCCCGCACGAAGGAACGTTCTTGGAGTTTTGAGATTCCTGCGAGACAAATTGCTGGTGTTTTAATTGGTGTTTGCAGGAACAAAAAGGTGCGTCTCGCTATTTTGGGTCAGGTTTGGGGTTCCGGTTCCCCTCCCTTTCTTTCCTCCCCCTCCACCCCACCCACCAGCCCTCACCCCATCTCCTCCGCAGCACATTACCTCTCCTCCCTTTCTCCCTCAACCCCTCCTCACCGCACCCATCCCAACACGCTACAGAGAAAGAGAGACGGCGAGCGGGTAACTCTGTGGTTCGAGCTTCGCGCTTGAGTTAAAAAAAAATGGCAGGAACACTGAGAGGCTTTGTTTAGTCGGGAGGATACAGATGACATCTTCATTCAGCAGCAAAGTGTTTGGAAGTTTCTTCGATTACCATAAGAGGGAACGCCAACATTAATTAACAGTCGTATTAATATGTGGTTCACGAGAGCAGCTGCCTGAGTAAGTGAGTTATTTGTAACATTTCAGTAAGCAGAAGTGGATGAAGGCAATTTGATCTGTCAGCGTTGATTGGGAAAGTAATGAGTCTGGATTTGATAGGGCTGCTATTGATTCCAAATACACAGGCAAACAAATGGAAGAGCTTTAACACTGCGTGACTCTCACAACAGCTTGCGTCCGGGCTCCGTGTCTTTTCACTGCTTGTTCTCATTGTTTGTTCCTTTTCAATTTGTTTTCCTACTCCCAATTTTTTATTTTAAACCCTCTCCCCAGCCTCGTGCTGGGGTGCTGGCTTTTTCAGTTGACTTCTGGTAAATCCCACCCCCTCCCCTCCCTTCGAACTGCAGCCATCGTTATGTTCTCCTTCTCCTTCCCCCTCCCCAACCCCCAGCCCCCCCCCCCCACCCCAGAGTGACCTGAGACGTTACGCTACGCGAAGGGCGGTGTGATAAATGTAAGCTGCTGCTGTTGTCGTCGCAGTCGGTGTGCAGTTGCACGAGTGTGTGCACACGTCCAGTGCGTGTGTGGGTGTGTTTGTGTGCTTGTGTGCGCACACGTCCATGTGCGTGTGTGGGTGCGCGCACGCGTGTGCACGCGTCCGTGTGTGCGAGCGCGTGTTTGTGTGCGCGCATGCACACACGTCCATGTGTGCGCGGGCGCGCGTGCGGGCGTGTGCAATTGGGCGCGTACGCGCGGCTTTGGGCGAACGTGAGCGCGCGCGTTTTACGTGCGTGTGTGCGCACGTGCGTGGTGCGCGTACCTGGGCGAGCGTGCGCGCGCACGCGTGTGTGTCCGCAACTCATCTGCGCGTCCTGCTCATTAACAGGATGTAGATCCTTTGGGTATCATTGAGGACAATGAGCGCTTCACAGTGAATTAGCAAACAGTAATCCAATTGAGTGGCTCCAATGACATCACGGGCGGCTCGAGTGCTTTGTGTTAGTCAGCAGAACGCGGAGATTACATTACTGTCTGCAATTAATTGAGAGCGATCTGCGCTTTATCTGAGCTGAGTGACTGTTCCTCTACATTTGAAAGAAAAGCTTTATGCCACTCCATTTCCATTTCTCTCTGAATGGTGACACAAAACAAATAGTGCTATTGATTTTCTCCCAAGCACGGGCTGACGATATTTTGGATTTGTAACATAAGACATGCAGGCATTTTAGAGTTATGTCAAACGACCTGAATTCTTAACAGATTGATGTATACTCCTACCCCCCCCCCCACGCGCGCACACACTGTGCTGTGCACAATTGGCTGCCGCGTTTGCCCACAAATATAGTCAATTCACTTTAGTGTGTTCTGTGAAGCGCTTTGGGACGTCCTCCCGACGTGAAAAGCGCTATATCAAATGCAAAGATTATTATTATTATGTATACTCCTACCCCCCCCCACGCGCGCACACACTGTGCTGTGCACAATTGGCTGCCAAGTTTCGCTCACAAAAATGCAGTCAATTCAATTTACAGTACATTCTGTGAATTATTATTGTTCTGTGAAGCGCTTTGAGACGTCTCGAAGACATGATAAGTCACTATATCAAATACCAAGGATTATTATATATATATATATATTATATATCCCATGGCACTGGTCGAAAAGAGAAGGGAGTGTCACCCAGTGTCCTGGCCATCAATCCACTAAATAAAAAATTGGACTCTCACTTCACTTTAGCCTGTTTTGTGGGACATTGCTGGCTGTGGGCAAGTATAGTGCAGCGGCAGCCAATTAGGATTTAGTCCGCAGTCCAAATATAGTCGGTGGATTTGAGTGTCACGGCCGTAAATGTAAAATTAGATGCTAATGTTTTAAAAGACTTTTCTTTTTTAAAATGTGCATTATTTATCTTAGGCTGATTTTGACTTGCGCGTGTAAATTATGAATGATTTTATTTTCAATACAGGTGAACAAAATATCCCGAGATGCTCTTATCTCTCGCGCGCCACCTCAATTGAATTATTTGCCAAATGGGTATCTAATTCCCTCCTGCATTAGCTGACACAACATATTATCATTTATGTGTGTTGCGGCGATGTTGGGAAAGCCGAGGGATAAATCGTTTTGCTCCAGTGTCAGTTGCCATATTACTGTCGTTGACAGACAACACATGCTTCAGAGCGCCATCACTAAAAGGAGAGACTTGTCATTTCTCCTCCCCACCTCCCCCATCCTCCTTTCCCATTCCCCTCCCTCGATAGCCCAGTTGGAATAGAAGCACATTGCCAGGTCCACGTACGTACACACCAGAGCTTCGCAGGTCTGAGCCCCTGTTCAGAGAATGCTAATAATTAATCTCAGTGGAGGAAAAATAACAAATTGCGCCTTTCGCGTCGGGAGGACATCCCGAGCTATTGCATCGACCTTCGGGAAATCTTTTCGCTCCTTAGCTCCAGCCCGAGGCTCCCTGTTAATAATAATCGTCACGCTAATCCTTATGTTTGACGTGGGGCCTGTCACCTCGGGAGGACGGCTCGAAGCGCTTCACAGGATTCACTGTAAAGCGTAGTGACTGAATCGCGATGTGGGATCATGAACGCTCAAATGAAGGGGCGCAGATGGGACCTCGGTTTAATGTCTCGTCTAAAGGACGGCGCCTCTGACAATGCAGTGGTCTTTCCCTGCCTCCCCCGCTCCCCCCCCCAGCCACGCACCCCCCCCCCCCACAATGCCTTCGCGATCGTTTGCTCGTATTTTCTACCAGCGCTGATCAGAATGCAGCGAGCAGTTCCCAAGGGTCACGTATCCTACGATGAAGGTGAATTGCATTTTCCGGAGAGCGTTGCAGATATATTTGCCGTGCGCGCGTGTCTACGTCTGCGTGCGTGTGTGTGTGCGCGCGTGTGTGCGCGCGTGTGTGCGCACACGTGATGACAGTGCTTTGCCATGGATGGCACCAGTTCCATTACTATTAACGCTAATGATTGCTAAAGCTGCATTTTTGGAATACAAATGGAGATTAGATTAGGAAGGTGCAAGTTCAGTCGATTTCGGCACCGCAGCCAGTGCCTGGGTGTCTGTACATTACTCTCCCGGACAGCAGTCGCCACACTGCAGGCTATCTGCTCCTCCGAACTAACTAGCTCAGCCTGCGCACGGCATCTCGTCATTTATCATGTGCGAACCTGCTGAATCCTTCGTACCGCTGCACAAAACAAGTGGCACCACGGATACGCTGGGAAAGCTTCGTGGTGTGTGTGTGTTTGTGTGTCGCGCGTGTGAGTTGTGCGGTTGAACGCGTGAGTGTGCGCGTGCCTCTGTCTGTGTTTGTGTGTGTGTGTGTGCGCGCGCGTGTCCTTTTGACTGCTGCGTTTCGCCCACAAAATATACAGTCAATTCGCTTTACAGTATATTCCGTGAAGCGCTTTGAGACGTCTCGAAGACGTGATTCAGTCTGTCTGTGTCTGCGTCGTGTGCTTGTGTGCGCACGAGAGTTTGAATCCAGTTGTATCCAAGTAATAAATGCCTCTTGTCTCTCAGCTCTTCACTGTGCTGACGTCCTTTATTGCGAAACTCTTCCACTAATGATGTGACCGATTGAAATAAATAGAACACAAATAAATTTTAACAAAGGATTCACTGCAATTTGTGGGCAAACGCAGCCGCCAATTTGCCCACAGCTCTCACCTACTTCACATAACCCATCCTGTTCGCTCCACCATCGGCAGTCGGGCCTTCAGCTTTTCTGCCCCCACCCTCTGGAACTCCAGCCCTCCGCCTTGCCCCCTCCCTTGCCTCCTTCAAAGCTCGTCTCAAGACCTTCCTCTTCGACCGTGCGCCGCTACTCCTCTCCCATCCATCCACCATTGCAGGGTAAACTTTCAGCCATTCACTATTCCCACCCGACACTCTTAACCTGTGCCCCCAGCCCACCCGACCCTCTTCCCTTCAATGGTATTTCCCCCCCTCCCACACTAGTTCCATTCTGTACCCCCCTCCTCCTTCCCCCCACCCCCCACACCCCCACTCCGTCATCTCTCACTCCCTCCCTCTCTCCCTCCCCACCCATCCTCTTCAACATCTCCCCAGCTCGGGTTCCCAGCCAGCTGTGTGAAGCACTTTGAGGTATCCTCCCGACATGAAGAGTGCTGTCCTGAATAAATATTCCATCGCATTGTAAGATGGTCCCTTTAAAATATATGTGTGCGCGGTGTGTGTGTGTGTGTGTGTGTGTGCATGTGGCGTATTTGTATGCAGGTGTGCGTATGTGTACAGTGTGTGTGAGCAGTGTGTGTGGTGCGTATGTGTGTGTGGCATGCTTATGTGCAGGTGTGTGGTATGGTGTGTGTGTGTGTGTGTGCGAAGGGAAAACTGCGGACTTTTCATTACAGGTTTGCCGCGATATTTTTTGTGAAAAGAAAGATCGTCCTTCCTTTCCTTCCTGCCGTGGAAAGACCGAAGCTTGCGAAAGCCATGCGATTTGCAGGCGATGAAATTGCCCCAGCCTGAGTTTCAATCCATCGACTGACAAGCCAACTGACTGACAAGCTAATGTTTTTAAACACCCTGGGCACCCTCGCGTGATTGACACACAGTCACTGCGATCGAATTTCAGCAATGGCTTCTAACTCACCAGCAAGTAATAAAGAAACTAAAGGCAGATGAAACGTGACCCTGGGTTTCAGATTCAACTCCAACAGTAACGTACAGCCCGGCACAAGGCAGTATGTGTATCAGCGCTGTACAGCTAATTGCTTATTCTGTATTGCGTTCACTGCTTTGGATCTCTCTCTCTCTCCCCCTCTCTCTTTTTTTCCTCCGCATTTCCGTTCACTTCATCCGAGACGGCCTAATTTCCCCGAGGAAAAAAAAAAGGCACGGTCACTCCACTTGGGAGTGAAATCCTGCAAAGGGCTTTGAGATGTCCGTCCTACTGACGTGAAAGGCGCTGTGGAAAGATTATTATTGTTATTTGTATGACATTAGATGGTTCTCGATTCCTAGACGTACATTAATAAACATTGAATTTGACAGTGTTGCTTCTGAATTCCCCTGTGACGCTAATTCAAAGCTGTCAAATCTGCTAATATAAAATGAACTTTTAAAAAAATAATAATTTCGTCACTCAATGCACGACTGTTTGTGGGGACGCCGCTGTGCGCAATTGGCTGCCGCGTTTCGCCCACAAAATACACAGTCAACTCGCTTTACAGTATATTCTGTGAAGCGCTTTGAGACGTCTCGAAGATGTGATAAGGTGCGATATCAAATAGCAACGCTTATTATTATTATGATCATTCAGTCTGTAAGATAGTCAGTCTGAAAGCCTGTCAGTCTGTAAGTCAGTAAGTTTGCTTGTATGTCCGTCTGTGTGTAAGTCAGTTAGTCCGCAACTCGGTCTGTCTGTAAGTCACTCTAAGCCAAGGCCTTCCGTATCGATAACATTTAATGATGATACAGCCTTGCAGTCGGAGTCTGTGGTCTTACCAGTGGCTGAGCGACAGAATCGCTGCTTGATCATTGCCAGGCAGCACACTGTGTCTCATTACAGCTAATTCAACTTGCATTATTCCAATTCTACTCTCACAGTTGGATTTAATAAGCTGGTTGAAAGAGAGTTGTCTGCCCTCGCGCTACCTACACCATCCCTATCCCATCATGACCAACAATTGAGAAGGACAACCTTTGCTATTTCCCCCACTGCCCCCATTCCCGCCCCACCAAAAAGGACAGCGCGTCTGACAATACAACATTCCCCCCCCCTCACCCCCAGCTCAGCCTTGACGCTGTGAGTTCAAAGTCTTGACGTAGGGGATTTGAACCCACAATCTCTGGACTCGGAGGCGAGAGCTCTACTGACCGAGCCAGGCGAGGCTGATGGCTGGTGAAATCATTGACTTCACTGGCTTAGTTGCTTGACCTCCGAGCGAGTGCTAGAGCAGTAAGATTGAGCAAATTGCTCAAGCAGTTTCAGTACTGCTTTAAGCCTGGGCTATTGTTTGTATTCTTAAAGGACTGCGCTCACTCTCGCAAACTCCCATTATTATTCCTGGATACCGTGGTAGGAAAAGCGAGAGTCTTTAAAATGAGGAGAAAGGAACCGAATAGGTCCGTTAACAATAACTTGCGTTTATATTATTGCAATCGGCGTTTCACCCACAAAACACACAGTCAATCCACTTTGCAGTATATCCTGTGAAGCGCTTTGATACGTCTCAATGACATAATAAGGCGCTGTATCGAATGCAAGGATTATTATTATTATATAGAGCCCTTCAAACAGAGCAGTGTCTCAGAGCGACGGATTAAATAGTGCATAGTGCTGCTGGGTTTTTATTTGGCTCTCTTGTTTTTGGGAAAAACGTTGTCCCTTGTGATATCGTGCGCCTTCCCCTGTCAACCCGCCATCGCAGGTCACCTCAATCAGTTCCGGTCTCCTCGCTTAGATCCGCTGAACTCAGCGGGTATCGCTGGCAGGCCTGTGGATTTAATCCTAGCTCTGCCGATGTTTGCAATGGGCTTTGCAGAGTTCAGTGAATTAAATTTTTATTTGACCAGGCGAGCAAACAGCAGCGAGTCCCAGGGTATCTCAATGACACCGGGTCAAGATGCACGACAGTCATCTACGACAGCTTTCTGATTTCACGCCGCGGGAGGAATTGCGGTCTGCGCTCTCTCACTACTACTCTCAGGGCTCCTGATTACCCAGGTTTGCCTTTGGCAATCACCGCCGCAGGAATGTGTGTCTCTCTCTATCAAAGGTACGGCACGGCACAACTAGTCACTCTCCACTGCCGGCTGATCACTGCTTTATTATTCACAGCCGGAAGGAAGGAACTGACACCACTTCGATACCAAAATTCCACCTCGTCTTAATAACGATAACAATAATAATCCTCGCGTTTGATACAGCGCCTTATCGCGGCTTCGAGACGTCTCAAAGCGCTTCACGGAATGCGCCGTAAAGTGCTAGGAACTGTGTGTTTTGTGGGCGAAACGCGGCAGCCAATTGCGCTCAGCGAGGGAAGGGGGTTGCTGTCTCTCTCTCCTGTTGCTCTCGTGGCCAACAGTCCCCCAAATCGAAATGGGTCGTTCGCTTCACAGCTTTTCCCGGGTCATCGCTGCACGCGACTGACTTACCGCATTTCGCCCACGAAATACACAGTCACCATTCTTTACGGTAAAATCCTGCAAAGCGCTTTGAATGTCCTGCCGATGCGAAAGATATTGTACCAAATGTAAGGTTTAATATTAGAGAGATTGGGTCAATGCAAAATCGTGCGTCTATACGTGATAAGGTGCTATATCAAATGCAAGGATTATTATTATTATATTATTATTATAGTGGGACCAGTGCTCCGAGATGCTATCCTGCATGAAGGGCGCTATTTAAGTGCAAGTTGTCGTTGACCCACTGCCATTTTATCTTACGTTCATTTCGCATCAGGTAAAATGTTCGATGGATGATTGGAAAAGTGCAATACAAAGTAAACCACGGTTTAATTATGCTCCAAAGGTCCTTCCGCACTATCGGTCTCTGTTAATCCTTTTAAGCTGCCTCCCATTGATCCTCCAGTGGTCTCCTTATCTGAAATATGTTCTTCCTTCGCAGTATTAAATTAATGATTGTGGACGAGCTCCAAATTGACACTTGTTGCACCCAAGAGGGACTTGGTAGCTCCATTAATGAGATCGAAATAATTCTCTCCCTCTTTTCCCATCCTCATCGCCCCTCCATCTCTCGTCACCAGTTGAACGCAAATAATATAGTTAAGGATCAGCGAAAGTGACCAGTTTTTTGGGGGAAAAGAAAATGGCCTGGATTGACAGATGCATGTCAGATCCGAGCAGCAGGTCTGTATCGAATGTTCGGAGGCTATAAGTTGCCTGTGTCTATCGGGTCCTTCATTAGTCTAAGAGTGCAACTGCTGCGTTAATAAGCAAAAGTGAAACTGGAGCATAGCTGCTGAAATGGTGGAGAAACCAAAGCTCTCGATCTCCGGGATAAAAAAAGCAAAGCTCCTGGATTTACTGCAAAGGGTAGCCCTTTGCAAATGTGATTACTGTAGTTGTTAAACTAAGAAATGCAATAGACTGGGATGCTCGGAGACAATCGAAGGTTTCGTGGCCCTTTGGGGATTGTCATCCAAATAGAAACAGTGTTCACAGTGTAGAGATTCAGTAATCAGATTTACTGTGTAAAGCGGAGACAGGTCAAACAATGGCACTGAATTGGTTCCGACTGAGCAACAACAACTCGAATTTATATATCAGGCCTTCACAGGGGGTAGTGACTCAAAGCGCTTAATGCTGGCGGAGCTTGATGCTGAGCCAGTCCTATGGTGGAAAGCCTACTCTCTTTTAGGGTCACTTTCTTACGATTTCCATCCCACCAAAAAAATAACCATAGATTTACTTTCCCTTGTTTACAAAGTTTCCTTTTGTGGGATTAGCTGATTGATTTGACAGCCGCTGTGTATTAATGCCGGAGCAAATTGAGACAAAATAATTACAGAAATTGCAACCGGGCCCCTTGTGGGTCTCAGCTCTGACTATAGATTTAAATACGGACTTGCAAAATGGACTTGCGGTGCTTCTAAATCACTTATCCTGATATTGATTTATTCTTTAAGAAAAAATTGATCTCATTAACAATTAACCAACATTTTCAGCCTCTCCTTTGGTGCAAAATATTAAACGCATTGGATTTTCTCATTCTTTCTAATCACAAAACTGGCTTTCAAATCGCACAAATGTAGAACTCGTAATAACGTTCCTCAGGGCCAGTTTTTTTTTGCTAACTGAGTTGTTTGGGTTGTCCAACTTGGAGCTTGATTTATTTTCCAATCAATGGTTTGTTCTATAAGTGCAATGGCCTTGAGTCATGACTCTAAGAATTAATGAGCACTTGGGAAACCTAATTTCCTTCTAGAGGCCAAATGCCAAATGAATTAGAGTGACACTTGTATGTGCTGGACTTTGGTCTCAAGGGTGAAGATTCTAATCATCATAATAATAATAATTAATAATAACAACAACTTGAGTTGATGTAGCGTCCCTCACGCATTATTGAGTGCCTGATAATAATGTGAAACAAACATTGCTCCTATCATCATCGGCGCAACTGGGACTGTTAATAAGTCTATTCAAAGACGGCTTGCAAAGATACCTGGTGAACAATATGCCAACCTCCTGCGAAAGGTAGCTACGGTATTTTAGGAAGCTCAAATATATTAAGAAAAGTAACATCCATTCCCATGTAAAGTGGCAGCGTTATTGGGCCTACCTGACCCATCACTGAAAACCATTTAGAAATTACCTCTGCAGAGTGAATTAAACTGCAATAACAATAACACTTACATTTGGGTTACACTGTCTTTCAATCCGAAAGCGTCTCACAGGATATACGTTATTGCGAAGTGCAATGACTGTGTGTTTTATGGACGAACGTTAGCAGCCATTTTGTGCACAACAATGTCCCGACCAACAATTCCTCAGTTCAACTCGGTCCTTCGCTTCGTGGCTGTTTGTGGGACGTTGCTATTGCTGCAAATTGGTCGCCACGTTCGCCTATGAATTACACAGTCACTACACTTGATAGTAAATCCTGCGAAACACTGTGAATCGCTTTGCAACCTCCGCCTGACTTGAAAGGTAGACGGGGATCTCGGTTTAATGTCTCAACCACAAAGAACACATATTGCGTTATGTTTGTCTTTTTTGCTGGGGTGGGGGGTGGGAGGTGGGGGGAGGTCAGAGCGGGGGGTGGGGGGGTTGGGGGTGTGGGGTGGGTATTTACGGACGATGGAAAACGTACACACAGTATTGAGAAAACTCGAAATTAGCTTTTAAATA